CGAGGAAATCCTAATAGGCCATCAAAAAGCCCCAGTCCCATCTCTCTAATCCTCGCTTTAGCTCAAATACGACTAGGACTATGTCATCTACAAAGCACCACCCACCACGCCCACAATCCACAATGCAATCCTAACATGCAACCCTACCCTCCTCTCACTACTCTGAAACTCCTTCATCCCCACCTCGTTCGCCCACTCACCCAATCCATCCCTCTCCTGCCTCAATCTCTCCTGCAACTCCGGATCTCGAGTTACGATCATCACACCTGTTTCAAGATCAAGCGTGTACGATCGTTTGGTATAGTTACTACTACCTAGTACCGTGATTGCCGGCTTTGGGGTCTCGGTTGAGGATATGGGTGAGGATGAAGAAGGGAATGAAACCCAGAGTCCCTTGGCATGATAGGTCCACCCTCCGGGCTCATTCACGGCCCCTCTCTGCCACTCTCGGAGAGTGATGGATGAAGATGGTCCTTGGAGTTTTTGAGCGGAGGTGAGGAATTTGCGGAGGAGGAGTGTATAGGCTGCGGGAAGCATGCCGGAGACTCCGGGGGAGTTGTAGAAACCGTTGGCTTGTGGGGAAGCGGTCAAGACGGTATTGTTTTTGGAGCTTGTGTGGAGGAGGAGGGATGTTAGAGTCGGGGAGGGATTAAAGTAGCCGGCGGTGAAAGTCCAAGATGAGGGCATGGTGGAAGAATTGAGGAAGGTGAGGAGACGAGTGAGCATGGGGAGCTCAGTGGATGTGTCGGAGTTGGAGGGGAACAGTGGTGTGAATTGGGAGATGGGATAGATAGTTGTGTTAGCTTGAGGATCGTTAGGTATCGATTTTGATGCCCCCGCGGCTCGGATCAATGGTGTGAGAATGGATGATGCATGAGAGATGTATTTTAGGGAATCTTCTAAAGGAGAAGGACAGGAGTTTGAGGACGGCCATTCAAGTGTGTATCCAGCAGGTAATTGAGGGTCTGGTGATACCAAGAAGCTCAAACTTGAGACTGCGTTCTGAATATTGTAGAAATACTGGGTGACTTCTCTAGAGGAAAACACATGATACCGATCTTGTCGATTTGTGAAATAGTCGCTGGAAAGATTTGCCCTATTCGCGTTAATTAGCCTCCGAATTGCTTTGGACAAGCAATTGACAATGACACACCCAGATATTATGATTTCATCATCCACTCCATACAACTTCATATGTTGCAAGCCCCATCCCTCGTTAATTCGTTTAGGAATATACTTCTTTCTCAACCCGTTCAAATTCGGGGTATGGTACATACGAATCTCAACTCTATCTGCACCAAACTCTGACACCAACGGCGCAAGAAGTGAAGCACATGATGCATTAGGGGACTCTCTCGTACCCCTCAGCGCATCAGTAAGGATACTAAGCTTAAGATTTGGTTTTGCACGCAGAGCTTGCTGAAGTGTGGAAATCTACACATAGTTATCATTCATATGTACTATTGATCTGGGAGAATATCTGTATGTACTAATTCATGTTCTGTCTTTCCTATATACAAAGTCGACAAGAAAATCCGTGTCTCTGCTGCTAGTATTTTACTCTAGAACCATCCATCAGCATTCGTCCCATCCGCCAATGTCCAATTTATGTATGTGCCAACCTTCAACGCCTCGTAGAATTCTGATGGCGTCCGTAATATTTGTATTTGCGAACCATGCACCTCAAATTTTGGGGCTATTTTATCAAATTCATTCGAAAAAGCACCTAATATGGATGCTGGTGAGGGTGCCGTGGGCGCGGTAGCAGAGCTTGTAGATGTCGAATAGGTGGGCTGTTTCATTCGTTGTAGTGGCGCTTGAAAGGAAGGAACCTTTCGAATGCGAGAGCAGCGTGTAATACTCCTAATAATCATATCTTCCTGTGTCTCTGCGGATTCTTCTATAAAATTTCTCGGTTTGCAATGTCGAAGATTTGAAATTTAAGGAAGCCGATAGGATAGTGATAGCGTTTGATATCGCTAGCGCAAAAGCGGCGTGCCGAATGGGCGACGACTTCATGAACCATCACGCTTTCATTGTTTCTCAGAGATTCAGCAAAACCATTGCAACGCCAACAAGATGTCTACGATTATGCGGACGCTGCGCAACTTACGCAAAGTGGGCGTCAAGGTATGTAGGATCTTCGAGTTGCGCCAGCCGATTGCTAACTTAAATATAGGATGCTATGCATCAAATGCATGTAAGTACACTTTACAACCAGCCCACTACATCGCGAACTCTGGAGCTAATGGGTGGATGGCGAATTACAGTACCAAGGTATCCAACGCTCGAAATGATAGTGGAAAGACTGAAACTCACGGGAGACAGGTGATACCAAAGCCGGAACCTTGATCGGAAAGGATCGATACGGCAACAAGTTTTTCGAGAACTTAGAGGACGAATTACCACGTACGGGATCCCCATAACATGTCTTTTATAAGTCCGAATATGCTCATAGAAATACACAGTACGCACAAGATGGGTAGACTACAAGGACGATGAATTTAGCCCGTAAGGAACATCTAGAGCTCCTCGCTGTGTTATCTTGTCCTGATACTTATCGATTCTCACAGATGTCAAATCGAGCCCGGATGGCACGCCTGGATCTCATACATGGTGGACAAGCCGCCTAACCAAGATCCTATCTTACAAACCGGAGTACGTTCTTGGGAATTGCCGCACCACAGACCAACTTTCACCATGAGTCGTGGCGCTTTCAAGACTTATTCTACGTGAGTGTTTACATTTTAGATATTTTTGCTGAAGTTTAAAAGCGTGAGCTGATATTTTTATAAGTGTCAAGCCAAAGATCACTGCCTGGACTCCCGAAACTGTTGAAAGAGCGTGAGGTGGAAACATGGTCTGTTCTGTACATACGTGGAGAGAGAATGAAATTAGCATTGCACACATACCCTCATTGGACTGCTGGCACAAATTTTAATGAGAATCAAGTCAGAATTTTTAGCCAGCTTGAACCCTGGATGAATGTTCGTCTATGGGCTCTGTTGAAATTGCAAGAAGTATGGACAGTTGCATTGGGAATGCGAAGGTAAGGATCAAATTGTAGCTCTTTTCACCCCTTGCTGTGGTTTTCGTCATGCACGGTTGGGTATTTCTATTATCTCGCTATGCTTTCCCCAAAATACACTTTTACTGTTACGCATTGCCCTACAATTTTCCCCTATTCACAGTTGAAACATTTTGCTCTGGCATGATTTTAGATCGAAATTCTCTTTTTCTTGACCTCACCTCACTTTGCATTACTTATGTCCTGTAGTCTCCGTTAATTGTGACGTATTCATGGCTATACCGGTTAGCTTTTGTTTTGTTCATTTGTATGTTGAGTACCTACCTGAAATCACAAGTCCAGTACACGGCTTCTTCTTTTCCACCTCCGAGGTTTATCAGGATTTCTAGATCCTCATGCTCCAAGATCTCGGCAGCACGAGTCTCGTCCACTGATTCTGGCTCTCCGTTAACTAAAAGTTTAAGCTCTGGTGAGCCATCTGAGGGAATGAATGAGACACTAGTCTTCTCAGGGACGATTTCTGGAACCTTATTTATCGGCTCGCCTGGTTCCGAGATCTGGGAATAGCCAGTAGCACATAGTATACGGCCCCAGTTTGCATCTTTACCATACAATGCCGTCTTCACTAGTGGAGATCTTGCAATCGTGCTAGCAATTTTGCGTGCTCCAATCTCTGACGGGGCTTCTGTTACACGGATAGTGACGAACTTAGTTGCACCTTCACCATCACGAACGACAAGCTTAGCAAGATCAATAGCAAACTCGGTAAGAACCTTTTGGAATGCAGCATGATCTTTGGATGATTCAGAAGTGACTTCCTTGCCCCCTGCTACTCCGTTTGCCAAAACGGCAACGGTATCGTTCGTAGAAGTATCGCCATCAATGGAGATACTGTTAAATGACTTGTCAACAGCATTTTTAAGCAAAGATGGCAGTAACGCCGGTGCAATTGGTGCATCTGTTGCAATCATTCCTAACAAAGTCGCCATATTCGGGTGAATCATTCCGGCACCCTTTGTCATACCAGCCATTCTGTATTCGACTCCTGGAGAAGAGGGTAAGGAGAATTTTCGGGATAAAAGTTTTGGAAATGTGTCCGTGGTACAAATCGCGGTTGCAGCCGCCAGCCAATGGTCGTGTGAGTATCCCAACCTATCGAAGGCGGTCGGTATTTTGAGTAATATTTTCTCGATTGGCAATCTGAGACAGGTTTAGTAATTGCAAATTCCGAAAGTAGAGACAGGCCTTCAAACCTTTGACCAATTACACCAGTGCTCATGACTATTGAACTCCCCCCTTTGCCATCCTTTGGTGCATGATAACATCTATCAGCTTCAGCTACCATCTTCTCAGCATCTTCCATTCCACCCTTCCCGGTCACAGCATTTGCACAGCCCGAATTGATAATGACTGAACGGATTCCAGCATTTTCCCTCCTCTGTAGCATCTTCCTGCTAACCGTGACAGGAGCCGCTTGGAACTTGTTCTTCGTGAACACTGCTGCAGCCGCACATGGTATTTCCGAAGCAAGAAAAGCAAGATCTGGTGTAGATTTGTTGGTTGGTTTAACTCCTACGTAGGTTCCAGAAACTAGAAATCCTTGAGGGTATGTGCCACTCGTGGGAATGTATTTTAGCTTTGCGGCCGGTATTGTGCTCTCTGGTGGTGCAGAATAGTATCGAATACCACCAATTGCGGGGTGATAGGAGGCCGTTGGTCTGATCAACCGAGCTATGGAAAGCTTTGCACCTGCATTGATAACCATTGCGTGAGAATAGTAAGACGTAAAGTCTATCTTGTTAGAGTAATACTAATTCAATTGATTGACGAAAGCACTTTATGTATCTACTGAAAGAACTCTACTCTCAACAGATAAGGAATTGACTCACCAGAAATTTTGACGCCTTGTGCGATAAGGATAAAGCATCGGATGACGGAGGTTCTGCTACAAAGAGACTAACGCTAATGTGGTGCGGCAAGAAACATCATTCTCTTTATCTGATAGGCTAGAAACTCAGCCTTGCCATTGATAAGTTCAACTTCAAAGTCGTGTGTACATGGTTCGTGGGAGGGAAAGTGTGACTTGAACAACTCATAAATTTCCAACATAATTTATATTTGATCTCGAGAGAATTCAAAATGTCCCCTTAGGCAACGCTGTGGCCTTGGCCGCACGTATCTCTTGCTTTTTTGTATCTCAACGACGAATTCAGATATTGAAATATATAAAGTACTGCGATATTGATATCAGCGAACAAGTACCATAGCCCAGTTTTCATCATGCCTCCAGCAAGTAGTCCATGGGGAAAGAAAGCACAGCAGAAAAAGTCACTGAGTACATTCCCTGCATTGAAACATAACGACGTTGGAAATGACTCACCAATATCTCCATATCAAGAGATCCAAGACGATGAGCTTATTGCTCTCGCCTCGATATACGGTGAAGACTTTCGCCGTATTGAAACGCATCAATCAGCGTGGAAGGTACGCCAATCTTGACTTGGGGCTTTACATAAATAAATCTAACTTTACACAGAAATTGGAGCCATCATTTGAGATATCCATAAAAACTAATGATGAGGATTTCTCGGTGACGTTAGGAGTCACCCTAACCCTCACTTACCCGAGGTCGGCGCCATTGTTGACCTTGAAGAATACTGATGGCCTCCAAGATTCTACAAAATTTAAACTTCAGAAGATTATTGAGACATTACCAAAAAAACTGATCAAGGAAGAGCAGGCTATGATTATGGAAATTGTAACTGCTTGTCAGGAAGTGTTAGAGCAAGCTGCCGAAGCAAAAGCTGCAGGACGAGTACTACCCACTCTACAAGAAGAGCGAGCAGCTCACGAAGCGGCTGCTGCACAGATGATGGAAGACCAGCGTCTAGAGGAAGAGAAGAAGAAAATGTGAGTACATCTCTGTTTCCCTTTTACTTTTTTGGGTTGGTTTGCTGCTCTCGGCCCAGCAGACTCCTCAATCTCTTGTAGGAAATTCTAAATGTAGAATAGAATAGAGTCCCAGGAAGAGGAAAGAATGCTTGGTTCGTTGGTGCAGGATGAGTTGAAGAGACAGCGAGCCAAGGCGAAAGAGACAAAGCGGAAGAACCAGCCTCCTCCCTCAATTACTGTATCCCATTCGGTGATTGGAAAATTGCCCCAAGATCACGAAGTATTAGATCGCCAAGTCTCGATCCTGGATGCTGATGGTAACCCTGTGTACTTTCAGGCGGTGACTGGTAAATCACTCATCCGTCAAGGTCCCGTTTCTCGTTGCTACACCGTGAGACCAGCAGTCAGCTCCCAGGCCCCGTTATTGGTTTTGAAGCAGGCAGTGCTTGATACGAATTTGAGTGATCGTAGTATCAAGGGAGAACTGCAAGCGATGGAGAATGAATTAGAAAAGCTCAGAATCATTAGACACGACAACATCCTTAATCTCCTGGATTTCAAGGTGGAAAAAGAAGAGTGAGTATTTATTACCTTTCAAGTTAAGTTGCTTGAGGCTTGTATAGTGGAAGTTAATTTTGTCGGGGCCGCAGAAACGAGTCTTCCTGGAATGTCAGTACATTGAGCGAGTATGCCGAGAAAGGTTCGTTGGAAGAATTCTTAGATATCGTCGAGAACATGAACGTCAATAAAGTTCGTTCATGGACAATAGAGTTATTGGACGCTTTAAGGTTTCTCCACGAAGAAAACGGGATAATCCACGAGGTAAGCAAAAGACTCTGTCTTTCCGCGCCCTTCACCAGAATGCTGACACTCACCGTTCTAGGATATACATAGTGGAAACGTACTCCTTTTCCGGGAATCAGATGGAGTCGTCAGGCCAAAATTTTCTGATGCTGGATATCAGCGAAAGCTACATATTTTGAGTGGTAAAACCACGAAAGGAAAGACAAATAGCTCTGCCATGGCAAAATCTGCGTACTGGTTTCCTCCGGAAATAGCAAATTCGGATGATGGCCCACGAACTGCAAAAACAGACATCTGGGAGTTCGGCATCGTTTTCCTTCAAATGGCTTTTGGCTTAAATGTCACTCGGAAATATACGTCACCTAAGGCTATGCTAGACTCATTGGATCTGTCAGACGCTCTTCACGATTTTATGCTCAAGCTGTTCAATCCTGACCCGAAAAAGCGGCCACGAGCTTTTGCACTCAGTGAGTACTCTTGTACAATTTAGACTTTTTGTCAGAGTTCCTGGCCGTCCGTATAATGACAAAATTGAATAGGCTCATGCAAATTTCTTGTTACTGATGCTCCGATAATGGACGAAGATTCGTCTGCTCTAATGTCAAGACTTGGTTCCACCTCATCTTTAGCACCGATTATTCCACGTAGACCTAGGCATGATTCTATGAGTCTTAGTGGACCTTTCTCAAGATATACTCATGATTTTGTGGAGGAAGGTCGCTTGGGGAAAGGGGGGTTCGGAGAGGTGGTAAAAGCAAGGCAAAAGCTAGACGGGCAGATTTATGCCATCAAGAAGATTACTCAAAAGTCTTCTGCCCAGCTAGATGATGTATTAAAAGAGGCTCGTCTACTTTCCCAACTCAACCACCCTTCTGTTGTTCGTAAGTACTCCTTTTCGTATTTTTTATACCAGACGAGCCAAACTTGCAGGTTTATTTTTGTGTTATTCTTGATTTCCCAAATTGTTAAGAGTAGACTGGGAGAAAGAGTGCTCAACTATTACGACCTTTTGGCAGAGGATGAAAATAATCACTTCATCAGAACATGCTTATTCTCCCTTAGGTTATTTTAATACATGGACAGAAGAGGTTCCTGATCTTTCTGAGACGGATGACGATAATACGACAACAGATGCCGCCACTGAAGAATCTAGTAACGTTTCTCTTGGAGGATCAGAACCTCATATCGAATTCGGGACTAGTACCGGCGGCTTGGATTTCATGTCTACCAGCGGATACCAAGTCGAATTCGGTTACGATGAGGCAAGCGACAGTGACGATGAGGATGAGGATGATGATGATGATGACGATGACGACGAAGATTCCGTAGAACGCAACGGACATGCCCGAAACCGGGGACACGAGCGTGTTGCTCTAGCACATAGGGGAAGTAGATCTAGTCCGCGGCCTTCGCGCCCATTCAAAACAATCTTATACATATCTATGGAATATTGTGAGAAGCGAACACTTCGCGATCTTATTCGACGAGGACTCTATAGAAACAACGAGGAAATATGGCGTCTTTTCCGTCAGATCCTCGAAGGTCTTGCCCATATACATAGCTTGAACTTTGTTCACCGCGATCTCAAGCCGGAGAATATTTTCATCGATGGTGCCTCTAATGTTAAAATAGGCGACCTCGGTTTGGCTACAAGGGGCCAATACTCTGCAATCGATAGATCGTCAGCTTCTGCGATGCAGAATAGTGGGGATTTAACAAGGAGTATTGGTACTTTCTCCTACATTGCACCCGAAATTCGATCAGCAGTCTCTGGGGGTCCATACACTGGCAAGGTTGACATTTACTCTCTTGGTGTGATATTCTTCGAGATGTGCTATGCCCCATTAGTTGGGATGGAAAGAGTGAGTACATTATTCATCTATATCCTTCTATAATGACACCATGTTATGTGTTATGTATTTCATTTCAGGGATCAAATAGACACATGCGACTAACCTCTCATCGTATATTTCAATTCGGTGCTAATTATACGTTTAGGCACAAGTCGTTGATGGTTTACGGAAAAGGGAGCCGGTGCTTCCAGCGAATTTTGACAAGGTCGAAAAAGCCGTTCAGGCAGATATTATTTTGTCCCTCCTTAACCATAATCCAAAGGAGCGGCCGTCAAGTTCTGAGCTTCTTCAGAGCAGGAAGTTACCGGTCCAGATGGAAAGCGAAACGATCCGCCAAACTTTAGCTGGTTTATCCGACTCGAAATCGCCATATCATCAAAAAATGATGAGTGCTCTCTTCTCTAGACCAACAAAGCGGGCAAAGGACTATGCGTGGGACATGGGAGTTCCGACACCCAGTGGCAATGACTTGTTACTTCAAGGGCTCGTGAAGCAAAAGTTAATTTCCATTTTCCGCAACCATGGAGCCGTAGAAACACCGCGAAGTATTTTGTTCCCATCATGTGATCATTATGGTATCAACGCTGTCCAATTATTAGACAAAAGTGGTACTCTTTTACAGCTACCCTATGATCTCACTGTCCCAAATGCTCGTGCTATTGCGAAATATCAACCTCCTGTGGAAAGATCCTTCGCCTTTGGTACTGTTTTTCGAGATAAGCACGACGGTGCTGCCCCACAAACTTTTAGTGAAGTGGACTTTGATGTTGTCACTTCAGATAGCTTGGACCTTGCATTAAAAGAGGCTGAGGTTATCAAGGTTCTAGATGAGATTGTTGCCAGCTTTCCATCTCTACCTTCGTCCCAAATGTGCTTCCATGTAAATCATGCAGATTTACTTGGTCTAATCTTCGACTTCTGTCGCATCGAACCCAGTATACGACAAGCTGCCGCCGATACACTTAGTAAATTAAATGTACAGCAATGGACGTGGCAGAAGATACGAGCAGAACTTAGATCACCGTTGGTAGGGGTACGTATTAATAGAAACTGCAGATCTCGTCACGAAAATATCCGTCTACTTTCTCCTTACATTTTCAGACTTTCTGCATAATTATTACTGAGATTCTCCGTTCAAGTGGAATTACTTGCTAACCCATAACTTAGGTATCCGCCACGAGCGTCGAGGACCTTCAACGATTTGATTTTAGAGATACCCCTAGCAAAGCTTTTCAGAAGCTAAAAGTAATCTTCGAAGGTACCGAGATGTTCGAAAAGGCCTCTTCTTCTATCGCACATCTACGTGATGTGATTGAGTATGTGTTCCAATTTTTCTGATGTCTCTAATTAAGCATCGCTAATGTGCCGGTGTAGATATACAAAACGTTTTGAGGTCCAGAGAAAGATTTACGTCCACCCTCTAGGGAGTCTAAAAGAGAAATTTTACAAGGGTGGCGTACTTTTCTCTTGTTTGTACGATAGAAAGATCCGAGATGTATTTGCAGCAGGAGGTCGATATGATTCTTTGATTCGAGAAAACCGTCATCACAAGAATATTAATGAGGAACGACATGCTGTGGGTTTCAATCTAGCATGGGAAAAGATGGCTAGGCTTCCAAAGTCGAACTCAAAAAGTTTCTTAAAGAAGCCCGACGAGGAAGCACAGGGTATCTGGAGCACAAAAAGAGTCAGTATCGCCGCATTTATCCTTCTTAGCTCGATGAGCTCCAGGTATTTCCCCAAAGAACCACAGCTAATCTGCCCAATAGTGCGATGTACTCGTTGCAAGTCATGATGCAGCGATACTGAGATCAACCGGAGTTGAGCTTGTCTCAAATTTATGGTCGCATGACATAAGTGCCGAGCTAGCACGAGACTCACGTTCCCCCGAAGATCTCCTTTCTAAATACCGAGATGATAGTTATTCTTGGATAGTTATTATCAAGCAAGATTCCGTGGTGAGATGCAAGACTACTGGTAGGAAGGATATACCTGATTCCGATATTCCTTCTACGCAATTAGTTTCATGGCTTCGTGGTGAAATGCGTGAAAGAGATCAGAGGGAAGGAACATACAATCGTGCAAAGTGAGCGTGTCTGAAATCTCCACAATATGAGGATATTAATGCATTTATTAGACTACCTCGCCATCATAGTCAACCCGACACAGGACCTAGTGAGCATGAGCAGGACGTACGAGTTTTGTTCGCCGGTACGAAGAGCAAGAAGTCAAATAGAAGAAGTATTGTAGACCAAGCTCAAGGTAGAGCAGCAACGCGTGAGTTATGATTTTTTAATCCTCAGTACTTTAGAAAATGCATATTAACGTCCCCACCCTAGTCGTTCAATCTTTCCTAGACGGTCCTATCGCTGCCATCGAAACAACAGATCATGTAAGTCACTTTCGCCATATGCATTCCTCATCTAATAGCTCTCCTCCACCCTTTCGTCTCTTCTCGCTTCATTGCATCTCATCATTCATTTAAATAACACTTCCTCTCCCTAGGTAATGGATCTCATCCGCGAAACCAAACTCTCAGATCCCGACTCCTGGCGTAAAGTTACCCATTCAGTCCCCACGACCGAACGTCGCTACATAGGTGAAATCCATGATTTGATGAGCACTCTGGCTTTTCAAAATAAAGATATTACGAGGAATGCGTTTGTTTATAATTTTAGAACGGGAACGTGTATTTATTATGATTTGGGCGCTTAATTTTGGTAGAGAGAAAGAGGGGTAAGCGGAAAGAGTGGAAGGAGGAAGGGCGTTGTAAATTGTATGTATGTAGATACCCGGATATAAATTTCAATATACTGGGGAGATTTTGTTTGCAATTGTCGAGATGGGATTTTTTGTGTTTATATGCATGCAATCGGGTGTTTTGAAGAACTTTCAATACCTACTCTAGATACTTTCAATGTATGCGAAATCATCAATCTTAAAAGCTTTGAGTATCTGACCACAACAAGTTAATAATTCTAAATAACCTCAACATTCCCGATCCACTAAAGATAAATTTTACACATGAATTGAGATTATTATACTCTAGCCTGAAACTGGGAGTAGAAAATCCTTCAAATATCTCACATGAATCATAGATTCTAATTCATCATTGCGATATTGATATAACAGTCCAAGATTATATATCGTTGCATATATATATGGCACTGAATTGTTAATCCAACTCTTTGATAGATGAAGATATCTAGATGGCTTTAAATGTGAGTTTTGATCTGTATGGGTTAGATCTTCTCATAGTAACTTATCAAACTATGATGTGTAACTCCGGCACTCATACGCAACGTAGCCTAAAAATAAATCATAGATTGGTAACCAACCTGGGCATTTCCTCAACCTTTTCCTTAACTTTCGCCCTTCCTCAATTCCGAGCTGTTCTTTCCACCCATCTAACAGACACATTCCTCGGATTCGCCATCTGCAATAACAACTCCACATTACTATCCCGCACAATATCCAAAGTCCGCTTCCTAGCCGCATCAACCGATTCATTCGCCATGGGAACAGGCTCCGCAATATGATTCATGAAGAGTGCAGTCAACGTTGCCACGAATTCAACCTGTGTGAATTTTTTGCCAGGACAATTTCGCATTCCTTCTGACCATGGGAAATATGTCCCTTTCGGTGGATTGAATAGGGTTTCTTGCCCAAGGTTCCCTGGATGCTCGATCCATCTTTGTGGGCGCCATATCAGGGAGTCGCTGCCCCAATGCCGTGGATGCGTGTGTAAGGCTTGGAGGTGGGGAACTACTAGGTAATTGGCAGGAATATGATAAGTGCGATTGTTTATTGTGAGGTCGGTGGATTTGGAACCGGTATATTTAGGTACACCAGGAAGGGGATTGTAAAGACGCAGAGTTTCGAGCTAGAAAGGCTGGTTAGTATACTTCACGTCGAATCTCAATGTTAACAGAAAGGAGATTTACTAATACTGCAAGAGTTCGTTTGAGTTTGGGAAAAATTCCATTATATGCCAGTGATTTAGGGTCTTGATCTCCTACATAGTGTGCAATTTCTTCATGAACCCAATCTTGAACTTCAGGGTGTGCAATTAATAGAAGCATGCCATAAGCAAGTGATATAGCAGTCGTATCGTGTCCAGCAAAATTGAAAACGAAGATGTTACCGAGAATTTCGGAGTTGGTTAAAGGCTTGAGTTTGCTGCTGTTATCAGATTCTGAGCTTATTGCTAGGCCTTCGTCTGAGGCGCGAACCAAGTTACTGACCAGGTTACCTGTACCGGCCTCGCCGTTCCGGATTAATTCTCGTTCGGCTGCTACTTGAGCTGTCATGTATTCACGGAATGAAGTGATAGCCCAGCCAACTTGTTGAAAGTTTCGTGGCAAGAATGGTAGAGTGAATACCTTCTCCGGTAGAACCATAATGAGGAGAATATTTTCTAGAATGATGGCGATAGAATCCCGATAAGTTAAAGAAGTTTGGTCCACAGCTGTGCTGTGTGAGATAGTATCAAACGGATATGATTTTTGAAAGGCTACATATGCAAGTACATGTAGGGCCAATGTCCTGGTATCATCCGGTGTTGTGGTAATCCCATCTTGACTCCGAGAGCACCAAGAGCGCAACATATCTTCCGCTTGGCGAAGAGATTCATTCCATACTAGAGGACTTTTCTGCTCATTAAATGGAGTAGCAGTGAGCTTTCTCTGTCTCTGCCAGTCTTGACCTTCAGCCTAACACTTATGAGTTTTCAATCACTGCCGCAGCTTGAACATATCTTACAGTGGAAATGTTTGGTCCAAAGACATTGAGGGTTTCTGACTCCATATTAGTACCCCGTGATCCAAGCCGCAAAGTAAAATAAAACTACCAAGCATCCACAAAGGGCGTACAAAGTCACGACCTCTAGAGAATATATCTGTCACGGCGGCAGCATTTGCAACAAAAACCCAATTCCTTGCCGGCGTCACCAGAACCCAGGCATCTCCGAGCCGTACATGAGTACGGAATCTATCATGGAATTCCCACCCTAAACGAGTGTGTCTGGTGAAAGAAGTTGCTCCGAAGGGAAATCTCCGTACGATGACTTTGAATACTGTTTGGAAGGCAATCCATAAGGGGTTGTCGGGAGTGATGGCGCTGATTATCCGGGGTAAACCTAATGTTGATGCATTTTTGTAGTTTGAGTACAGTGAGTATATATTGTAGAGGAGGAAGGAAAGGAGAATGAGTGCTGGGTAGAAAAACACCATTTTGTTAAGATCTTGTCTTTATTTTTGAGGTTTGAAAGTTCGGCTGTGTTCATCTAGACATTGTAGGGTAGTACGAGCGATACTTTGTGGCACAGAGTGAGAAGACATGGGGGAATGAATCGAAAAGTAGTCTTACAATGGATTAGACGGGAATAGTAAGTAGCAACACTAGCTAGCTCAGAAATTATCATTCATTCCTCAAATTTATTCCAGCATTTCAATCAACCAAAGCAGAGTACCGGTAAGACAGTTTGAAATGCCTAGGTACTGTAAACATTATCATGATGGCTGGGAGTATATGTAGGTTCGTCTGAATTCGAATGATGACGCCAAGACAAGTATTTACCTAGATGTCTATTAGTAACTAGGTGCTAGTTGACTATCAATAGATAATGGGTAACCATCAATTGTATTTTACTTATTGTAATAATAAAAATCACGTATTTTAATATAAAATGTTAAATCAGCCTAGAGGATGTGAATTTGAGATATTCTTGGCGGGTTGAGTGTAAAAGTAACAAGTGGCTGTTGTTGTGGCTGTAGCTGTGGCTGTACCTATGGCTGTAGCTGTGGCCGAGTTCCGGATCAAAAAGCGGAAGAAATTATGCATGGGTTGTCACAGTGTCACTCGGGGACTCGGCAATTAAAATGATTCTGAAATAATATGGAATCGTTAATTCTCCGTCCCCAAATATTCGATGCGACTTTCCAATTCCGATATCACCGTCGCCACTGTTCTGTTTGCTTACGAGTCCATGTGGTGATATGACGAATGTACTACGAATTGTGTCCACTCCTTATTACTGTATCGACTGTATCTCCTGTATCTATCAATAACACGCTTTCCTTTTTTCCATTTTAATACAGAGTACGGTGTTACTCAATCCTACATCCTCCCTACTCCCTACTCCATCCACTTTCTGCCTTTTGATCTTTCATCCGATGGAAACCATTTTCCATCAACGAGATGCAAGGATCAGCAAGAGGACCTGGCGCAAGAAACTATTCACATATCTTCTGGGTCAAGTTCAAAACAATTTCTATTCATGCTTTGTATCATGGTGTTCTCATTACCGGGAAAAAGGCTGTCATGGTGTTTCAAGCAAACGCGCTTTGCCTTAGTCCCGAGTATCGTTCACATCCTCAATGCTTCATCATCTGTTTCCATGTCCGAGAGTCAGGAGAAGAAAGAAATGAGAAAGTCATACTCGATACAAATTATTTATTGCCAATAATTTGGCAATGAATAGTATCATTATTAGTATGTTTCCTCTTTTCCTCTTTTCCCTCTCGGAGATCCTTGAAACTCACTAGAGCATTTGTGCAGTGAGTGCGTGGATGGGAATAGTACGATACTACTCTGCCTACACTGTATATTACGCGCAGATTCACCAAAAGTCGGGAATTGTTGGATGAGGATCTTATGATTCGCTGATTTGACATTTCCACTGCCTCGCCTCTTCCTTTTTGATGGAACCTGAATCTATTTAGGAAGAAAATCTGGGGCGCAGGATTTCAAGTGAAGGAATTCCCTTTGATATCATTGGTGATGGAATGATTTCTTGCCTTTTACGTCTGTCTTTCTTGCAGCTCAAATTGTCCCCAATCCACCCCCTTATGCACTTGTTATTAATACATCTTATTTTTATTCTCATGAATTTTTCCAATCACAGACCGTTGATTTTCAGATTTTCATCGTACCCGCCTCGGCTTCGTAGCATAGGCCGCGTCATTTTGCGGAACCCCTGACCTTTTCTAATCCCAGCATCTACGTCGTACTCAGTGCTCACCAACAAAACTAGCCAAGGTTACGTACCAAGGTATAGAAAAAGGGTCGAATCACAAATTTGGATTCTTTGGGATCATTCAATCTTGTATCATATATGAGGAACGGCACTCAATTGTTCAAAGCTTTTTGACAAGTCTTTCCATACACTACCTAGATAAATTTACCGCTACTTTTCTCAATTCTACTCTAGGATCGTTTTCACCTTGTTCTATCCTTGACGTTAAGACAATTTGAATAAACGTTGCTCATCCTGATTCCTGTATTACTCTCCCCGCTCCTCCTTCCCTCTTACCCTACCTTTGATTCTCTCAGCCTTTCTCGGCATTATAACCGCTGCGCTTCCCAAGAGTTCGCTCTCCACCATTTGACACAGGACAAGACGGATTCACGGGTCCGCAGCCTTACAGTAGGAAGGCGCTTGAAAATCTCTGGAAATACCAAGAAAGGATACTCCACGAATCTGCATAAACTTATTCCCTTGGTACACTCGTACCTTCAGCCACAATTAGGAGTTTCGCCATTTGTCACAGATATCTTTTGTTGTTAGGTATTCGGGAACTTGTAGAACACATCAGATTCATTTCAGATTTATCTTTGAAAGTACGACTTCCAGATCAATCTTCTTACCAACAAATAATTATTTACATTGAACATATTTGTTATTACATTGGATTTTCCGCTCTTCTCGGATTTTGGAAATAACAAATTTCTGGTCCCCGGGGTCGAAGCTAAATAATTAGTGTCTATTGTCCGCGTCATCTGGGTCGACCCGAACAACATATACCGATTTCATATCCCATATCAGATAGGATTCCATAGAAGGGGATTTATTTACGACCAATACATCAATTTTCAATCATGAGGACGTCGACATTCATTGCCGCTGCTGTGGGATTATTATCAGCGTGTACGGATGCAGTTCAATTACAGAGACGAAGCGATGGATCAGCAAGAGTAGTTGCCCTAGATATGGTACGGAAACAGGTGGACAATCCGTTAGCAAGAGACAAGTCAAGGAGATTAAGACGAAGGTCAAAAACAGTTGCGGCTACATTAGATAATGAGGTTAGTGAAATTCATTAGGTTCCGCGACAGGCGTAATACTGATTAAAGTTAGGAAACTTTATATTTCGTCAATGGAACATTAGGGACACCAGCACAAAGTTTACGGTTACATATCGACACAGGTAGTAGCGATTTATGGGTCAATACTGCTACCTCGACCTTATGTAGTGAGAGGAGAAGTCCATGTCAGACTGCTGGAACATATTCTGCAAACTCATCATCAACATACGCATATCTAGCGAGTGATTTTAATATTTCTTACGTTGATGGATCTGGTGCCTCCGGGGATTATGTTACCGATACATTTACGATTGGATCAACGACATTAGACAAATTACAGTTTGGTATTGGATATACCAGTTCTTCGCCTGAAGGTATTCTAGGAATTGGTTATGAGATTAATGAGGTTCAGGTTGGAAGAGCAAGAAAATCGGCATATAAAAACTTACCAGCACAAATGGTTGCTGATGGTTTGATCAATTCAAATGCCTTCTCCCTATGGCTTAACGATTTGGATTCCAGTACCGGAAGTGTCTTGTTTGGTGGTGTTGATACCGCTCGATATCACGGTCAATTGGAAACACTCCCGATTCAAAAAGAATCCGGATACTATGCCGAATTCCTCATTACCTTAACAGAAGTTACGTTAGGAAATCTCGTCATCGCCCAAGATCAATCCCTCGCTGTCCTTCTAGATTCCGGAAGTTCCCTCACTTACCTCCCTGACGCCATGGCTGAAGCTATCTACGAACAAGTCGACGCACAATATGATTACAGTGAAGGAGCCGCCTACGTCCCATGTTCTCTCGCTTCCAATAGCAGCGCTCTAAACTTTACCTTCACTTCCCCAACCATCCAGGTCACCATGGACGAACTCGTCATCCCAGTTACTAGCAGCAACGGTCAACAATTAAGATTCACTGACGGCACCGCAGCCTGTCTCTTCGGTATTGCTCCCGCAGGAGAAAGTACCGCTGTACTCGGAGATACCTTCATCCGCTCCGCATACGTTGTCTACGATCTAGCCAATAATGAAATTTCCCTCGCTCAAACAAACTTCAACGCAACAGCCACCAACGTGGTTGAAATTACCACGGGTACATCAGCAGTTCCGAATGCTGCCTTAGTTTCCAATGCAGCAACAGCCAGTACGGATAGTTCGGGTGCTGTTATCAGTGGATCAGTTACTTTGAATTCGGGATCCAAATCGAAAAATGCAGGGGCTTTTCAAACTCCTCCGCCCTTGGCATATGGGATGGCTGCTCTAGGTGCGGGATTATTTTATGCCATGTAGAAATTTCTTTCTTTCTCCAGCATATAGAATGAGGGATTTTCTTGTTTTGTTTTTAGCGATAATTATGCACTGCACTGCACTGCGCTGTACTGCACTGCATGGAATGGTAACCCGGGGGCATATATATCTTACCTACACATGGATACATATCTCAAAAGGCGTTTCGTTTATTGTTTATTGTTTTTTTTTTTTTTTTCATATTTTATATTTTGTACAAATCTTGTGTTTTCAAGCGAGATAGTTTGTTTAATGAGACGAAATATGAGGATACTTGAGATTTTGGGTTATTTGCATGATGCATGATGCATTTGTTTTGGGATTGCATCTATCTGCATGGCAACAATGGAGTTTGATATTTTTCTTATGACTTGGTTGGGATTGGGATTTTGAGTGGGATTGGGCTTTTATTTGAGATGGATGTGAAGGTGGAGATGGTGGTTGAGATGGAGATGGAGATGAGATAATAGAGAAGATAGAGAGGATAGATATGATATGGTGTAAATACCTATCTAGAGGAGATATCATATCGTTTACTAGATAGGGTGACATGAGATGAGATAATAGAGAAGATAGAGAGGATAGATATGATATGGTGTAAATACCTATCTAGAGGAGATATCATATCGTTTACTAGATAGGGTGACATGAGATGAGATGAGATGATAAGACAATATAAATAGATTATTAGAGGATACTTGAATGTTTTTTATCTTTTCAAGTGATCCTATCTCTCACGTTATATCATATTGTCCCATCCCACCCCATCACTTGATCACCAAACCACCATAGTTAACTCCTTTGCCTCTCGTATCCCGGCGAGTCCAGTAGATATTCACCATTTTAGTCAAGCACTGAGGGAATAGTATAAATATGATCAATGAATGGATGGGTGTGTGGGTGGTTGAATATACACATACGGAGTGTTTGATACTGGTGTACATAGCTAGCTGGGAAGAATTTGGGTATTTGAGTCTTGAGATTGGATCTGTAGGAGTAATTTTTGAGTTTTGGGGTTTTGAGCTGTGAGAGGCGTTGGATTTGGGTTTTGTGGTTGTGAGGAGGAAGAAGGAGTAGTTGAGAGGGAGTTTTGGGGGAGGTGGGTGATGGTCGTGTGTGGGGTTGTGATGATGGAATATCGTGAGGATGTGAGGATGTGAGGAATTGTGATTTGTGTATCAGGGAGATGGGAAATGCAAATGAAGAAGGGAGATGCCAATGATAATTAGTGATGAAATTAGGTACATAACAGAAGAATTCTTTAGTAGATATAAAGGTGTCTTTTCAGAGAATGAAGTTATGATTACTCTACTGTCTATCTCTCTATTAATTTTCACAAGTAGATAAATTACTCTGGTAGAGTCGACGGGAAGTAAGGTTAAGTAAGTATAGTAAATAGTAAGTAGTATATAAGAGATAATCATATTATGATAATGATATCTATATCATAAAATCATATAAGAAAGACTGAAATTGTTAATTATTCTTCAAATGTATATGTAGAACAACATAACCAGCTTTCCCAAAATCACCTTAATAGAATCATATCATCTATCCCACTAAGATTAGTTACCACACCAATCCGAAGCACCACCGACCAAATCCCGCTCCACCCGAAAAGATCTCTTCCCGCCACTCCATCCATCCACCCACCAAACCTCCCACCAAACCTTCCACCAAACCTCCCACCAAACCTCCCACCAAACCTCCCACCAAACCTCCCACCCACCTCACACAAGCAACCCCTTCTCCCTTCTTCAAAAAAACAAAACAAAACACAATCACACAAAGATTCCCCTCAAAAAAATAACAAGCTGTCGTAGGGAATTGAGCCCAACGCGGGGGTCGAACCCGCAACCTTGTGATTGACTATGCACATCTTTCAATGATAAGAGTCACACGCTCTACCGATTGAGCTAGCCGGGCTGGCTAAGCTTGATGATTTGATGAGTGCGATAGTTCATTTTAGTTATTTGTTGATAAGACCTGTTTTGGGAACAACAGTGGGTATAATTCAGTGAAATATCAAAACTTAACATTTTCAAATCAATTCAAATCAATTCAATGATTATAATATACTATTTAATGAAAATTTGAAATTTTATAAATGAAAAGTGAATTTACCTTTTTTTTCTTCTATATAGACCCGGGAGCTGGTATACATTAAAGTACGAGTAAGAATAAAAAGTTCTCTAGAGTTCAAGATTAGGTACTAGGTAAGGTAAGTCGATCGAGTATCAATTCCTATTCATAGGACTATAGTACACTAATTACGCTAAAGTAATCTCACCAAGGCGAGGGGTCCAATATATACCTATTCGCAGATCATGATCTGGATCACCGCGCTGATTGAATGTAAAGGAGGAGCAACGCGGGGTTGCGTTGACGAATGTGCCCACCCACCAACATGACATAACATCAAATCTATACAAGCAAGCACCATGTAAAATATTAACATATTTTAATCATTATTAGCATCTCTTTTATGTACCACCGAAGCTCAACTACAGTATAGCTTCCTATCTATCTATTCACAAGCACAGACAAGCTGCCACCCACCCATCCATATGCATTTACGAGTAACCATCCAAAAAAACATTTACAAGAAAGAGAGCCCGATGCAGCATGCCTGACAGAAAGAAACTTTTCGAGTATAGCTTCCGAGGATACTATACCATACGACACCCCACCAACATCTACTCATCATCAATCAATCTCACTCCCTCCCAAGCCTTTTTAGCTGCTTCCATCAATCCATCAAAATCTCCACTCGTCTCGCACATACCCCTAAAGATTGCATCTTTTCCCTCTTTTCTTAACAACTCATAAGGATGAGCGTATTCTACCACTTCTCCTTTATCTAACACTAAAACCTTGTCATAATCCACAATTGTTTGTAAACGATGAGCAATTGTGATGATGGTACTCTTAAGTTCCCGAATCGTTTCTTGAATTTTAGAGTCGGTGGTATAGTCAATGGAAGCAGTAGCTTCGTCCATCATGAGTACTTTTGGTTGTTTGAGCATAGCTCGAGCGAGACATAGAAGTTGTCGTTGACCTTGGGAAAGATTATTCCCGGATTCGGTAACTGTGGAATTGAGGTTTAGGAAGATGTTTTTATTGGTGGTTGTAGAGCCTGGTGATGATTCAATCGATGGTGGTCGTGAGATACCAGGTGTAGAAGGAGCTGTTGATGCGGTGCCTGCTGGCCCGATAAGGTGAACTCTTCGTAAAGCTGTGAAGATATCTTCATCCGTAAAGAGGTTGAAAGGATCCAGGTTGCTTCGAATGGTGCCAGTAAATAGGGTAGGATCTTGTGGTACGATAGTAATTCTCTCGCGAAGATCACGAAGGCCAATGAGACCAACGTCTACTTCATCAATCAAAATTTTTCCTTCCTCAGCCTCAAGACCACGGAATAACGCAAGAGCAAGGGAACTTTTTCCTGCACCGGTACGACCAACAATACCAACCTTTTCCAAAGGTCGTATTTTAAAACTGACATTTCTTAATACAGGATCCAAATCTGCCCTATATCTTGTAGTGTAGTTGATGAATTCCACAGATCCTTGACTCGGCCAGTTTTTAGCAGGCTCTGTTTCTTCAATGTAAGCCGCTGCTTCTTGTTCAACATCTAGATACTCCTTGATTCGCTCTACAGAGTTCATGTTTTGTTCATTCATCGAATATAGTCGTACCAACCAAAGAACATTCTCCGTGAAACTGATAGCATAACTTAAAGAGAGACCAGCAGAACCAGCATCAATAGTTCCAATACTACTAACAATGAATGCTCCTGCAAAGAATGCAACGAGGTCACCAACCAAATCAATTCTGAATGACAACCATCGATTTGCTGCCCATAGATAGATAAATGGTCGACTATGGGTATTGATTCGTAACATATTGTCTCGAACAAATCGTTTCTCATCACCATAAGCTCGGATAGTAGTGATACCATTGAGGGTCTCTCCAAATTGCTGAAACAGTGGACTTCTTTGTATCGATTCGATTCTCTTTAAATCTCTTGATGATCGGAGATAGAATTTGCCAACGAAGAAATACATGGCGCTTATGAACACACCAGCAATCAAAAATCCGGGAGTGATAGCAGTGATCAAAGCTACTGTAACGACAATCGCCAAAGCACATGACATGACACCAATGGCGATAGGTGCTACTTCTTGATCCACAGCTTCCAAATCCTTACTAAATCGATTCATAAGTTGACCTAAAGGAGTTGAGTCAAAGAACTTGAATTTTGCTCGAGTAACGGCTTTCATCAAATCCTTATGGATTCTCCAGCTTGCAGTAAGAGAACCAAAGAAGAGCCAGAAATCTCTGAAAAGAGCAATTAACATGCATGCGATACCAATCATAGCATAAATTCCGAGATAGAATCCAACATCAACTTCGGGAGCCAATTTTGCGACAATCGAAGTCTTGTTGGGATCAAAATATGGTTGAATTTGAGATAACTTTGAGCTCGCGACTTGAACCGTTGAGATGGTATTACCAATGTAGGAATTCGCTGATAAGTGGTATTTGGCACGGACATCTCCGGCATCGTATCTGTAGTTTTAAGTCATTAGAAAAATATTGTAGTTGACAACATCAATCAATATATATCACAACTTACTGATTTGCCCACTGTCTAATCCATACGTTGGCTGCAAGAGCACCAACTTGTTGAACGCCAAAGACCATTACAGCAAGTACCCAAAACCACCAAGGTCCCATGGCTCTCAAATACAACATAAGAACTCTCCATTTCACACCTCCTACTGCCTTCGTTTCGGCCATAGCATCTTTCTTTTCCTTGGATTTCTTTCCCTTTGGTTTTCCATTTGCACTATCTAGGTTATCGTCTACGGGCTGGTCTTCAATAAGAGTTTCGTTACTCTCATCACCAACGCTAGAAGGAACTCGAGATGGAATCCGTGAATGTGGAGCAGAAGCAGGAAGCGATTTACTGATTTCCTCACCTAACTTTCCTGAAGCCATAACCTTTTCCGCAGATCCTTGTTCCGTGATTTTACCATTTTCGAGGCAGACAACATATCGAGAATGAGGAACACAAAGAGATAGATTGTGTGTGACTAAGATGCATGTACGCTCGAGCATCAAAGGTCCTCGAATACAATTATCGAATATCCACTTGGCAGTATGTGAATCTACAGCGCTCAAACAATCATCAAGGAGTACATGTTTGGAGTTTGAATAAAGAGCCCTCGCGAGAGAGATACGCTGTTTTTGGCCACCTGAAAGACTGATGCCCTTTTCACCCACTAGTGTCTCATCGCCATCATCCAGAATCTCTAGATCACGTTCCAAAGCACAAGCGACGATTACATCTTTGTATCTTTTTTCATCCATCGGAGCAGCAAACAAAATATTTTCCTTAATATTGGCATTTACAAGCCAAGGTTGCTGCGCGCAGTAGGCAACGCTCTCAGTAAGACCAGTTTCAGGATCAGGTTGGACATCTTCACGACTGAAAGCGCCGGGCAGGAACACCTTTCCCTTTATTAGTGCCATCTCACCGAGAAGTGCCATCAAAAGAGAAGTCTTTCCAGATCCAGTAGGTCCAGCAACGATGTTCAAATGACCAATTTCGAATTTGACATTCAAATCCATCATTCGGAATGAGGCCAAGGTATCGTCAGTGGACGCCTCCTTGCTACCCCAGGATAAAGTAGCATCCTTAAAACCGATCATTTGATTGCCATCTTCATCCAAGTTGTCGTGTGAGAGCTGATCGTACTTTTCGGTCTCGTCTTCATTCAAAAATTCCTCCACCCGATTGATCGATACTTGACTTTCCTGAACATGAGCTATCATGTCGCCCAATTGATCTAGAGGAACACGGAGGATGTTGAAAAGTGAGATAGCTGTGAATGCGATGGAAGGATAGAGTGGTTTCTTCTCTCCAACGGTATAGTAGAGAAATGAAAAGAAAGTAATAACAACAGGAACTGTATTCCATACAGCAACAGCGAAAGCCCAGATGATATACTTCAAGCGTAGTGCTTTCAACTCATGAGCTCGTTTATCATTGACAATATCAGTGAAGCGCTTTTCCCAGGCGAAGTATTTGATTACACGAATGTTTTCCAATACCTCATTAGTTGTGTGGATTCTTTTATCGGTAGCAGCCATGATTTTCTTTTGCGCAGCTCCAAAGCCACGAGCAAATCCAATATTCACAGGAAGGAGAATGGCCATGACAATGAGACCTGGAATACTACTTTTTCCAAGTATACGATAAAGAAGGTAGATGGCTACAATCAATTGAGTTGGAGCAGCAGCAAAAAGGAAATGAAGATACGCAGTGACCTCGCTGACTTTGAAGGAATCAACAGACATGAGATTTATAATGGTACCAACATTAGCTTGCTCGTCTGTCTTCTTTCCAATCTCAGCTGCAGCGTCCGGCTGAGCTTGCGCATCGTTGGGAGCTTGCTCATCCCTCTTCTTTCCCAGTACTCGTCGCCACCAGCTAGGCTTCTCTGCATTCTTAGGGCCTTTCTTTGCTCCAAGGACGGAATCACTCCCTGATGCAGCCTTTCTTCTCAATGCTTTAGCGTAGATTTCACCAATGATAATTGCTCTTAATCTGATACAGATCTTGCGGCCAATCCAGAGTGCTTGTTGATCAGCTAGCGAACGGAGAATATCTGTGAAAGCAAGAAGAATGACGTATAGCCAGATGACATTGCGAGGCGCCGAATCTGGATCTTCTATGTATTCAAGAATAGCTTTCAACAACAATGTAGGCGCAAAATTGAAAAGTCCAGAAAAGACAGCATAAGCGCACTGTACAGTAAGAAGCCCTTTGAAATAGCGCATCAAATGCCATGTCAAAGCTGTAGTTTTTTTGAGCTGTCTGTAATCGGCCAAGACGGATGCCGCCTTATCTTTTGGCATAAGGTTCCAGACATCTGCAATTTCAAAAGTGTTGACATAGCCATGCCATACAATCGCATCCACCCATCCGAAGGTAGCAATGGAGAACAAGCTGGCTAATGGTTCTCTCGAAGGTTCAATATCTCCCTCCCACTCCAAGACCACAGCCTTATTGCCCTTGCGTGTAGTTATTGCGATTCCGAAAAGAAGCGAACAGAGTACGAAGTCTGTGATGATAAGTGCCTGGCTGATCCTAGAGCGTGGATGAATGATCGCGGAACGGAAAATGACTAGCAAGAAGAGCCATTGGGCAGTGTATAAAGCAGCTGTATGATTCCAAATCCTCGGGACCCTCCACCGCGTATTGGAGAAGGCAAATCTCAAACTTGCAAGTATTAAAATATAAGTCCATGTAAGGATTCCAACAGTGGCGGCCACAGCGCCCTTTGAACCATATGCACCAAGGACAAAAACTGCGATTTGAATACCTATTTCTGCCGTGATCGCGAGGAGTTCGATGATCGTCATAGTATTTTGTCCCCTGGGACTATCGATAGCGGCAACCGAGCCTTGGGTAGTCGTTTTGGTCAATACCAATCGCCCACCACCACTCATCGTCAAGCCCTCATCATCCTCCTCGATAGCGGTGTGATCGCTCCCATTCACTATTGTCTCCCCATTATCCCGGCTGAACCCATTGCTGGCTATCGTTATATGGTCGATTGAGCCATTTCCAAGCTGTCGATACTTGTGTTTCCGTTTTAACTTGACTTTCCGGCGAATTGCAGATATCGTTAGATTGAGGAACGAGAGACCGATGACTATTAATGGGAAAAGTACTTTGAGATAACTTTATGTTGTCAGTTTTACTCATAGCTGCCGGAAATTGGTTTAGCTTACTCTCTCTGAATGCAGTTTGTGAAATCATCGATTTGCCAAACAGGCCCACTGCATTGGCCCAACATGATTGCTCTCTAGTATGCGCTGGACAGTAGGATGGCGATTACAACGTATCGATGTAACGAATGTGACCTTAACGTATCATTGAACTGATTAATGAAGTAAGATTATTATTTCGCACTTGTAAATGATGACCTCAGTGGGAAAAAAAGAATTAAGTTGACGAGATTAGACCGAAGAGCTTAGAAATAGTATATGATGAATAAGAAGAGAGAAAAAAGAAGCACCTGGGTGGTTACCACAGTTTCTTAAGTTAATATACAAATTTGAGCAATTTCCCTTGGTTATTAAGCAGTTTATAGTTCAAAAAGTCTGTCGAAATAAAGTGTTTGTGTATTAATGGAAGGGAAGATGGGAAATGGGAGATGGAAGATGGGATGGGATAAGCTACATGATAGCCGACTGTGTATAGTTTATCTGCAAAAAGAGTTACTGCACGTACTCTAGCCAACAATTTGCCCCACTTGAGCATGACCCGTTCAACCTGCAAGCGAACATTTGAAGAAAACAACAGGGAACTTCTTTGAATATGGAATAAATTTGACTTTCTTATCAAAATATTCATCTTGTTGCTAAGATCTTACATACAGTATTATGGCTGTCGATGTGTATTATCATTGTCCCTATTGGTCTAAGATACTATGAATCTCAAAAGCGGAAGAAACTGCGGTACATTCAGACCTCATTTGCATTACATTATACCTTACAGATAGAGCTCCACCTAGATCAATATCTACCCAAGTACTAACAAGTACCTCTATATAAATCACATGCTTCAACTTCCAATCTGCAAATACCAGCATCAAGGCATTCTCACCAAGATATTTATTACTACAAACGCCTTCTCGACACCCTTAACAAGAAGGCATCGAAGCATTCATGTATTGATTTTAACCGCAAGGAATCTGCCTTAGCTCTTCTTATCCTGGGACATTCTAGAATTCCCAATGAGCCATCTTTTGAACTTCATGGCTTCTCTCATCCTGATATCAAAAGACTTGCGATTTCTTAAAAGACTCTCTTCACGCTGGACCCATTTTCGGACCCTCCTTACTGGTATTGGTTCCTGACTACAGCACCCCTTCATTTCTGAACCATATTTCTATCTCCACACTTCATACCCTTCATCCACACCGCCATCAGTCATCGCAACGAAAAATCTCAAACTTACTGATGATGAATCACTGGCCGAACACCCATTAAGGAAGGTGGTGTCGAAAACAGTAGCCGCGTCCTCACTTAGTAAAGTGGACACGATCAAACAATTTTTATAACCAATTCCTGCGCAACACAAACACCACCTACAGTAATCTACTCAAAATAGCCGTTCATTATCTGATTTGTCGGAAATTACCCTTATCCGTGCATTGCAGAAAGCCATGTGCGATAACGGCTCTGACTCAGTGTAAAACTATCTGGTGGCACTTCATGTATAATCCGTAGGTAACAGAAAATGCTGTTTCTGATTTCTGATGGTGTCACCCGCCCTCGCCAGTGACTTTGATCCACCAAGACCATGCAGGATGGCACTTATGAGAGATAATCTCTTACAAATCTTTCGGATTCATTGGGCAATCGATATATTTGATATTTGATATGCCACACACAGACAGACATCTTGAGGAGGAAAATAAATCCTCAGTTATCGAGCTCAATTCATCATAGAGTCATCGATGGAAATTTTCGACTTGGAAGTCTAGTAAGTTTACTAGATGCCTCAAAAATGACCAAAGCTTAGTATATGGCTGATCTAAATCAATTTCTCCGAGATGCGCAAACCTCATATGTCAAACTCTTCATAGTTCCGTCAATCCTTGGCCCATTTCATCCAATGCAGAGGCTACAATGGCGTGATATCGGCTTGGGACAACTGAGCCGACGCTGAGACAGTAGTAGCCAATTGAGTTCGGAGCGATAAAAGTTCATAATGTTCCCATATTCTACAGGCAATACACTCATTCGGTGAATGTAGCATCTCATCCCCTCGACTGCTATAATCTCGGACTTGTAGCGCATATCACATTTTTATAATTGCCCTGCTTCCAACTCCCGTTCAAAAAAGTGAATAAGTCCCAGTGTTCATATCCTCCCAATAATCGCCTTCTCTCCTTTCATATGTCCGAATAGCGAATGCAGCTCAAACAAGCTGTTATATCTTTCCGAACTGAAGGTATCGAGAAAGCTCTCCCAGATGTCGTAGTATCTTTACTCTTACTGTTCTTACTCCAGATTTCGAACTTTCAGAACCATATACATTCATACTCTCTCAGCTCGATTTGTATATGGGAATAAGATTATCATTTTGTATTTCAGCCAGCTTCAACACACTTATCATTCCTAGCATTCATTCCCAATGTCTCTATTTCTATGAAGAAAGTATTAACTATCTACTACCTAATAATACAACATTTCCGAAACAACCTACATTGACAATGCGAACTCTTAGTGGAACACAGACCGAACCTTCAATAACATTCCGAATAAACATCTCATACACTATACGGGAATACTTTACTTTGATCTCTGATAGAAAGACGGTACCATTAAGACAAGGAAAAAATCGAAGTGCAAAGGTTTTACTCTTGATATTAGTAGTCCAATTCAAATTTCTACCTCTTCTTAGTGTTATCGCAGAAAAATATAGGGAAATATACTTATATATACCTATATAATCCCATTCAGTCACATTAGTTGTAGCAACAACAACAATAATAACAATATATATTCAACGATCTAGATCCCACAATCCAATCTTCTATCTTCTATCTTCTATCTCCCATCCTCTCTCCTCTAATTCAATTCCAATCCACCTCTTCTCTCCCCTCATTCCCCATCCTTACATTTATTCCAATTCAATTCAACTCAATTCAAAAACCCCCACTCTCATGAATGAAATATTTATAATTATAGTCGATAATTATAAAAATACAAATATCTCTCTCTATTGATACTAATATTACCCACTAAGAACTGTTTTATGATTGGATGACAATAAGATAAGATGTTTGTGTATATGTAACCACCTAGGTACAAATAATATATCAAACTACCCGTAACCACACAAGCACAAACACAATACAAATATAAATACTTCAATTTTTTTACGTTGTATATTACATACTTGTTTTTACAAATCATGCTCATTGCTTATGCTTCCTGGCATCAAAATTCATGCAAGTTCATACAACTCAGGTTCCAAAAAATACATGCATCCCATTCCCACTTATTGTTACATTTATGCGAAGATCATAGGGAGTATGTAGATAAAATGATATTGCCTCTTTCATCTACACGTCTTTGATCTCCGAACCCCGTTCCGATTTTCCCAACAACCACCAATCCTAAAAACGTTTGCTTTTCTTTTATGTAATCAAGCATACAAGAAGAAATTGAAAGTATGGATAAGATAATCCTTATCCCATAATCATGCCTTTCATACCAGCCATATCTCCCTCCTTTGCGGCGATCTCGAAGTATCCGTAAATAATACTATGGTAAGGTTAGTCATTGATATGGGTAAAATTGGAGTGAAAATGCTTACGTGACAGCCAACAAAATACCAGTTCCAGATCCAAGAGCTCCCAACAAGTCACTACCAACAGAAAGAGCACCGATACAGGCACCACCAAAAGCGGCAGCAGTAGGAATGATGCGCTTCAATTCCTTATACATGCTTTGCTCTCTGTGACCAGCCATGACGAGACCTTGATCCTTAAGTTGCTTAGCAACATCTCTTGGGCTGGAGCCGGAAACTTCAATCCAAGTCTTAGAGAAGATAGCACATGCGACGAGCATATAAGTAATGTAGACAGCAGTGTGGATTGGGTCGAGAAGAGCATCGGTGAAGTTCAAAGGTGGGGACATGTAGTATGCGATACCGGAGGTAGCGAAAAGTTGTGCGGAACCCTCCTTTGGCTCCCAAACACCGAAAAGTTGGACAAGCAAGTTCTCGGAGAAGCGGGAGTACAACATCTGAGAAATGAGGAAGATGTTGGAGGAGAGAGCGGATTGGAGCATAATTGGCATGTTGGAAGTGTAGAAGAGACGAACTGGGTAAGATCCACGAGCTCCACGTTGACGAGAAGATTTGACTGGAATCTCAACACGGAAACCTTGGAGGTAGATAACCGCTGCGAAGACGACAATTGTAGCCAAAAGGTTCATGATGTTTGGAAGACTTTGTCTATAGAAAGCCTCTTGAAGAGCACGTTGCTTGTTTGGCCATGTCAAAAGCAAGTGGAAGAGCGCAATGACGGCACCCTCGAACTCTGGGCCACGACCAGTGTTGATGGTAGTTGGAGAAAATGCTTTCCAGATGATAGACTCGCAGATGTTGGTAGCAATGAAGAGGGAGATACCACTTCCAAGACCATATCCCTTTTGGAGGAGCTCATCAAGAAGAATGACAATCAAACCAGCAACAACCAATTGAAGGATGAGAAGGCAGACAACACCAGCACCAAGATCGGATGGTTGACCGTACAATCCAGTGAAGACATAAACAGTAGCTTGACCCATTGACAAAATAATAGCGAAAAGCTTTTGCGCGGTTTGATACAACTCGCGATCAGCCTTCAAGTCAAGGTTGACATCAATCAAGTGTGTACCAGCAAGAAGCTGGAAAACCATTCCTGAGGAGATAATTGGCGTAATACCCAACTCCATCAAAGTACCTCTGTTACTTGCCAACATCATTCTCAACCAGTATAGAGGATCGGAGGTATCTGAGGACACGATACCATACAATGGCATTTGGCTCATAACCAAGAATATCAATAACGTCAAACCCGTCCACATCAATTTTTGGTTGAATGGGACCTTTGTCTCGGGTTGCTGAACCTCAGGGAGGAACGGCGAGAAGGGTTTGATGAGATCGAGAAATCGAACTAGAAAGATACATTGTCAGTATTTTGCAATTGACTGCGGGAAGAAATTTGAATATTTCGAAGCTCATGGACACCTATGACGATGAGCTGCAAAAGGAAGAAAATGTATAACTTACGGCCACTCATCTTGGCGATTTGATATTTAAAAACCTCACCGAAGTAGAAAAAGAAGAACAAGGAGAAGAGTTAAAGAATGGCACGTCGACACTGTGCTCTGCTATTTAAGAAAATGTCGCAGATTTGTGATGTGTTGAGAAGAATAATCCGAACAGATCTCAAAGCTTGGGGTTAATTCATGGTGTTCATAACACTAGTAAATTTTGGGACTGGTGCCTTAATGTAAAGATGTGGCCTTTGGCTAGATGAAGATTAGTAAGCGAAAAGTTGTATAGCAGCTTCATTGATGTCCGAGCCCCTTTATGCAAAAAGTTAAGAACAGATGAACAGATAGATGTTTCTTATAGATTTTATACTCTTATAAATCTCTTACAGAGATATAAAATAAAGGATTTTCTGTCTCCTAAGCAAGCTAGTAAGAATATGTACCGATAACGGATCGAAATCAGTACAATTTACTTATATTACACCATCTTGATATCAATCTACAATGTAAAAGGATCTATCTATTACCTTCCATAGCTTCTACTTAGTCTGACACAATCATTCCATCATTCGAAAAAATCACTCGAAAAAGGCACTCTCCCAAAAATCGTAGCATAACAACATATCTCGCAAGTACCTTAAATAGAATAAAGGCACCTATTCACAATATCAATAAAGCATTAATCGTTGATTATATTATACGAAGATGCATCGCAATGTCTTATTATCCACGAAAGCGTCTGTCTAAAGTTAAATCTAATGTCATGATGGTTCATAATCCCTACGACGACATGCCACCCATCAAATGTAAAATAAAGCCGTCCTATTTCTACAATCTCAACGCAAGCCGCCAACCATCTCGCGCCATCCACACTAATTACAAACCCATCCCCTTTACCCTCTCCTCGAATGAAACAGGATCTACCATACATCCCCTCTACCAAGCCACCCTTGCCAACCATCCTTCCGGCCACTTCCTCACGTACAATTTCCTCACCTCATCTGTGAAAAGTATCCACATACCAAAACATAATGGAAAGAAGAAATATTCCGCTGGAATAGGGCTACTATTGATTGCAGATGTTAATCCTGGTATGTAGAGGAAGATAAAGATCACGACGAGGGCGAAAATTATGGCTGGGAAGAGCCAGAGATTTTGTGTTGCTTTGTTAAAGGCAGGAGGTTGTTGGAAAATTGAGAGACGGCGAGTGCGAGTTGCCTGGTTTGGGGTTAGTAAAGTTCGAAATAAGAGATTAATTAAAAGTGCTGAGGAGAAAGAGGAGGAGGTGAAAGTGAAGAAGGGCGACTTACCATCAAGTTGAACCATTGCATAATAACCAAATTGACAAAGTAAATACTGCTAGCCACAGCCAACACGTTTTGGACATGCTCGTCACTCAAATGGGGCGGGTAATTTCCATATCCCAACCACAAGATTGAAAACGTAACTCCTCGCCGTTGGCAATACCAATACGCCATGGCAAACGAGGCAATGGCTTCTTGCATACCCAGAAAGACATACGCATGGAAGAGTAATTTCCAATCAACCAACCTATCTTTCTTGACATCTCTTGGTTTCCTCAAAAGCACGTCAGCTTCCGGTTTTTCATAAGCAAGAACCGTCGCACCAGCACAATCCGTGAGACAACAGATCATAATCATGAGGAAAGAGCTGAGGATTTGAGGAAGACCGAGAATGACATTCGTAATGATGGGAAGAAATTCGCAAAAAGTTCCGGCGGGAAGAAGGTAGATGAGAGTTTTCTTGAGGTTGTCAAAGACTACACGACCGTATTTGACGGCTTCAACGACAGCGCCGAAAGAATCTAACAGGACCATATCAGCGGCTTCGATTGCGATATCGGAGCCACTTCCAAGTGCAATGCCAATGTCAGCGGCTTTTAGGGATGGAGCATCGTTGACACCATCGCCGGTCATCCCTACTATGTTCTCGCGTTTTTGAAATTCTGTACTGTTGTCAGCCATGTGCAGATTGATATGTGGGATGATTTTAAAAGCATACCTTTGACAATTCTTAGCTTCTGCTCAGGAGTAGTGCGTGCGAAGACAATTTCTTCATACTGGCAGAGCTGATCCCATTGACTATCATTTAAACTGATCAACTCCGGGCCACTGAGAGTTATGGACCTCGCGTCTCCATGCTTCGAGTCTGCATCTTTCTCAGAGATGACGCCGCTCGAAACACTTTTTGGTGTCTCCAATCCATTTCTGTCGAGCTTAGAAACATCATGAATCATGCCAGTGGGACTGGTGATGATACCACATTCGATAGCAATAGCTTGAGCAGTGAGTTTGAAATCGCCAGTGACCATGAAGATTCGTATGCCAGCTCTCCTTAGGACTTTTACCACCTCTGGTATTTCATCTCGGGGAGGATCCACAATGCCGACAAGCCCCACAAGAATCAAATGGCTACCAGCTTGTCGCATAATCTCGGCCTCAAAAGTGTTGTTTTCAGGATTATGCTGTCGTTGATGCCCGGTGAGCACTTTCCTTGCAAGTAAGATCACCCGCTTTCCCTGACTTGACCATTTATTTTTGATCACCTCTATAGAGTTCCTCATATCCGCGTTCAATGGGTACACATGACCATCTTCACCAACATATTTAGTGCAACGTTCGACAAGAATGTCTGGGGCACCTTTAACAGTCAATAGCAGATCCTCATTTTTCCATTCCGCCTGCTCCTGAGGTGATACCGCAAGTCCCAGACCTTCATGGTCGGATAGTGTCAAAGTTCTGATCATGAATTTATTCTTGCTGTTGAATGCTAGCTCGAAAGTCTTTCTCCATAACACATGTAACTGGCGAACATCCCCGAATGCCTCTGACAGTCGGAGGACCGCCTGATCTGTCGCATCTCCGGCAATCTTTCGTTCCGCAAGAGGTAAATGGAGCGTAGCAGCATCGAATTCACCGGCGTTGCATAGGCCTGCCAGAGATCGCAGCTGAGCCACACAATTAGTAGTCATGCCATTGGACTTCTGAAATTCGATGGCTTGCTCCGGAGTCATTGTCTTTTCTGCGATTGAGCACTCCGTTACAAACATTTTATTCTGAGAAGACGATTAGTTAGCTAAATCCCCGAAATGTCTAAAGATGAGTGTTACTTCTGTTACCTTTGTTAATGTCCCAGTCTTATCCGAGCAGATAACTGATACAGCTCCCAAGGTCTCGACAGTCTTTAACGACTTGCATAGGACTTGGTTTCTTTTCATTATATTCGCAGTAATGGTCAACGAAGCAGTTAGTGCGATAGGTAAGCCCTCAGGGATAAATGCAACTGCCACGGTCACGATATCTAGAAACCTGTTAGCCAAACGTTCCTTTCCAGTCCCAAGTGATAGTAGAGATGAGCTAAATAAAGAAAAACTACATACCAACAATTAATCCAGCAACGGTGATCCAGTCGGGATGTGAATGTCGCAACCATGCGGCCCAACAGATGATGACAACTATGTTGAAGAACACCATAATGGAACAGATGATTATGATAAACCTCAAGATCTCCCTCTGCAATGTGGTCATACCTGTCTTCGGAGTATTGGTTAATTTAGCAATCTTACCAAACACTGTCTTATCTCCCGTGCTGACAGTGACTCCTATTGCACTTCCAGAGATGCAATGCGTCCCCTGCATACCAATGTTATGCGTCTCTAAATAATTGAGATCTGTGTTCTCAATTGAACCTGGAATAGGTTGTGATTCTCCAGTCAGGATGGAGCGATCAAACTTCGCATCAGATGAGATTTCAATGAAACGAACATCTGCAGGGAGCTTATTACCAGACTTTATGTAAAGAATGTCACCGGGAACTAGACTGACTGCGGCAAGCTCCACGCGGTTGCCATCGCGGAGGACGAAGCAATCATCAGGAAGCATGCCAGAGATGGACGCCATTGTACGAGACGATGACCAATCCTGCCATGCATTGAATAAAGCTTGGATGACGAAGACGGCGTAAAGGACAATCGCAAGAGCTAGATTGGCCTGTGCTGGATTTGGTTCTCCGAGTGGTTCATAAGTAATAGTGACCAGGATACCACCGATCAATAAGACGGATCCAAATCCACCAAACAGATATCCAAAGACTAAGAATTGAGAGTATTAGAGCTTATCTAGATGACTAAAGGAAATGCATGTAACGCAAGTACATATGGAAACAGACTTACCCCTCGAGAGCAAATCCGAAGGTGGTTTCGAAGGCATATTCTTTCCAAACTCTTTCGTTTTGACCTCGACCTGTTCCTTGGAGAGACCTTCAGTAACTGATGTCTCCAGCCGACCTATTACGTCGTCTGTGGACAGAGTATGCCACTCTAAATCGCCAAGCTCAGCTGCAGCATCCTTCTTTGCACGATCTGCTTCAGCCCTTGGTATTTCCTTACTCTCTTCGATTGCAAATGAGACTGTGCGGTAAGTAATGGGCAGAGCAGTTGCTGGATCGATAGACACTCTGCGGCGTCTGGAACTTGTGGCGGATAGTTGTGAGCTATTTGTGATTGTCCGAGCCATTCTAGGAAGTGTGCTCGTCTGTCTGCCTGCCTCTTCATCTTGAGCGCCGAATCTGATTCGCATTTCTGGTCTAGGTTGGACATGAAAAATTTCGTCGTCCTGCTCCTCAGATGAGGCGTACATGGCTTTTCCCTCCATGTCTACGATCGTTGTAGGGTTGTTTGAAATATGGAGGTTCTAAATTCGCAGCAGCTGACCAAGAGTTTGGCAAAATATATTGCCACTGCAGCTTTGCCAACGCTAGAATTGGCAAGCAAGTAGGTAAAGAAGGCCAGCAGTGTAGCACGAGCGCTTTGCTCGGAGCAGCTTCAACTAGTCGTTCAGTGAAGGAGATGTGAATAGGCAGCGGAGAGTGAAAGCAATGCGGGTAACACAATGAGAATCGTTTTTGGAATATCAAGCAAGTCAATGACTTGAATTAACAGGAATGTTGAAGGAGATCAACGAACTTAAAGGCATCAGAAAAGTACTGTGATCTTCAGAAATATACTAACAAACACTTGCCGTGCTCGGAGGCAGCTGGGGGCAGTGCAAGAATCTCCCAAACATTAATGGGCCTTGTCCCTTTTGTTGACATTGTATAATTGTGTCCTGCCAGGAGCAGCGGTACAAGCGTGGGAGCATCTTTCCAATTTCCTGATAGCGGTGTAATTTCCATGAGGGATTTTCCAATCGGATGACAGCAACATAGCAGTACCTAGCACCAGCTGTACAACTGCACATAATATAAATTCACTTCTTCATTCCAGAAACCGAATATGGTCTAGATCTGTAAGCGATTGGCGTAGAGGGGCAAGCCATCTGATAGCGAAGCGACATCCCTTCAATTGTGATAAAATTTGAGCATGGTATCCAATTTATTTCATCTTCTGCACGTAAGGCGTTACATTCAAATCGCTCATACAAAAATGAACCCGTCAATTATATTATCAAACTGGATTATTATTAAAGACTTGGTCTTTGTGGGGGAGGATCCATTTGGAAACTTTTACTCACCAACACTTCGTACATTCGTGGCTGACTAGCCGCGAAATTTATATCTGGGAGATAAATCCCTCATGGACCAAACAGGGCTTCCTTGCTCAATTGGTTGTTTGTAGAAAGGATTTCTCGTGGCAATTTTCGTTGGTGCCATTGGATAATAACATAAGGTGCTATCTGTAAGGTCTTAAAGCATGTTCGAATGCACATTCTAAGATTTTGGAGTAAATCAAGATCGTGTTGAGATCAAGTCGTAGGAGTATTGTCGAAGATATATCAAAATCGTGGACACGTTTTGAAAGCACAAGGGCGTTTGCAGATCGCTTCGCTTAAGTAGGTACTTGGTCCATTATTCCTTTCAAAATCAAGCTTTTTTGGGGAAGAGATTTTAGCACGTTTTAGGCCCGGCTCTTTTGCCACAGGAAGCCTAGCGAGCTTGTAGTCGGGTCAATGATCTAAATTTGCTGGGTTGGCACGGTGGCTGGGTTAATTCCGTGCTAGTGTATGATGGAGTACGTCGTGGTGGGCGTTAGACAGGACTAGGTGGTAGACAAAAATACTTGACCTATTCCGTGTACGTACTAGATTTTTGGTACATAGCCCGCATTTTCTGTCCTCTCTCCGCGTGTAAAATGCTCACAAATTCCCTCATATTGACAAAAGCTTTGATTGACTGCTACAGCACTCAAGGTTCCATATATCGAAATTTCTCAATCCACCGGTTCTAGCAGAGGATACGGGAGACGGGAGAGCATTACATGCCTGAAAACAAGTCTGCAGAAGAAAGGCTTCTGTTGAAAGGTAATTATCGTCAGCAGTATTCCTATTCGCGCCTTACGCAACCTTTGAAAATTTGAAAGCTTTCCGGGAGTTCAAGAAGAAGTAAAGGCTTCGTCGAGAACAGTCGTCGTCAATAGATTTGTCCCACGCGAGTTAGAAGAAGCTTGTACAAATAAATAGCCCGGCAAGATACTACTACTGTAGGTACCGCCAACGTGTAAAATTCTACGTCCTGTAGTACTTCCTAATTTCCGTTCCGATGCATGGCGTAAAGTACAACAATGTACCCAGTTGCTAGCCTTGTGTAAGACCTCATTCCTACTTTCATTCTCGTGGTTTTCGTAGGGCTGGATCTTGGCCAGATCTTGGCCAGAAATTTTCATGAAAGTCATGTTACCATAGATTTATCACCAGCTCCTAAAGCTACCAATGGTTTCTTTTCTTCGAGAATAAGATTGGGGGTCATGTTCTGAATCTGGAGAGTGCCGTGGGGGTTGGTGATTTGCGTGATTTATGCCTATGAGCACAACGTCGGTGCCTTTCAAGTAGCAGATGGTGATTTGCTGCCATTTCTTTCGCTATCGTGACGAGACCTACTATTTGCCCCATTTTTCTGCAGCTTCTTAACCATTCGTCGATGGGCACGGGTTGCAGAATGCACTTGCCATTGACCTTCTGTCATAACGACAATGTGGCATATTTCGCATTTTTTTGGCACCCAACGAGCTTTGCTTTGGGTGTGCTGCAAAGGCTTTTCGGGATTTAAGAATTCCCCGGCTAGGGTAGACATTTCGCTGGGCGTGGGGAGCTTGTTACCAAGGAGGAAATTTTGCGTAATATCAATAGCAGGACCTGACACGTTCTCCGACCAGGCTAAAATGTCTGTTCCATCGAGGAGAAATAGTCTGTCAAGAGCATTTTTTTGAATAAGGCTCGGTATCAATTTGAGACTGATCCATCGGATTTGTCGCTTAGCATACTGTCGCGTGGCAGCTTTCATTTTTTCCAACGAATCATTACGAAGGATATCTTGCTTTTTGGGGTTTCCGCCTTCCTGCTCAAGAGCGGCAAGGTATAGCTCAAACTCTTTCCAGCCGATAGAGACCCATATGCCACGAGAGAGATCAAGATCAGCGCCGCGACGAACGTATTGTTGACGAGTTGTCTCCATGGACTTGACTTCGTCTAGCAAACCTACATCAATCATCTTATCTACTCGTTTGTCAAGCCTCGATTTAAGAACATCTGATTCCGCATGTACCCAGAATAGCAATGGCGAGCCTATCTCGAACCTGTCTGGAGATTTTAAGTAGCCGTCTAAATTTGCTTGTGCTATGGCTTTGGCCTCTTTCTGCTCTCTGTAAATATCGGAGGCTTTCTTTCCACAAGTCAAGAATATTTGAAGTGATGTCTGAATTTTGCGACGGTCGTTGGGATGCCACTGCGCAGCCATAAGTGGATCAACCTCCCTCAATCGATCTAATAATTGGTCCGTAGGTGCATCGAGGATTGGAAATCGTTTGGATAACTCTTCTAGAGGAAGTTGTTCATCATCCTGGCCTTCCATGGAAGCTTTTCCAGAGGAGACGAGCTCATGTTCGAACAGAAGAGACTGCGTATAATAGTGAGTTCCTCCTACTACAATGGGTAGTCGTCCCCTTGATCGAATTTCTCGAATTATTTGGCTAGCTTGCTTCCTAAATGTTCCCACTGTCCATGTTTCCGCATTCAGAGGAATGAAACCTAGCAAGTGATGCGGAACACCATTCTGTTCTTCGACAGTAACTTTATTTGTAATTATAGGCAGACCCTCATACATTTGTACAGCATCACCATTTATTATTTCGCCATTAAAGCGTTTCGCAAGGTCGATTGCCAGCTGTAGAATGATTAACCTTCAACCCCAACCGAGGACGCGCAGACTTACTTGTGATTTTCCCGTACCAGTTGCCCCGAGAACATATATCAAAGGATCTCTAGGGATGAGACGAGCCATCTTTGATGATTTTCCAATTTTGTTGTGTATTTGATGGAACATTAGGAAGACTTTAGTCGAGTGATGCGACTGGATAATTTGGAACTTTTAAGCAAAAATAGTAGTGTCAGCCTTGTCAGCCTCGCAAGCACGGCTACATTCATCTGCCAATCTTAAGACTTGATTAGTCGATATTGATAAGTACAAGGAACGCAGGTACTCTTCTACCAACAATTTTTGTCGCACCATTCGGGCAATGAAGCGGGAAACCATGAAGCTCTCCGGAACGAACATTAAGGAAGAGTCAGCGGGGACCTGAAACCCATCTAAGAGCTCACCATGAGCTGGTATATTGCTCACCATCCTTCAACAAGACAATGATAAATGTGAGGCTATGATGATGTACTTGAATGTGAATTACTTCGGATTTTGCCAAGTACCGTCCTATGATACCCCCTTATGCTATACCAGTAAATGCTCAATGTGCAGTTCCATAACACCCTGCCAGAGAATATTGAAACTGTCGGAAAAGCCCTATGATACAATATCCTCAAGAATATTCTCTAATTCCTCTTTTCTAAAGGGCACAGATAGCATTTCTATCCCCAAAGCATCCTTCTTACTCTCTATCATTTGGTGGTCATGAAATCTGAGAAAGAATTAGTTGTCAAGCATTGATATGAACTGGAAAAACTTACTCTTTCAGCAATGTCCTGAAGTTCATCTCATTGCTGCAAATAAACTCCTCCACAGCTTTTTGGTATAGCACCCTGTATTCCACACCAGGTTCACTCTTCCTACCAGTAGATCCATGTAATCCATCCTCATCATCACCATCAATATGTTCATCTACGCGAATATCATCCATAGCTGCAAGCTGTTCACCTACCAAAACCCTGAAAAGATTCTTTGCATTTTCCGGCAGACTTTTAAGCACAAAGCCTACACCTCCTTTACCTCCTACTTTGCGCCCGCTTCTTCCAAGAAGGTCATGCACCTCGTCTACAACGTCAACCTCTACTGTGTAAGGCAGAAAGGTCGTGCAATCGTGAAATAGAAAGTTGAACGCTGCACGAAGTGAACTATCCCAAAGCAAATGAAAGGAAGGGTGGTCTACAGACACAACTAAATGTACCTGTGGGTGAGAACCCAAACGTGAGAGTATCATTTGAGATGCAGGGCGACGGAGAGCAGATCCATCAAGGGAATGTATAATGAGAGTCACATGTTGAGTCTTGTCTTCATCAAGTAAATTCGTGAGGTTTTCAAACATTTCTGCTGGCTGTGAACCTATTTTCGTGCCGTTGCCAGAAATAGAGCCGGCTATTGTATTCAAAAGATCTCGAATTGTGAGGTTTTGTACATAACCATTTACCACGACTATTTTCTCTCGGGAATGGTCAACCATTTTGCTGTAGATATGCTCAGCAAATTTGAGGAGAAGAGACCTTTTTGACCCCCAACCGTAGATACAAATGTTGAAGTCCTGACAGAGCTCAAATTGCCATTGATTGAAAGATTTGGCATGCACATCTTGTAAGAAATTCATATCGTCTTCATGCTGGTCTTTGTAGCTGCCGGCAAGACTAAAATACTCTTCATGGTCGAGTAACGCCAAGGAAGACAAATTAGAATTTGCAGTCTTGGACCTTCCAGGCCTATTTTGAGAGAAGTATAGTTCGTGAGACGAAAGGTCTTGAGGTGGTGTCAAAGATCTCTGTCGAGTTTTCGATCCTTTGATTCGCCCTCGTCCCCTTTTGGAAGGTGTAGATGATTCGCCTATAGCTTCAGATACTTGATTTGTATCATTCTCTATTTCCGCTTCATCATCACCCTCTGAATCATAAATTTGGTTCGCAATATCTTCTTCCTCGTCATCATTATCGCTTGTATTGCCAAGTACCGTACGCTCAATGAGTGTCCTAGTACTCTTCCTTCTAGCTGATCTATCGATGTTGCGACGAAGGCGCGGAGTTTCATCTGTTCCAGTTATACCTTTGGCCTTTACGGGAGTTGCAAATAGTTTATTTCCATGCCTTATAGACCTAGGAGTAGACTGATTCTGAGCTGTAATAGGGCTCAAGGTTAGACGACTCGGCGAACCATCATCCTCAGACTGAGATTTTGATAGTACAGCATTGTTGCGGACCGGGTTTGATTCGCCATTCTCTGCAGAATCTTCGGAATCAACATCGTTCTCTTTTTCCACTGCAAGTGTTCGAGTTCCTTTCCCGTTTTTCGAATCTGGAGAGACGGCATCAACCGTGGAATGATGTACTGATATTGCATTACTTGATCGAGTTCGCTTCACATTTAGATCTTGGTCGCCATTCCTACTTGCCTTCCCATCTTGTTCTTTTCTCTTCATTGCGAACAGGAAGGTGTTATGTTTATCCGGACAACCATTAGAATGTTAAAGGGATTTGTTCCCTTAAATTTCACAAGGCTATCAATTGTCCGATAAGGCTTTGTGAACTCCCATGCGATGTTGTGAGATTACTGCAGGCAGGGCTAAAACGCGGGGACTTTGCGGTTGCTTAGCATAATCGCGTCCTATGCAATACCCTTGTAAGTAAACAAAAAACGCTCAAGCATTAATCGTACTTTCCAAAAATGGTCATTGAATGACTTTAATGATTTTGACGACCAACACCTAGAGTTAATGAATCTGTGGCCACTTTGATGAGCTTTGCAAGTGATTTCTATTAATTCTTTGCAATTGCTACGTCAAATATGCTTAACTGGTGGCTAGGACGGCCTGATGGTGCCGAGCGTGTTGCAGGTATGGACATCATCAACCATGAATTGCCTTGTGTATAGAAGACACAAAAATCACAAAAATGCTCACACTCTACAGGTGCCGATCCCGATGCAGAAGCTCCAGAGACTCCTGCCCCGGTGTTTGCTGCTCGCGCACTCAAAAGTGCCTTCTTTGGTACACCTGGCCTCCCTCTAGATGATACGCTTTACGGAATTGAGAATGAGGACGATCCAACAACTAGCAGAGATACCCGATTGCCACATTATCTCTCGGCCTCTCCATCAAAGCCGCCAGGAATTTTGATGACACCTGGGACTGCGGCAACTCGAAGAAAGACGGTGTCGTTCGGATCAGATGTCGATGACAATGAGGGAAAGGACAGGCCGCAGAAAATTGTTGGCAGGGCAGCAACACCAGGAAAAGTCCTTGCCTCACGGTCCTCTCAGGCGGAAGAATTATCGCAGCCAAGCAGAAAGACTTCGCTTCTGAAAACATTAGAAAATTCTCGTGGGTCAGACAGCGCATTCAGAAGGCGCAATCAATTTTCTGCGGCCTCTTCGATATTACCAAATTCGACTTTGACCAAGGAAAAAGATGTAGTGAAATCAAATGATACGAAAGAAGCCAAAAAATCACGGTCGAATGGTTTAGAATTGGCGAAAGAACCCGTACCCGGAGCCGACAGCGATGCAGACGTGACAGTTGATATCAATGACCCCCGATCACAGTCCGGGAAATTCTGGAAATCCGAATTCCAAAAGTACCACGATGAGGCGCAGACTCAAATGAAGAAGCTGGTAGAGTACAAGCAGCTCGCAAAGTCTTATGCCAAGAAGAAAGATGCAGAAGCTCTCGATCTTGCAGAAAAGTTGAAGGAAGAGCAAGCAAAAGTCGCTACAATGGAGAATAACATTACTGAGCTGATGTCGCAAATTGCAGCAGAAGGGAAAGTAAGGGGGGATACTTCTCCGGAGCTCATGAGAGAACTTGCTCGCCAGACTGCTTTGGCCTTTCAATATCGTGTTCAGGTAGAAGAATTTCGCAAAGCCATGGAAGGGGATGGAAGTCTTGCCGCAGCAGTTCCAAAAACTGAATCGAGGAACTCGAAGAACGAACCTAGAGACACAATATCTCTCCAGAATGAATTAGATCAAGCCTTACAAGCTCTAGCAACCGCCGATAGAACTGTTTCCAAGCTGCAAGGTGAAAACAATAAGCTTTCACAGGATTTGCTTCATTCTGAATTGCGATTCGAGAAGCACACCGAAAGTTGGGAGAAGCGTCTGAAGCTTGCTGAAGAACAACGTCAAAAAAAAGATGAGCGGCTTCAAACCCTTCAAAAAGACTACGATCACATCAAGCAAACAGCAAAGAATTCAAGACGTGATGCAGAGCACCTTCTAAGAAAGCGACATGACCAAGTAGTGGAATTGAAGAAGGAGAATGCATCATTGAAGAGTGAGCAATCAACCACAAAGGATTTGCAACAAGCTCTTCACAGTAAGTCCGTTGAATATGATACGATGGTCGATAGATATGAGAAGGAGATGGCCAAATTGAGAGAAGCTGTGCGTGGGTCTACCTATGACGACGTGACAGAGTCAGGCTTTGATTTATTTCGAACAAGGAGCCATCCAACCGAGAAATCGTATGCTTTTACAAGTAACATACCGGTGTTGAGTCAATCTATTACACGCCCGTCGAAGACAATGGCCTCATCTAAGCCTGCAAATTTCGAAGCACCTCTTGAAAGCACACAAAGATCATCACACGCAGCCTTGTCTGAGATTACCAATGTTGCAACTACGGAACAATTTGCTTTCCAAAAATCGAAGAAAGTTGACTACACTCCTCTCGCCAACCGTTTTGCCGATTTCACTCTCGATTCATTAAACACTAACATGCAAACTGAAGACCCATCCTTGCCTCTCCTCCCTACACGAAAAAGTCATGAGAGGTGCCTAGCCAGTCCCCGACCCAAGATATTTAACATTCCCTCGAGTCCTCCTAAAGCAACAGTCTCTCGATCTCGCCCTGTTGACCCGTTGAGATCGAATAACGAATGTACGGTACCCCACTCGACCACTATTGCTTCGAGCCGAAGATCCAGCCCATCAAAGTGTGCTTTGCCTCCTGACAGAGTTGCAGCTGCCAAAGCAAGGTTAGCACAAAAAAATGCCGAGAAAAAAAGAGCTCAAGCATTAGGGACAGATAGCATTAGATAACTTCCGTTCAGTTTCGACATTGTTCATGTTGTGGTTTTGGAGTCAAGGGTACATTATTTTATGGAAGTTCATGCTCAGCATGGCGCTTGGTGTTGGTGGCAATACTAACTGGGGCGGCGTCATATTGAGTTTGTGCTACGATACCTCGAAGACATATATAGCTTCACTTTCTTCCATCAATTCATCGCATTTTGATCATTGAAAATAACTCTATACATTCACATAATAACACGCCACCGAAAATTGTCAAGTCATCCGGTATTTAGTACATTTCTGTTCAAGCTATGTACTGTCTGAAAGTTTCGCACCATGTTCAAAAGCAAGAAGTGATTTCATCATTGAAGACAGGATGAGAATCAAATATTAAAAGGGGCGTGTTCGCTTACAGTCCTAGGTGCAATCTAGCGATCTCGCTCACTGCATAAGTAAAACCCTCGAGGCAAAGTGAGTAATATTTGAAGCAAGAGTACATCTATGATCACATTTCCAGAGGCATATGACACGGTATCCGCGCTTCGATAAAGTCCCACTTAATGCCACCTAGGGTCCTTGTGATTGATTGCTTATCGTTAGGAACTACTCTGTGCCCCTCGTCTCTGGTGGCTCCTCTTCATGATACCGGAGAATATGCTGACCTCGGGAAATGCTTAATAATACTCGAAAATATTTGTAGGAAAAATTACCATGTGAAGTAGATAGGTATGTATTTGTAGGAAGTTTACATGGGGAACGAACCCGAAATTGATTCGCTTTATTGCTATTAAACCGGTCTAAAAAATACTGGTTGCATACTCTTTAATAATGCAAGACAAGTGGCTGCTTGCTGATGGATGTCTACGGCTTTGAGATTCGCACAACTCGGGGTTTACCTATTTTTGGAGATAAGCAAGTGCACGACAACTTACTTTGACTATCCTGACACTTTCTAATCCACTTTAGTAAAAGCTTAAAGCCTTTTCGGCGGATTCAGTGAATAATGCTTGTCATACGATCCTTGTACGGTACATGAAGGCGAATCGCTGGTCCCCGAAAAATACCGTAGCAGCGCAGCATAGGCAAATCTGCCAGCGAAATAGGGTTGGTACAAAACCACAGCACAAATCCATCCTTCAACTTCTCACCACTTCACTCATACAACTAACTCCCTCTTTCTCGAGGCTACATTGAAAGCTACTACATACTCCAGATCGATCCATAATTTTGAGACTATCCACCACTCTACACCCAACATTTGGCACGGATAGTTTCACTTTCGATTACCTTGTTGGTCATCCACCCTTAACAACCTCATTCGAGTCGTTTGTCTCAGCCAAACCAACCGCACAACTGCAACAGCAGTCCTATCCAACTCGACTCTGATTCTCTCGCAGAGACCTACATCTTGACATCTACCAATATTACTTGAGAGTGCACAGTGAAGGAAGTCATCATCATGTCTGCGGTTGCTGCGAAAAATCGTTTGATGACCGAGTACAAGGGGCTTGAAAAGGAGAAATGGGTCAATATCGAGGTAGGAGAATCTGGACTATGAGTGCTGTTCTCGAAGCTAACGCCGTATACAGTTGAACGAAGGAGCCCTCTTTAAATGGGAGATTGGTCTGATGGTCGTTAATGATGAGAGTGCTTTCAACGGTGGCTACTTCAAAGTGAGGATTATTTATTTCACTGTGTCTCGCAGCTGCTGATTTTTAACCCTAGGCCGAAATGACTTTCACCGACAATTATCCTTACAGTCCCCCAACCTTCAAGTTCCTCCGACCGATCCAACATCCAAACATCTACCCCGACGGCAAATTATGCATCTCGATCTTGCACCCACCTGGAGAAGATGAGCAGTCCGGGGAATCTGCCAGTGAGCGTTGGTCACCATTACAAGGGGTAGAATCAGTCTTGCGTTCTATCCTCCTTCTTCTCGATGCCCCTGAGATCAATTCTCCTGCAAATGTCGATGCAGGTGTCATGTATCGAGACAATAGAGAAAAATATAACGAGAAAGCTAAGGAGGCCGTGGCTGCCTCGAAGCAAGATATCCCGACCGGGTTTGAAATGCCCACAACACTTGAGACTGCTCCTCCTGCCAAGCCTGTAGACGACGATGCATTCTGGGCCGAAAGTGATGAAGAGGACGATTTTGGGGCCAGCGATAGTTCTGAAGACTTTGGTATGGAGGATGGAGATGAAGAGGAAGAGGAAGATGATGGTGAGGAACAAGAAGAAGATGAAGACATGGAGGATTAAATGGAAACAGAGCTATCAAGCCTGTTTCATTCTTATTCATAAAGTTCACGACTTCTTCCTCGACCCTCCTGCGCTCGTCATATCTCACCCCGTCATCCGCCAAATTACATCATGGTTAACTTCGATAGAGGGACATAATCTTACTTTATTTTACAATGCATAGCATAGCATAGCGGCGGTCCGCTCGGTTTACACGGTGGGCGCAAGGGGAAATGCAGGCAGGTATGCATTCGAGGCGTATAACATGCTTTTCACATTGGGGGATCTTAGGGCTTTTAGATTATGGGGAACATGAACTGGGTGTTGCATACTTTTGGGTGGTCGGGGCGTAATTTCTGATGGGCTTTTGCAGCAGGTAGCAAGACAGGGTAAATATGTGCGGGCTGTAATTACAAGTATTTCAAAATGAGTTTGCACTGGCTAGTATCGTTGATTTCTTTTGCTTACACCTGAGACGATGTGATTGCTTCCTGTATAGGGCGAAATGTAGGATCCACAATCGAGAACACATTTAATATATCACCTGCCATTGTGAGAGACAGTACCAACAACATCTGGTTGATATTTTCAACTTCCACTGTTAAGAATAGGTAATAATAATTATCAATTTAGGTAGTTAGTTCATTCGTATTTGCTTTCCTTTCAGAACTCTATAGTCATTTCTATTTTTCCACGTGGGAACCATACTCTTCTGCATCTTCTCGATAGTAAGTACTCTAGCATCTACATTCAGATGCTTCTTGCTTTTTGCTTTCTCAGTGGTACTGCGTTTGCTACCATCGTTCTTAATCTAGTATTAGGAGTGGTTTAAGTCCTACTGAACAACGAGTGCGTGCCTTAGCAATGGTTTTGGACCATTGGTCGGTCCAGTCAGTCATTGGACCCATTGTGGGAAGTTATTTGGGAGAAACAGCAGGATGGCGATGGACTTTCTGGCTTATGGTTATCTTGTCCGGAGCTTGTGAAATCTTGTTTCTCATATCTTTCGGAGACATATAAGGTTCGTATACTACAGCAGGACGCAGCGAGAATTACAAGTGAGACCGGTGATGAGAGTGTGCGGTCGAAGTACGAGGTTGAAGATGCAGAGAAGGGGACTTTTGTTAAAGGGGCGATGGAAGAAACTTTTGTTCGGACGATTTAGATGCTGCTTTTCTCTCCGGTGCTTATTCTTCTTTTCCTATATGTAGCCGTTGTGTATGGCGCTATATATCTGATCATGACAACAATCACAATGGTATTTGAAAGCGTCTATGGGTTTTCTGAAGGTGCTTCCGGGTTATGCTTTCTTGGACTCGGTAAGGGCTACTTTTTATGACTTTTCTTAATTAACACATTCCAAGCACTCACTGGCTCTCGTGTTGGATTGGGATTGAAGTGGGGGAATTCGTTCTTGGGTTTTCCGGCGCTGGAGTTTATTCTCATGCCGTTGGTGATGATGCGGTTTGCGGAGCGGTTGAGATTTTTGAATGAAAGGAAGATTGGTTACTGATTATTGGGGATGAGAGTTGAGGGTGCGTGGATTAGTTGTGATGTAGGAGTATAGGGTCAACGTTGGATGAGATGATTAACTACTGCTTCCTGCTTGGAGTTCTTCCTTGGTTGAGTTATCCCCTAGAGTATATCAAAAATGAATCTCAATATCAGGTTTACCCTTTTAACCTCATCAAATATTGAACATGGCAATTTTCTATACTCAACATCCTCAGACTAGAGTATAGGAGGCATTGCATTATAGGAGTAAGAAAACACTGGAAATGTCTAGTTTGTTTACCTCATAGCTTATGTAGGTATAATTTTGGTTTTGCAAAATCATGTATCCATCCCTATCAATAACAGCAAGATGTCGGCTCCTCCTGCTGTCAAAGTCACTCCTTAATAGAAATATCAGATATATGTCTTGCCGACAAAACTATGCCCCTATACCCGCCTATCTCATATCGTCCTTTTTATATCCTACATTTTGTTCTTTTGATTTCAATAATGATTAATATTAATTATAGAGAAATAGACATGGTGAATTCCTTATCTCATCAATATATACCTAATAGTTCTATTATAACTTTTCATACAAAGTCTGTCTGACTAATGGATATCCAAGACTTCATGAGGAAACGATCCTTGAAGAGAAGGTGGGGTGTCTCCCACAGGTTCACTATAACACTCGGACCAGCAACAAGGATTATCAAAGATTGAACTACTCCGTCCCTAGTAATAAGTAAGCTCCGCTGCCAGGTCCTCCCCCAGGAATTTCTATTAAACAATCTATCAACTTTCTGTAGTAGAGTTCAGAAGGCATCTTGTCTGTTCTGCTGGCATAATCTGTCCATTTGAAAATCTTCTTGATTATATTCATTGCGTTTCTTAGCTTTTGCTTTCATGACTGGAAGGGAAAGGAATCCCACACTCCCAAAACACAATTGCTGCACAGGTCAAAAGTCAAGCTCAACTGAAGCTTGATACCATTGCAATCATGGCGGCGCAACCAACCGCCCAAGATGTGCAAGCTTTTCTTCTCATGACTGGGCAAACAGATCGACAAGAGGCCATACTGAGATTGAAGGTGGGGTTATTTTCATCCAGAAAAATTGAAAGTACAAAGCTAATATGGGTAGGGAAACAATAACAATGTTCAACAAGCAATCAATGAATACTATGATGATATGGAGACTGGCAGAAATTCCAACAGAGTCAGTATAAAAGAGAAATTCATAAATTATTATCACTAATAGTCGCAGTACACTTGGGACGACAGCCAATTCAATCGGGATCGTGAGGGAGGTGGAGACCAGCATGGTATTTGTGAGTTTCTCATTTTGGGATCAAGCGGTTTGAAGGCTCTCACTAATTTTTGATATTCAGCTTTTGCAGTCCAGGGTCCCGATGATTTCGGTTCCTATTCTCACTTTGAAAGTGCAGCACCTTCTAGACCACCATCGAGAACTAGTAATAATAAGTCACCTTTGAGTAAAGTTGTGGATCTCACAGCTGATAATGGTAGAACCTCTTTCAATACAAATATTTGCATATTCTAATACATCAATTGGCAGATTCTAGCACTGCCTTTAGCCAATATGTCGACAATGATGACAAAGAACTACAGCAGGCATTGGCAGCATCCATGGCAGACTCTAGTTTACCCCCACAACAATCCGGAGTAGTGGGAACAGACAAACCTTACTTTGGCCCTGCTATGAGAACGGATTATGGAGATAACTGGGCTATGGTTCCTATATCAACTGTCAAGGAGATCTATGTTGATCCTGAGCCTACTGATCGAATTCGGGATATGATAAACAAAGTTCCAGCCTTCCTCAAGCCTACTGGAGACTCACACAGATTAGGTGCTGTTCTTACTATTTGTTACAACATTCCACTTGTCCGTGAGATATTCCTTAGAAGGGACCATGTCGAGACACACTATCCATATGAAGCTGGTTGGTGGAACGGCAGACCAATAGAGAGACCTATTGCATCATTTCAAGAAGATCCGTACCTTGTGGCGGATGATCGACGATTTGGCCAGGAGCTCCAGAAAGTCATGGCTTTCCTAGATAAGACAGAGAGGAGCTACGGTTCACCGGATGTTATTACTACACTTCCATACATGCAACAGTACGGAGGGAATGATGTCGAATCTGAGTTCTTCATGAGCTTCAATAGGTTATTGCAAAGTACTGATTTATCGAAGCACCTCTTCTCCGCAGGCGTCCTTGGTTCAGACCCGGATCCAGATGACACAGATACAGAATTTGCCATATTTGAGCTTCAACTTCCTTCAAAGGATTCTCTTTGCGAAAATCTCTATGATGTTGCAGACGAGGCACTATGGAGCAATTTCCCTCTCGTTCTTGCTAAGAGCCCTTATCTAGGTCACCTTGGCGACATGATTATGTTCAGACTCAAAGGTGATAAACAGAACGACCAAAAAGGCATCGACGTACCATTAGTATGGTACCCGGATAGATACCTAGAGTTTGCAGTTAAAGACTCACTGAATATGCGTACGAGCAAGCGGAATTTAGAGCTGCAAATCGCGGATATTTCTCGTAATGAGAGACAGTTAACATGGACTATTCACAATGGGAAAACACTCCTAGTTGAGGATGTTATGAAGATGTCACTCAATCATGATCAGAATGAGCTCCCGCCCGGCAATAGCAATATGGACAATCTTGCCTCCGATAGTCATACCGGCCGATCAAAGAACGCAGATCTGTCTCAAAAGCTCAAAAAAGTAATGGATGATGTAAATGCGAAGCTAAAAAGTAAGATCATTCAGAATGATCATTAATTATTCAACTAACAGCACCTAGGATTACAAGATCAAAAAGAGAAAGCTAAAGAAGCTTGGAGGGAGCTTTCGAAGTTGTATACGGATCCCGCTAAAAGCTCCCAGCGCTTGCACAGATACACTCTTCGTGGTGTAAGCTTGACTAAGGAAACGACGTATATTTGCACCCGTATAGAGCCGGATCTCATTGATATGGGCCTCAGTGATGACGAGCGCGTTCCTCCTAGCGATGGCCAGTGGTGGAAGATTGATTATAGCAGCTCGTCTCCTCCACAAATTACTGTTGAAGTGAGTATTCTTCGACCCTAAATTATGTAGCACGTTTTAATTTGGAAACAGAGAACTATATCTGAGAAAGTTGTTGAGGCTGTCAAAGCTGAGATCGATACAGCAATTCTAGTTTATGCTTCCGACGAGGCAATGGAGATGACTGCAGGTGTAACACCACATCCACTCCAGGTATTTGTGTCCTTGTATCTGCCCCAATAGTTCCGCTAACAACCATTAGGCTTTCGTTCGCGCGGATAACATCGCTTTCCGAGAGGAGCTTTCCAGCATCCCATTTGACAATCCTGATGAATTACAATTCCCACCAAGATCACCAGGAAAGCGTAAGCGTGATCAACCCCCATCTCCCTCACACTCCGCCCCAAATGGACAACGGAATGGTGTTGCAAAGGAAGCGTCAGACAATGAGTCTACGGTGACGGTGTCGGCGTCTGTGGCTCTACAAAATCGCCTTGGTCAGAGCGATGAAGTAATTATGGGTGTTGATCCATATCCTGAAGGGAAGACGCAGGAAATGCAAGAACGTAGTGGTAGTGGCATGCTACAAAACTTTACTAGCAACTCCATTGAGAAAGGTGTGGCCAACGATGACATGGAGATTGAAGATCTTGAGAGCGATGACACTCAGGGTGAGGAACAGGACATATCGGCTAATAACCAAAAAGATGGTGGCGCCAGTATCAAAAGGGTTGGATTTGTTGAGTAGGTTTGAGGATATCTTGCATGTTAATTGACATTCTTGTATAGTCCATGATTCGAGATGGTCCCATTTACAAAGCATAGATGGATTGATGATTTTTGGAAGTACATATTCTGCATATTGTACATAATGGAAGGCATAATACCCCGGCAGCACGAAGTGTGAGGCATGAGGCATGGATCACGAAAGCGATGGGTAGAAAATTTTGCAGATTAATGAATGAATGCCATTACAAGAATAAAACAATCTCCCTGGAATGGGCTCCTTTTGTTTTTGATGGATTATTTTATACGCACAGAGTACTTGCTCTGAGGATTTGGAGAACGTTGATGGAGGGACTCTTGAATCAAGCACGACGGCGATTATCATCAGTTCACATTAATTTCAAGGGCAGTTATTGTACAAATATTTCTCATTCGTAGTCATCAAATGAAGGATTAGCACTGTAACGCACAATGGCTAAAATATATTTTAAAGGCGGCTGACATCTTCCTGCGTCCGGGCAAACATGGTCACTAGTAGCTTCTCGAAGCTTCCATTTAAGCAAACTGGGCTTTCAGGATCAAAAAGCCCCCACCACTAAACGTCACCACTCAATCTAATGAACCGCGGGGGTATTTTAGGATATTACAGGGTATTATAGGGTAGGGTGGAATTTGTGGAATTTGTGGAAGATTCTTGAAAGTAACAGCTGAGGGAGGGGAGGAGATATTTATTGCTTCTTACTATACAGTGAGGCATGGAATAGTTACAAAGTTGATTTAATTCTTTACCAAGTGAATATTCAAAATACTCATACTCGTACTCATTGGACAATTGTAATTAATATTGCTGCTCGCTCACCTCACTCTAATCAGTACAGCAATACGGCTTATTTATTAACTCGAGTTGACAACAAAGAATCGCAAATTGCTAACTACAGTACTGCATCACGCATCACACATTTCTATCTTACTCTCTCCTACAACACTCAAAGACACCAAGAATCACCCTCTCGTATTTGAAGCAGCCAGCGAACTAGAGACTTGAGAGCACATCTCACAGCTCATAATCACGAGATCTCATTCGGATCGATCTAATTTAGTCGGTGGTATGTATATTAACAAGATTTCCTTGGATTTGTAAATCATTGTGAGGGAAAGGATTAATGAACAACGTTTTTCCATTCCTATTCCTTCCTGTCATCAACCACATCATACATCATACATCACTCAGTACCAACACAACCCAACCGACCTGTCAATCAATCAGTCAGTCAGTCAGTCCATCATTGGCAAAACCAACACACAAGACACACAAGACCCAACACACAACCTTCCTTCAGCTCCTTCGAGGATCTTCTACAATACGACCTTATCTATTTGAATTTTTCGCAACCCAATCACTGACGAATTACTTTCAGAATCTAGTGCATGACCCATTTTCAACCGAGAGTCAATAGTTGATAGTGGCCATTTTTGATAGTTGCCATCTTTATTAGAAGAGGATAATTCATTGTTGTTTGTTGGAGTTGGACATAACTTCATTTGATAACTTTACGGGTTTCGACTTTTCTATTCACAATCGAACTGCTTTTCTTCTTCAACTGAAGTTCTCCAACAATAAAGATACATTCGAAGAACAGCAAACATGGTGGCAGAAACAAAACTTTACGATGCTTTAGGCATTAAGCCTTCTGCCAATCAACAAGAAATTAAAAAGGCATATCGGTATGTGCATACAATCCTCTCCTTCATCGCCATCAATCCACTCAGCTTCCCTAACTGACTTGTACCAATGACTAATATTTGAACAGTTTAATGGCAATGAAACATCACCCCGACAAAAATAAGGATAAACCCGACTCGGCAGAAAAATTCAAAGAAGTTTCTCAAGCCTACGAGATCCTTTCAGACCCCGAAAAACGCAAAACATACGATGAATATGGACTAGAATTTATGTTACGAGGCGGTCCCCCACCACCAGATCCAAGTGCAAGTGGCGGTAATCCATTCGCGGCAGGAGGCATGCCAGGAGGCTTTGGAGGATTTGGTTCATCGAGCGGCATGCCAAGGGGTAAAACCTTCCACTATGATTTCAGCAGCGCGGGCGGACCAGGTGGTGGAGGCTTTAGTTTCAGTAATCCGGAATCGATTTTTAGTGAATTTTTAAGAGGTCAGGGAGCTGGAGGTGGTGGAGAGGGAGTGGAGGATTTCTTTTCTACTATGGGTGGAGGTGGTATTCCGCGAGCTAGTCCTGGGGGAGCTGGAAATGGTCGTTCGAGAACTGCACAATCACAATTCCGGGGCGCGGAACCGGCGAGGCAGAGAGCGGAAACGCCCGAGGTTACGACGGTGGAAAAACCTCTAGCTTTGAGTTTGGAGGAGTTGTTTAAGGGTTGTCATAAGAAGATGAAGATTAAGCGGAAGACGTTTGATCCCGAAACGGGCAAGAGACAAACTACAGATCGAATTTTGGAGATGGACATTAAACCGGGTTTGAAGAAGGGAAGTAAGATTAAGTTTAAGGGAGTAGGTGATCAGGAGGAGGGTGGTCAGCAGGATTTACATTTCGTTATCGAAGAGGTATGTTCCTTTCCCCGCTAGGGGCTTTTACCCCTCCCTCCATCTAACAACATACTAATATACCCCGCCAGAAAAAACACCCCTACCTAACACGCGATGGAGATGATCTAATCATGACGGTCGATCTCGATCTTAAAGAAGCACTCACAGGTTGGAATCGTACTGTTACAACCATCGATGGTAAAAACATCTCGCTCGATAAAGGAGGACCCACTCAACCTGGTTCCTCGGATTCATATCCAGATTTGGGTATGCCGCTGAGCAAACAGCCTGATAAGAGAGGAAACTTTATCATCAAGTATAATGTAAAGTTCCCGACGAGTTTAACAGTGGAGCAGAAGAGAGCTTTAAGGGAGATGTTGTAGAGAGGCTGAGAAAGGGGTAGGATGCATGCATTCACAGGAATTTTTTATTGTTAAAGTTTTGTGTTGTGGAGTTTGGGTTTGATGGGATTTCTTTTATTTTTAACTTGAGCTGGAGCGGGAGCAGGAGCGGGAGTGTGATATCAACATACATACGTGCATGATTTGGGTGGATCGAGTAGTAATACTTCCTAGGATTGAGAAGGAAAGATGGAGAGATGAAGGCTTGGGGAGAAAGAAAGACAGAAAGATAATTCTTTCACTCTACTAAGCTGGATGGACGGATCATTGAATGGATGGAATGGATGGACGGAATGAGAATTGGGAAATAAGAAATGGAAATGGGAATATGGATGAGAATGAGGGTGAGGTTGAGGATGAAATAATGATTTATATGAATACAACAACATACTACTTGGTAATATATAGATTTACTCGGGTATTGCTATTTCATTGTAATATTTAAATCTTGTGCTAAAATAGAGATATGTGTGTATATGTATGTGTAATAAATCTATATCTTTTTGCTCAATTACGTTACTAGATTGAATCTCATTGAATAATGAATGAAGAGGAAGAGAAATCGAAGAAATCAAAGAAAAGAAAAAAGGAAGAAAATCCTCATTCAATATTCTATTAATCTATCAATTAGATATAACATCAACAATAACAAACAAACAAATAAAAATAGTATACACACCCCCCTCTCCACTTACCAAGCCACATTCTTAAAAATTGACTCTCCCTTATAAATTTATATATCCACTACCTCTATATAATTTCCCCAGTAGCTCTAAAAACCAGCTCTTCACACCTAATTAATAATCATCCCATCCACCATCTCACCCATCTACCTCACCCACCCACCTACACAGCAGCAGCCTGCACAACCGCCGCGCCAACCAAATCCCTCAACTCCCCAAAAACCACGCCCTTAAAAATCGCCTCTCCCATCCCCTCAACCCAGTGCCCCGCATCCTTCAATTTCCTCTTCCAAGATTCTTTTTGCGGCGCCGTTAATTCATCCCATGATTTCCCGGTATGTTTATCCGCGTCGTGGAGAACGGCGTGGATTAATGGAGAGGTATCGGGGGAAGTGATTTTTTTTTCTTGATTTTCGACGGCGGCGGGGATATCTGGGATGGGGGGCCCGTGGTGTAGGTAGATTCGAGATGGGGGGGAGTTGGGGACGGGGGATCGGAGGGAGGCGAAGAAGTCTGGGGAAGAGGGGGAGGGGGAGGTGTCTGATGAACTGGGGGGGATGGAGGAGGTAGAGGCTTGTGTACCGAGTGCGTTGTAATGGGAGGGGAATATGTATGGCTTTCCGATTGCTTCTTGTAATGGTATAGGTAGGTAATTTGCTGCTCCTAAATGTGGTTCTACTACTCCTCTGATCTCTAAGATGCTTTGCATCATGATTGCTGCAAATACTGCTACGAGCATAGAAAGGATGATTCCAAACGAGTAAATTGCTTTACTTGAAGGAAGAGCAACGACGTAACGAGGTGTGTGTGATTGACCTCTTTTTACGGAAAGAGGGACAGGGAATAGAGGGAGAGTGTGGACGATGACTGTGTTGCTGACGCCTACACTAGCTAACTTGAGGTATTGAGGAGGAGTACTTGCAGTGACGGGTCCCGTAGGTGGTGTAAAATTTGAGAATGTAATGCCTGTGATTTGAAGAGGGTGAACATTCTTGAACGTTCGGAAGGGTTTGATAGGTGTGACTAAGTAGTTATTTAATTCATGCTGGAGATCAACTTTGAAGAGAGAAATGGAGATATCGTGACCGGCGACCGCAATGACAAATTGAGTGTAGCCTTGTTCTTCATCAGGAGTCACCGGTGGTGTAAGATTGGAGACTGCAAGTCCAGTAGCTTTCGTTATACTGGATGGAAGTCGATGTGATTGCGCAATTCTGCATTGTCCTTTGCCGCTTGGAGGTAGTCTGAGAATCTGTAGTACCACTCCTCCTTGGCTGTGTATATTCGTGAGCATGACAATAAAGTCCTTCGTCAGCCACCTTATCGACCTGAAAGATGGTAATGTAACTTTCTCCTTGCCTCTTGAGGCTGGTGTAATATATACACACTCAGATTCCGCCCCATCATCCATTGAGCCAAGCTTCTTCACATAGATATCATATTCATCGGCATATGCAAAAAGATAATCGTCTTTTCCAGTTTGTATGAAATCCATATCAACAGCCTCCTTCGCCAATTTTATGGCACCCTTAGATTTAGGTGGACCCGTTCGCGCCGTTTTAAAAAGTACGACTTCGGAATCCTTCGCAAGTCCAGTCGCAACTGCACCCCATTGTGATTGTCCTGGATAGGACCGTGAAAGCCGGATGACTCTTTGGTATAAATCCCTTTCCACATGAGTAAATAATGAAATTCTCGAAATCTCGGATAATTTGCTCGTTGTCGCAACAGGCTGTGTATTCTTTCCCTTCCCTTTGGCAACTGGCTCTATTCCAATAACTCGAAAATGCGCATTATTTCCCTTGCCAAATTCCTCCGGACTGGAGTTCACTCCTGCATAGATCAAGCTTGTCTTTCCTTGAGGCTGACCGACTGCAAGACTGGTGACATTATCCTCTTCCTTGCTGAGATCTATCTCCGCCGCTTCAACAAGCTCATTTGGGTTTGAAGTGTCCAAAAGGGTCTTAACATTATAGCTATTAGTATATGTATCCAAACTGAAAGAACACAGTTTTCGCATATGAAAAGATTCTTTATACTCACAATCTTATTTCCCACACCCGTCCTCCCAGCTCCTCCGCCCCCACCAACCACCAATCTGGACGAATCTATAGGATCGAAATCACAAGCATATAAAGGATAGGACAAGGTCGATTTAGCAGACGGTATTAAAGGAGCCATTATTTATATTTGCTTGTGAAAAATAAATTCGAGATAACTTGTGTGAAGATATCTCGAAATTTGTGAGATCGTACCGGGGAGCTGTGAACAAGGTTTGGTTTGTTGTTGAGCTCGCAAGGCTACACTAGTAAGACAAGGCCAGATCTGCCGGGACTGGCCGAGGCTAAGACTGGAGATAGAAGAAGTTCTAGAAGCTTTAGAAGCTTTGGAAGCACCAGATGGGGGTTTCATAGGAAAGATAGATAGATAGATAGCTTTATGATCTTTTTAATTTTTTGACCTTTTAATCCATAATATATTGATGTTTCGGCATACAGAGTACTATATATTATATTAGATAGTTAATTACCTACTCCGTACACTGGATAATTAATTTATACTAACAAACTACACCACCATATCACACTTTTGACCACAATCATAATCATTCTACAAGCAGTGTGTTTTCTATCTTTTATTTATTATTAATCTTCAATTATTCTACCTGACGCCAACTATCGTTCCTTATGGCCATCTTCTCGTAAAGATATCCTCAATTCGAGGCCTGCTTTCGAAAGATCTCAAGGATACGTATCCACAAATCGGAAAATTATCGAGAAGTTAAAGTAGGTAAAAGTAGAACTAGAGGTTACTCCTTTTCACCCGTCTTTTGTATGCCTCTAGATATGCCATTGGCATCTATCCACGATGCTTCAGATCTTAAATATGTCGAGCAAAGAAAACAGAATGTGAAACTCCCAGAAACTCCGGGATTCATGCTGTTGATATAGGTACCACACAATATAACCATGATGTAACCTGCGTTATGTCGCAAAATAATATTAAAATCGATATCTTCCAAACACGAACTCGAATGCCACCAATTATTCGATTTTCGTAAACCCTGTCATCATTAACTCTCGTAAAGTTGTTGGTTGCTTATTTGGCATTCTTTCGGAAGTGGAGGAGGTTAGCCAAGCTAGCAGTGTCGCAGCCGTGCTTCAAGAAGTCATGCATCAACAGTTCATCTGCGGATGCTCTGCTTCTGATATCGACACATAGACAGACGGACAAGAAAGCTTTGAGTTCTTTACTCAATTTTTCGGGCTTCTTGAGACGAGGTGTACCGTTGGTGGCAATTAGATAAAGAGCTTTGAGAGGCTCCTCATTCAAATACGGTGGCTCAGATTCGATCATCTCAATAGCCATGATACCAAGAGACCAGATATCGACCTTTGGTCCATACTCTTTTTGCTTGACAACTTCGGGAGCCATCCAGTAAGGAGTACCGACCATGGTAGCACGCTTAGATTTAGATTCAGTGAGCTTAGCGCAGAATCCGAAATCCGCTATGAGTGAGTTAGCATGTAGATCTAAAAACCAGATTGAGAGAACTTACTAATCTTGACATTACCACGTGCATCGAGCAAAACGTTGTCACTCTTGATATCACGATGGATAATGCTCTGTGCATGAAGATGCTCGAGTCCACGACAGGTCTACAGAAATTAGTAAAGATACGGAGAGTTGGGTATCAGATTTGGAACGAACCTCAAGGCAAATGGTGGAAATTTGGTCCTCAGTAATGTTGGAGTTATTGTCAATAACATCAGTCAAGGCACCTCCTTCCATGTACTCCATGACAACCCAGAGTTCCGTGTAGTTGTTTCGTAAGAAAGCATCAAGGAAATTGACAATGTTTCGATGCTTGCTATCCTTCATAACCATTATTTCATTTACAATCAACTCCTTTCTCGGCTGGTGCGCCAAATCCATTTGTTTGATTGCAACTTGGGCTTTGCTGCCTTGTTGACGTAGAACTTCACGAGCAACTGGAGATGCCGGATTCTCCTTCACCTTCGCAACATAGACGGAACCAGAAGCACCTTGACCAATCTTCTTCTGCTTGGAGTAGGAAAGGTTAGGATCATCCTTGGAGACAGCCTCTTTCAACTTAGCCATGACTTCATTCTCGGACATGGTTGACATTCTAACGTCCTTTGTGCGTTCAGAGGCGGCTGGCTTGGCAGTAAGAGCAGCTTCTGCAGCCTTGACTGCGTCATTCTGTTGAACACCATTGGTAGCTGGTTTGGGAGCGACATTAAGTGGCTTCACATTGTTAACTGGGGCAGGTAACCTAGATGGTTGTTGCTGAGCCGGTCGCTGCTGCTGAGGACTAGAAGTTTGACTGTTAGGATATCGAGGATCCTGTCTTTCCGATGGTGATTTATTTGACCCATTTTGATCTCTAACTGAAGACGAGCTCTGCTGGGTATTAAGTGGTGGTCTGCTCGAATCGCTTGCAGATGGTGCAGACGGTGCTTGTCTCTGCGCTGGCCTTTGAGCAGCAGTCTGTTGACCTTTCTGCGGTCGGGGAGCAGGAGGCGCCACACGAGTCGGATTGTATCGATCTTGAGGATTGCTCGAATAACCACCACCTCCAATCTCCTGCTTGGCCATTGGAATGCGAGTTTGAGGGATTGTCGCGTTGTATTCTTCCATATCAAGTCGATTTTGTTCTGCCACCTCTAGTTCCCGCTGTCTTTGTGCTGCCAATTGCGCTTGTCTCTGTTCCTCGCGTTGATCAGGAGTAACATAGTTCGCTGCCATTTGCTGCATTTGGTTGCGCTGCTGACTTTGCTCGGGAGGTGTGGGTCTTCGAGGCTGCTGTTGAGGAGAGCCATATCCGTTGTTATTTGGCTGCTGTTGCTGTTGAGGCTGAAGCGGTCTGGGTGGAGCAACCGAGTTTCCTGGCATGTAACCAAGTTGTTTATTTTGATTAGCAGCGACTGATGGTGTAGGAGTCAAACTCGAAAATTGCTGTGGATTCTGTTGACGCTTGGTAATATCAGAGTAGAACTCCAAGACCTCGAAAACAGCTTGAGGATTTCTCTCATAATCTTCCTTGGTAATAGCTGACGAATTTAGCAATTTTGACCACTCTGCAGGCAATCCGACAAACTCTCCGGTGTTGGGATCGAAACCGACATGGACGGAGTGACTGAAATTGGTTGGGTTGCTGACACCGCCCATGCCAGGGCAACGTGCATAAATGAAATCGATCCATTCATACAAATCATCGTCAGTCTTGACCTTGATCTGAAGAGTTCTCCCAGAACTGTCATCATCCCCTGGATTGTTCGATGAGCCGTTCATTGTTCTCCTGATTTCGAAGATGGTTCCAGCGGCCTCAACTCTCGAAACTCCAAGGACGTCCTTGAGCACAATTTGATATGCAACTTTTCCACCCTCAGTCTTATGAAAATCGAGTGCTTCTTTGCGGAGGATGAGCCACTTATTCTTCCAAGGACTGATAAAGTTCTTGCCCTCCTTTACCGAAGCCCATCCCTCCTTGATCACTGCGACACCTCCTTGTCCATCCATATTGGTCTGTTGTCGAGCTAAAGGCAGAGAGACGGTCGAACCGGAGTATGTTGATGAAACAGTTCTGGTGATGGGAGAATTGATGCTCAACTGGGAGATGTTAGGTGCAGACACATTTCCGGGAACATTCGAGGTAGTAGGAGTGTAATTTAATCGAGGGCCAGCAGGAGGTCGAGGCGCAGGTCCAGGGTTCATGAATTGACCTGGACTATAAATGCTGAAAATAGCAATATTGATTAGTTTTATTCATGTAAAAATCTACAAAGAAAATGAGGTGAAGATATATTATTCAAAGGCAGCAGGCTGTGAAGGTCATGGGAAGGCGAATAAGGTCCGCCGGGGGAGATGACACTCGAATATTTCTGCACATTTTGGATTATTTCCAGGCAGGTGCTTTGTGCAGATAAACATAAGATGGGGGATTTTCATACCTATTTTGTGAAGACATCTTGATGAAAATGCAGAATTACAACTTAAAGAACAATGTATGCAGGATTCTGAAAAGGGAACAAGCAGGTCGTAGCCGCGGGGTATCGTTGAAAGAGAAGAGACAAAAATGACTGTATTTACAATTATTAGCAATTATTCTTTGAGCAAAGAATGTACAATCACATACAAAGTGAAGCCTGCCTGCCCTTGGGAGAATAAAAACTCCACCCGATCTATGTCTTGCAGACCGTTGGAACTTCGAGATTATTCGAGGTCGCAAGCCAGGGGGAGATCAGGAAAGACCGAGTTGCCGTTGCACAACAACGTCCAGCGTTCCTTTCTTTTTATATGTTGCAATGATAAAATGGATTTTTCGCTGTATCACGTTGGCCTTGGGAGTTGAAGTATTATATTGCTGCTGCCGACAAAAAACCTTTGTGGTGGTAGTGAGATAACCCTTTTGGTTGTAGTTGTTCAATGGGTTGAAGGTGATTGAGACTGAGATTGAGATTCAGATTGAGATTGACTTTGACCTTGAGCTGCTTTTAGGAATCGAGTTTGCCATTTGTTCGCCATTCGTTCTCAAGCGGTTACTACAGGACACTAACACTAATGAACCCCCGAAGCATCTGTGCACATCCTTAAGAGGCCCAAATCCTTTGACTGTCATGTATTCACCAAGGTCCCTGAACTTCGCCTAAAACAGTTCACAGATGAATACGGAGTGCAGTACTCAAGAGGACCCTGGTACATATTTTAAATGAACTGATGCACCTGTCATGTACTAAGAGAGCGTTTATCAACTTTTAGCATAGTGAAGCGGCAAAATAATGAGGGGCTTTCCCGTGAATCTACTATCCTGTTCCATGATGTCTTTCGAACTAACTACAAGTCTTGGTTAAGATCATATATCAAAGGCAAGAAGAATAGAAGAATAAAAGACGATCACTACAAATACACAAACACACACACATACACATACACACAAATTCACATGAGAGATATTCATTCCTTCATATCTAACCTTCCACCTATCCCCCTCAACAATTAGCCCAATCAGAATCAACCCTCAAGTCACAAGAGGCTGATGGGAAAGGAAAGGACTTTGACTCAGGGATGATCGGAAGGCTTCATCAAGATAAAACCACTTGAGATATTTCTGTTGGAAAAGTGACAGGGTCATCTAATCAAATAATCAAATAGACAGCATCATATCTAGGTTAGGTAATTAATTAGTCGTACTGTAGCCGACTTACCAACCACCCCTCAATACACATAACATATTAACTGGTAAACATGGCATGCTTGGTATATTGATTTACTTATCTCCTCCGAGTATCATTGTTTCATAGATTACCGATTTTACATCAACGAAAGCTTATTCACCAGCAGCCAAGCCTCTTATTTCTTTGAAGCTCTTGAAACAATTTGTGAACACCAACCTATCTCCAACCAAGTCAGTTGCTGAATTTCCTGCCCTTCTTTACTCAAACAAACGCTTTGAAAATTGATTTGTGCATTGATATCTTGAAAGGAAGCAAAGCCCCTCCAATTCATCATAGCCGCTACCATAATCATCATCCTTTGTTTCAAAAATCAGTGTAGCATCACAAGTTCATGTTTCCAATGAACGGATCTTGTAACAGATTCACCCCCCCGCACGGTTTAGGGAGTTTCTCGGGCCACCATTATTTCTACTTTGATGAAATCGAATCTGGAAGAGGAAGACGCTCAATTCTACAGTGTGTTACTTACATGATTGATTTTGCGTTTGCCTCTCTCTAATCAGTAGTTCAAATCCTAATTGCCATAGAACTTCTCGAAGCGAAAAGGAAGGGTGAAAGCTCACTACGCACGCAGTGCCCATCTCCATATTTGAGTTTACCTATACAGACTACGAAGTGACATTTTATCTTATCAAATGGCCATTTTCCTTTCCCAGGAAGATCTGCTGGGAAAGGATCGTTAGACGACAAAAGGTAATGAAATATTTATTTTTATCATTTAGCGCTATACGATATCACAATCTACATGTGATATCAGATTCCCCGAACCTCCAAGGATCAACCTAGAGATGTTCAAGATACACAAGATCTCGACATTCCTCTTTAATACCATGTAACAAATCTTCGCTGAATCTAGTTGTTTCTATGTCTTAACGAGCAGGAATCTCAGCTTCTTGACCCTCGAAAATTGGTAGTTCTTTCTCAATATCTGCCCAAACCTTGGTGCCGTCGACCAACTCTTTGATAGCCGCCAGGATCTTTTCCTGGGATGCACGGACTTGCTTGGTGGAATCTCTATCTCTCAAAGTGAATGTGCTATCATTGACACTTTGGAAGTCAACCGTGATACCAAGAGGAGTACCAAGTTCATCGTTTCGGCTGTAACGCTTGCCAATGGATGCGGAAGAGTCATCAACACGGCTGGAGATACCCATGGATCGGAGTTTATATGAGATTTGCTTCAGGAAGGGTTTGAAACTCTCATGAGAAGAGAGGGGAACGAGTAGTACTTTAGTAGGGGCAACAATTGGTGGGAAGGAGAGGACCTGCATTTAGTTAGTCGCTGCAAATGCACGAGAATGAACACCACTTACACCACGTGCTTCATCACCACCTTCACTGCCACGGGTCCAGTAGTTGTGCTCCATCAAGGCGTACAAAATTCTACCAATACCAAATGAGGGTTCAATTACATTTGGGGTGTATTCCCTCGTGTTTTCAACCCTGGTTCGGAGCTCAATCTTGATAAGATCGGCACCAACTTCAGCCTTACCGTCGGCAATCCCGTCGACCTCAATGACAATCTTTCCATTATCCTTGAGTTCTTTTGCAAACGATTCTCGCTTTTCTTGCGACAGAGCCTCAATAGCAGCCTCGACTGCCTTGCCATCCTTCTTGAATTGAGGGCCGAACTTTTTCTTGTCGAGATCAATCTGCCATTCCTCGATAGTGATTGGGGTATCCAATCTTTGGCGTACCATCAATGGCGCACCAGTCTTCTTTGCGTGTACGCTGAGATCATAAGCACTTCTATCTGCACAACCAACACACTCAACCCAACCAGAGCTAGTATGCAGCTCAGCATCCCAGCAATCCGCAGCATAATGAGCCATCTCGTTAGCCATGTGCTGTCTGAATCTAACTTTAGATTGGTCTACACCAATTTTTGCCAGAAAGAGTTGGATTCGTGCCAAAAAGTAGCCGAGAGTTTCGTTATCAACAGTGCCATTTTCAACGGCCTTGCCGATAGCCATTTTTTCAACGTCGGTTTTACCGGCTAGTTGAGTATGGCGATTCAACAAAACAAGCTCTACATCTTTGACATCATTGAAACGGTCGTGCTTCTTGCCACCTTCAGGGTCGACAAAATGCTCAATTTCAGCCATCAAAAATTCTCGAACTCTTAGCAGACCACCACGCGGAGAGATCTCGTTTCTGTATGACTTGCCAATGGAAGCCGAAGCAAATGGCATTTGCTGTTGATTGTACTCAAGAAGCTTGGCAAAGTTGAGGAATTGACCTTGAGCAGTTTCTGGTCGTAGATAACCTGGAGTGTTGCTACTTGGGCCAATTGCAGTCTGGAACATGAGGTTAAAGGCTACTGGTGCGGAAGGCTCCATGCCAGTGTCTGGATTCTTCATTTCGTACTTCTTAATCAATTGACCGAGCTCTTCGCCATTGTAGTTATCAATCTAATATAAGTCAGTAGCTATGCTTGTAATATCATTAAGTGACCTTACCTTAGCCAAGATCTCCTCGTATTCCTGAACAACTGAGTCATCGAGCTTCACGGCTTCAATACCCTTGGTCTTCTTCTTCTTCTTCTTTTTAGATGGGTCCTCTTCTTCCTCGACGATCTTAACACCTCTAGCCTCCTTGTCACCTCTCAATCTCGACTCGAGTATGTCTTCAACGAAATGGTCCGCTCGTAGAATATCACCGTTCTTAGGGTCCTTGCACATCCAATCTGCGAACTTATCTACATGGCCACTAGTTTGGAGAACTTCAGCTGGAGTTAATGCCGTACAATCCAGCTCCAACATATCTTCTTCTAGGACGAAATGTTTGCGCCATAGGTCAATAACATTTGCCTGGAGAGCGCAACCGGGTGGGCCATAGTCATACTACGTGGAAGTCAGCAATTGCCTCTGAAAAAGTCTCTCATGGTAGGTTGAAAATAGAATCTGTATTAGGATGTGGAAAGGTTGAGACATGAAAGATTCATATGGCTTTGGATATTGGAGGTGTTGTATAAAAGAATCATTGCCTACAAGACCAGCGACTCCGTTGTAGATTTCGAAAGAAGGAGTGTAGAACATCCGCCGCCTCAACATGGAATCGAGGACCTGACGATCAAGGGGCTGACCCTTAAGGGTGGTAGTGGTCGACATTATGTTGTCCTTCTTCGATTTTGGTATTTGATATTTATTGTGGGGTGTTGTAGATGTGAAGGTTCGAAACACTAGTCGTGGGCTTAATTTTGGTTTGACAACAATATTTCTTGTAAGGCTACAGAAGTATCGCATTCACCGAGGACTCATCCAATAATAGGTATGAGTCAAAGAAAGTCTGGGGAACTTTTCAAGCTTTGTGATTTATAAAAGTCGTGGGGAATTTATTTTTGTGTGACTTGTTGCGAGGGGGACAGCCTCGTAGATCCACAATCCAATCGGAATATGCGGCCGCATTCCGTTATGGTAAAATAATTTTTGGATTTCATCTTCGGTTTTTCCAAACTTCCTTTCCTCTATTTACCTACAGAACCAAAACATCATACAACCTTACAATGGGGTCTAAACGAGTGCACCCAACTTCTTCGAAGGCGGCTTTACCTTTCAAGACTGGCAACAAATTCAAGAGACAAGATCTTCACATTAAACAAAAGAAAGCTCGCGATAGCGATCGCAGAGATATACGCTTCAAACGGAAGAGAGAAGAAGACAGAGACCCCGAATTGAGGAGGCAGCGATTAGCGAAAAATGTTCCGCATACAATTGATAATAAGCGTGTCTGGGATGAAGTATCAGGTGATGGAAATGATCTCAATATCAGTGTAGATGTCGAGCAGTTAAAGCGAAGGCGCATAGAAGAGGCGGAGGCAGCAGAGCAAGAACCTTTAGACGAGGCACCGGAGGAGAAAGATGATGATGTCGATAGTATGCTAGACTCTGATTCGGAGAAGGGATCCGACGATGAGGATGAAGAATCAGAAAGCCGGCCTAGGGCAGTTAGCAATGCGCCTTCAACAACCAGCACAAACCTCGACCTCACACCATCTTCTTTATCTCTCAAATTCCCTACACTTTTCACAGATGAGCCTCCGCCAGCTCCAAAGATTCTTGTCACAACTTCCTTGAACTCGACACTGCATGCAGAGGCTCATCTGTTATGCACTCTCTTTCCAAACAGCAATTACGTTCCTCGATCAGCCCATCGCTATGGATACAAATATTCTCTAAGAGAAATCTGTAAATTTGCTACAAATCGCGAATATACATCCGTCGTGATGCTAAAGGAAGACGCAAAGGTGCCCACAGGTTTGACCATAGTCCATTTACCATCTGGTCCTACATGTCACTTCTCGATCAAGAATTGGGTTGAAGGAAAGAAGTTACCCGGTCATGGTAACCCAACAAATCACTATCCAGAACTTATTTTGAACAATTTCCGCACACCATTAGGATTGTTGACTGCAAGATTATTTTTGACACTATTTCCACCACAGCCAGAGTTACAGGGTAGACAAGTGGTTACGCTACACAATCAACGTGATTATATTTTCGTGCGAAGACACCGATATGTATTTAGGGAGAAGCGAGAAACAGAAAAGAGCGTGGTAGGACCAGATGGAAAGATTGTGGAAGGTGTAGAAGGCATCAGAGCTGGATTGCAGGAGCTAGGGCCAAGATTCACCTTGAAATTAAGAAGAGTTGATAAGGGTATTGGTAGAGCAGGCAGCGAAGGAGATGATGCAGTCCAATGGCAGTGGAAGGCTGGAATGGAGAAGCAAAGAACAAGATTCAACCTTTAGCTTTGTTGTACTCTTTATACTCTCTATACATACATAATTTGACTCTTTGATACCCTCATGTATTTTGTCTTTCTCCAGCTTATTGCGAGGAGTTCTATCTCTCCCAATCTACTAATGCGTCACAACACCCAACACCTTTCACTCGGGCCCTCCTTACTTTTCCGAAGATCCATCGCAACTTCCAAGTCATGAAAAGAAGTTCCACTACTCCAGAACAATCAAGAAAAGCAACTACTGAATCCCAACAAGATCCTACGATTCGCAATAATCATAACTACTAAACCTACTCCCTTCCATCCAACTTGTCAACTTCTCCAGAGCCACGGGACCAATATTCCTATTAGTCTTCATAAAAATCGTCTCGAACGGATGCACATTAATCCCAAAATATCCCCCATCATACAGAACATCTCCCGTGCCCTTTGAACCGCAAAACTTCTCATATTCACTCATCAAGTCAGAGGACTTATCCAGCTTCTCAGATGAGTCTTCTTCAGAACCTTTATGATGGTGATGATGATCCCCTTTCTCCTTTTCAGAAATTTTGTCGTCTTTTCCATTACCAATTCCATGGAACGCACTCATAATGGCCTCGACGCCGTACCCCGCGGCGCGCATCAGAGCTGTAACGCCTATTTCAGCATTAATTGCTCCGTTGAAGCTACGGAAACAATTGTTGATGCCCGGTGTATATTTCTCCGATGCATCGAAAGGGCCTTTAATAGCATGCATAGGCTGGGGTGGTAATTTTGCGAGCACATTTTTGGAAGGAAAGAGCAATGTTTCGATGCCTTGGGAATCGGTAGTCCAGATCATCGATTGGATGTGGAATTCTAGCTCGCAGTTTGCGGTCATGCCGATGAGTTTTGTGGTGTCTGTTATTCGGGAGAGGTAGAGTGAGGACCAGCAGGATTGAGACCAGGAGGGAAGAAAGGGTCCGCGGAGACTGGCGTTTAACATGATGAACTTGCGGTATTTTTTGTAAAGTTCAGTTTTGATTAGGACTTCGGCGTATCCTCCTAGATCAAAACAGTCGTTCGGTCGGTGGATGTGCTTGATGTTGTCTTTTTGGGGAATGTTCTTGTGGATATCTGTTTCGCCGTTTAAGATAAAAATGAAATCGGCTGCATCGTAAAGGCCATGATCTATAAAATATTGGATATTGATTCGTGCTTCAGGAGACTCTGAGAAAGCATATAGGATGATTGGCCGTTCATTCGAGGGCTCCTTGGCTGTTATAGCAATTATTTTCTCTGCTTAGATAGTCTCATTTTCCGCGTTCTAGTGTGCGGGAAAGGGATTTTGTCCATCGTTGCGACAAACATCCGGACGAGCTACGTACTCCTGAACCCGCATTAGGCGACTCATACTGTGATAGGAGCTATTGACTCACGCTGAAGGTTGCCCCTATATTGAACGTCACGAAACCAAACAGACCAGCAAAGGAAGAAAGCACAAATGGTAGCTATCCAAGGCAATTTCGATGATGCATTAGCATACACCATTATTGTTCCGGTGCAATTGAACAATCAAAGAATCAAGGAGTTAGTACTTGAAAGGATGCCAGACATGATGCTACCAAACTCGAACACTTAGGTTTTAAAAGAAGGGTGCGCTCGCTACTTTCTTCAAACATTGCAACATTAGCACCGTGGCAAGAATGCAGAATATTGAATGCCTAGCATGTTTACCATGCTATCTAAGCCGGCATGCGATAAGATCCCAAGAATGTTGCCGGCTTTTAGAAGGTCATCTAATCGTTCCAAAATAGCTATTGCAAAAGGGATGAAGACAGGCGCTCGCTGCGATATGTAGCTCATTGACGACCCAAGAATCTATTAAGGTTGCGCTTCAACTTGACATCATTCATTTTGGGAACTAGAAGGGGTAGGCACATTTGGACAAAATCATCAACAAGAGAATTTTGGTTGTCAAATACTTGTCCGACCGATAAAACTCTGCGAACTGTCACTTCAATTGAAAGCATAGAAGGTATCGTCCCGGTAGCAATTCCAATGTATGGCGCCAACTCAACTTTGGCGCACCCTACTTCAACTTCGATGCAAGTTATCAGAGATAATCCCATGGACCTATGTTCTTCAGATACTTGTCGAATTGAGGATCGTTAGCTGAGGTTAGAAAATTCGCAACTTTATTGTAATATTACCAGATGTGGTGTCGAGGAATGTTTGTGGTAATGCCTGCCTAATCCAGCTAGTTCTATCGTGCATTGGAGATTTTGAATAATCAAGATGAACCCCGATAATGAATTTCAATAACGAGAGCTTCTAAGTTCTCACTTATCAAAAACGCAACGACAAGACAAACAGCTCCACCGTTATCATACATTTCGTTGATAAAGTTCTCGTCATGATACTTATCGGAACTTTTATGATAACGAATGCGCGGGGTAGCCAGGCCTAGGCGAGCCCACCGAATGAGAGCTCAGCGCTGGTGGTCATCATTGCATATACTTGCTACTTTGGGCTTCTAAGTGGATAGCTTCAGATACACCGCATTATCTCATATCAACATGATCGACAGCCATATTAAGCTTCGTGATAAGTTCGTTGCGCGCTTTCAGCACAGATGATTCCCTTAAAAGCATAGGGTCTACCCCCTGACCGAGCAGTAAAAGGTATCTCCAATCATTTCTAAAGGCTGAGTATTCAAAAACTCTTGCCAACTAGCTATACATTACTATCTTCTGCGGTTATTATCTGTTGTTTTGTTTCACGATGGGGGATTCTGAACATGGGCGTGGTGAATTGGATACACGTCCTATCCCGGGAACCATTCATCTGGTCGATCTTGAGGGTGTAATGCGAGGGCAGCATGCATCTGCATCTCGAATACAAGACGTTGTCCTAGTTCCGTCACCATCTAGTGACCCAGATGATCCATTGAATTGGAGCCCAAAGCGGAAGATGCTATCGACCGCATGCATGTCTATGTATACCTTGATGGTTGGAATAGCATCTGCAGCTGTTTATAGTGTCCTGGAGCCCATAAGCAAGGACACTGGCTTGACAATTGATCAGCTGAACGCCGGCACAGGATATATGTTCTTGTTTTTTGGGGTAAGTTACACTATCATGTCTTCCGTCAAATCAAATCATATGCTTCTGGCTATGGTCCTCAAATGAGTGAAGAAGTTCAGGAAAAACGTTACGTTTCCCTGAAATGGATCAAGCGCTTTCTTCCTCCCACGCAGCATGCATAGGGTACTTTCCAGATGGTAGCAGTATATTTGATGTCTTCGGGGCCGGCCGCTAATGTTATACTTGAATTCAGTGGGGATGTTTAATTGCACAGCCCATAGCACTACAATATGGCAAGAGACCGGTGTATCTATTCTCCATGCTAGCAACTCTGGGGTCAGTAATATTGTAATGATCATATTTCCTGTATTTTGCTAACAGAACAAGTACTATGTTATGGGTGCCGCATGCTACAACCAATTCTGCATGGATTGGAAGCAAGATTCTACAGGGGGCTGTGGGAGCTCCTATCGAGTCCCTATGTGAAGTATCGATTACAGATATTTACTTTACCCATGAAAGAGGTGCTTATATGGGGCTATATGCCTTTATGCTGGCTGGAAGTAACTTTTTAGCCCCAATACTTGTGAGTTATGGGATATTGATAACACAATGGCATTCTGACTTACATCATTGTAGGCTGGCTTCATCAACGACGGACAAGGGTGGAGATGGGTGATGTATTGGTGCGCCATCTTTCTAGCCATCGGGTTTGTATTCTGCTTCTTCCTGATGGAGGAGACAAACTATGATAGAGCACCCCAGGAAATGAAAAAATCCGGGGGCAACACGCCTGAAGCGATTACACCGAAAGAGGAGATGATCCAAGAGAAGTCCTCTAATCCTTCAACGTCACTGGATCCCGAAAAAGATGCAACCATTGGCGTTTCAAAATCGGCCACAGAGACCATAGAACGCGGAACCGTTCATTACAAGCCGAAGACGTACCTGCAAAAGTTGTCGCTGAAGGACAAGAAACGAGATTTCAGACTATTCCGCATGGTGATTCGGCCTCTCATTTTCATATCTCTTCCATCGGTTGCCTACGCTGGGTTCTCGTATGGTAGCAATTTGATCTGGTTTAACGTTCTCAATGGGACTGCCTCGTTGATCTTAAGTGCCCCACCTTATAACTTCTCTTCTTCTATGGTTGGATTGTCGTATATTTCACCGTTACTCGGTGTAGCCTGTGCTTCGTTTTATTCTGGTGTCATAGGAGATAGAGTGGTATTGTGGCTCGCCCGACGCAACAAAGGCGTCTTGGAAGCAGAGCATCGACTTTGGTTATTCCTATTATCCGTCATTCTCATACCTTCCTCCCTGATCCTTTGGGGTGTTGGAGCAGCTCAACACATACATTGGTTTGGCCTCATAGTTGCCATGTTCCTGATTGCTGCTTCAAACGGCATTGGTGTTCAGTTGTCTGTCTCTTATTGTATTGATGCCTATAAAGACTTGAGTGGCGAGGCCATGGGTACGCTCTTCCCCCGTTCCATTTGCATTTCTACGTCCCAAGCTAAAAGTGCTTATAGCAAGCGTGATTGTCATTCGAAATACAATGAGCTTTGCGATGGGTTATGGGATCACGCCTTGGGTCACAAATATGGGTTATCAAAATGCTTTCATTGTGGCTGCTTTTGCTGGTCTTGCTCAAGTCTTAACCTTCTTTGCAGTAGTAAAATGGGGCAAGAGTTGGAGAAATATCACAAAGGGAAGATACTACAGATACTTGAAGGAAAGCGAGACCTTAGGAGTCACGCACTAGGAGAGGTAGATGTCGAGAAGCGAGGAAACCTTTAATTAAGTCGTGGCTATCCACCTGCCTGCCACGTTCTTGAAGTTTTGATTCGGTCGATGCCTCGAGAAGACGTGTTCCAATGGAAGGAAGAGTCTATCATAATACTTACACTGCTAAACTTTAGATTATACATATAATGAAATGTACCTTATCTGTTCCATCCTTGGCAGTTGATACTAATGTCCAGCTGCCACTTGAAAAGTCAACATTATCGTCAGATGATTATGACTCGATCAGCAATATCGTTTCGAGACTTGATGTGAATCTGGATCCTACTGTGTTTTGGAACATCGATACTGCAGTATAAACTTGCGCGTCTAGGATACACGACATGACAATCCACACGACCCTTATGTAGTTGCGCATCAAGAGGTAGGAACACCACACGAACCGTGTTGTAATCGGGGTCTCGGATCTCATAGGTAAGGAAGGTTCTTATGTTAAGCGATGAGACTCGTCCGAACTCAGCTCTAGTTGAGTCGCACGAGGCCTTATTGTAGGAAATTTGACGATCTCGGGAGAAAACGAGACACTAATAATAGTTATTCGGAAGAATCGAAAACTGCGATGGACGGCTGGATCCATCCGTTACCTTTATCAATACGGTACAGTACACAAGGAGATTTGATTATGCTTAAAACTGCACACAGGAGCGTTGATTTGATTTGATAAATACTTTTTTGTTTGCTCAGTAAGATACCTTTGAATACGAGCTACATGCCACGTTTTATTGAAATGATCCACAACATATTTTTCCAACTGGTGAACGCTTGCAAATCCACGCACTGCGAAGAAAACATGTTTATATTGACGGAGCCTTTGGGGGGGGGGGGCGAAAATGGTCGTGCATACGCCAAGCTTAAGCTTACTTACTTTCTACCCGGGAGGAGGCCATGAGACGATGTTCATTTTTCTCGGAGCCTTCAAATTCTCAATCTCCACCTCAGTCTCTTTTGTCATTCCACCATTTTTACCCATGAAAAGGAGCCCTCCATGTAGCATTAAAAGCGACCTCAAAATGAGGTTGTGATCAAAAGCTGCGTATCAAGCTGTCACAAAAGCATTTCTTTTGCATGGCAATCGTGATTGGCACCACGAAGTCGGGAAGACCCCTTCATTCAAAATTTTCCGATCGTATTTTAGTATTTATCACAGTGTACGGCACCACCTACCCGTAAGGATACAAACGAGTTACGAACGTCCAGCCGTCAAAAAGATGTTTTAGCATGAAAATATCCTTATGAGAAAGTTACTTCTATAATTTCTTGTTATCGGACATGGTTCTTGGACCTCTTCGAGACCTCATGTACCCCACTTCACACCCTTCCACTCTCCCAGCCTCATTGTGACCTACATTAATATGTTCTCTAAAAAGTATAATGAGTTCTTGGACCTGCACCTATATGTAAGAAACTATGCAGAAAAGAAAAATCGTTGCGGTCGTCCCATTCAGTGATGGGATGGCTGCACAGATCCTGCATCCTTGTGGTGCATCATTAGTAGGCTGCATGTTCTACCTATACAAATCGGACTTTTAGCTACATTCTCAGAGTTTTGACCCCAGAAATCTATGTTACCTTGCATACTCCCCTGTTTGTTGTCGCTGCATATCAAGTCAGGTCATCTCTGTTCTTGAGGTTTAATACGAAGAGTTCGCCTCACTTACAACCTCCTTCACTCCCTCATCGGCTTCTATAACCCTCACAGTCGCTTCAATCTTCCGTGTGCAGTCTTTTCGTTTATCACCAGTTTTGACAAACCAGCTAGGTGTAAGGTTTAATCCGGTCATATAAACAATCTTGCGATAAGTCATATTTGTTTAGCTAATTGCACCTCACACTCGTTCATCGGATTATCGACATGAAGTCTGTGTCGCTCCTCGCCACCGTGGCGTTGGCTTCGTTGTCGAGTGCACATCCTGGACCTGCTATGCCAAAATTGATGGGTGGTAGAGAGTTCCTTCAAACAATCAAAGGTCGCAATGCCATGCCAGCTCCAATCGCAAATCTAGTGCATGTGGAAGAAAGAACACCTGAGGTAGGGCCAAGGGCGGAAGATCCAAATACTTGCGGTCCCGGGGTTGGTAGCTGTGTGAATGCATGCTGCTCCCCAGAAGGGTGAGTAGTATCTCGTCAGTTCGAAAAATATCAACTAATGAAACTAGATACTGCGGTACCACGGAAGAATATTGTGCAGCTCCAGATTGCCAGTTCGAATATGGACCTCTTTGTGACACACTCCAAGCTCCATCTGGTGCTTCGACAGCAAATATTGCACGCCCACACATTGGCGATGTTCCATATGGAGGAGCTGGCGTTTACGATTGTCAAGTTGCTGGAGGTTTGTATTTCTAGGCTCTTGTGATGATGGGAAATGCTGACTTATTTACTTTGATAGACATTGCATTCACTTTTGATGACGGACCGTATCTTTACACTAATGATCTGCTTGACAAACTCGCAGCCTATGGAGCTAAAGCTACCTTCATGATTACCGGTAACAACCTTGGGAAAGGTGCAATCGATACCACCCCAGAGTATGTTACCGTTATCAAGCGTATGATTGCCGAAGGTCATCAAGTCGCATCTCACACCTGGGGTCACCAAAATTTGACATCCCTTGACCCAACAACGTTCAAAAACCAAATGTACTACAATGAGATGGCCTTCAGAAACATCCTCGGGTATTTCCCAACTTATATGAGACCACCTTATTCTGAGTGTAACGACACTTGTGGTGACCTTATGGCAGACTTGGGCTACCATGTAACTTATTTTGATTTGGATACCGAGGGATATCTGAATGATGCTGCAAATCTCATTCAAAAGTCCAAGAACATTTGGGATGCCGCCATTGCTACCGCCAATCCTGCGACAGATAATTACCTGGAAATCGAGCACGATATCCATTATCAAACTGTCTATAACCTTACTGATTACATCCTTGCTTCCATGTACTCTCATGGATTTAAATCGGTTACCGTGGGAAATTGTCTCGGCGACCCGTCTGAGAACTGGTACAGAAGTGGTGACCCTAACGCCGCTGTCCCTACACCAAGTCAACAAGTTTCCGATGACGGTTCTTGCAATGCAGATATCACATGTCTTGGTTCCATCTATGGAAATTGCTGTTCCATTAATGGATTTTGTGGATCTACTGACGCTTATTGCGGTACCGGTTGTCAACCTGGCAGTGGAACTTGCTCTGGATCATCTACAACTTCAACCAGCACTGCTAAAGCTTCAACCAGCACTGCTAAAGCTTCAACCAGCACTGCTAAAGCTTCAACCAGCACTACCAAAACCTCAACCTCGGCACAATCAACTAGCACCCAAAAGGTTTCTACTGATGGGAGCTGCTCTAGCTCCATAACTTGTATTGGTTCCAGCTATGGTGACTGCTGCTCAGAACATGGATGTAAGAATTCTCATTATGTACTCTCACTTTATACTTCCTCATTTACTAACGTCAACTCAAACTAGACTGTGGAAGTACTATTGGTTACTGCGGTACTGGCTGCCAACCCATTGCAGGAACCTGCTCAGCATCCACTACCTCCACCAAAAAAATCACATCCACAACTACCACATCCACGGCCGTTGCCACTTCTACTCTGAAAGTCAGCATTGATGGATCATGTGGAGGTACTAACAAGGAGACTTGCCAGGGAAGCAGTTATGGAAATTGTTGTAGTACGCATGGATATTGTGGAAGTACCACTGCTTATTGTGGTACGGGATGTCAAAAGGGTTTTGGTACTTGTACATAGGGGGTGCACTTGAAGAGGGGCATGGAATTAGAGGGAGATTTACTTTGGTTGTAGATATTTTAATTATTTTGGATAAGGGTTAATGTTTATGTTTAAATATAATAGTTATTGGATAGAAAAATAATATAGGATAAGATAAGATGTTATGTAGTATATCAAGACTTGGGATTTTCGAAATATTTGAAACTTCTGATGTGAAGATCTAGCATGCTAGTGATGCTTTAGTGAGTTTGAATATCTGGCTTGTGTTTTCGGCTTTGTTCATAACTAAATTCTCATCATCTATTATCTGGATCACAGCATGTTAGAAAAACGCTGTTTTAGCATAACAATTCTCTTTGAAACATACAATCATGTAGGTTCAAATCATATATAACATCTCACATCCTGAATCATTGTTCAGGAGGTAAAGCCTGATATCGTCTATCGCTAAATCCACTCCCACCAAAGTTCTCAACCACGACAATCTATCAAACGCTAATACATAAGCGGCAAGCCCCCACTAACAGCACACTACCATTCACTCAATCCCTCCTTCAAAGGTTTCTCTCAATATCGATATCAATATCACAACAAGCCCACCATTCTTCCCACCCTCAAAAATATATCCTGCCTCCTCACAACCTCTATCACAATCATCTCAATCAACTATACTTACCCTATCAAACTCATTCTACTACAACATCGAGCTTACAAACCCCCCTCCAGAAAATGACAACTCAAGCCGCGGATTCTCAAATTAATCATGCGGATGCTATTCATTAGTACGTATCCCAATCTCCCCCTTCACAATCTCTAATCAAACATTACATATATATATAAATACATATAAAAAGAGATTCGAAATCAAGAGAAAGAGAAACAGAGAGAGACAAAAACTAACAGAACAAATAGCTGGGAAAGTATAGAAGCAAATGACGATGGGATGTTAGGAGGATTTCCGTATATCAGTCGTGTGGATATCCAGGGATCGAAGAATTTTTTGGGGAAATTGGGGGTTAAGGGGGTGAAGTTGGGGAGGGCGGTGGATTGTGGGGCTGGGTGAGTTTTTTGGGGGTTTTTTAGTTCTTTTTTTGTGTGATGTGTTTCTTGTTCTTTTTTTACTTGGGGTGTGGTGAGGTTTGGTGGTGGTAGGTTTGATGGTGTGTTATTGAGGAGGAGCGGAGGAGCTCGAAAGCGTTTTTTGTTGGGTCATGCTGGAGAATTGAAGTTTAGAAGCTCATGCCTGTGTGTACTAGTGTATAGAAAGGACAGTTTTATGTTCGTACAGTTTCTGTGGTCATGGTTGAAAGTAGTTTTCTGGCCAGCGTCTTGGTCGACGCGAGCTACTCAATTCCAACCACAAGAATCGCTTCACAAGGAGACCCCGATGTGGATATTCTGAGAGGATATACCTATCATTTTGCCCGCGCAAGGAGAATTTCTTGGTCATCAAGCTTAAAGAATTTTCAACTAACCAAGTTACCAGAATCGGTCGAATTACAAAAGCATTACTCCTAAGTATCGCTACTACAGTTGATATCGTAGAACCAGTGACGAAATTCTCTTCCGCACTTATAGACCACCCAGGAGTTGGTCAAATATATCCTGTCGGTCTTGAAGCCTGGACGCCAGACACAGAAATCAAATACGACTTAATATGGAACCAATGGTGTCTAGGACATCTAACAGACTCCCAACTTGTGGAATATTTTCAAAAATGTGGAAATATGTTGAATGAAAATGGTTGGATAATAGTCAAGGAAAATATGAGTACGCATGCTGGGAATGATATGTTTGATGAAGTTGATAGCAGCGTTACGAGGTTCGTACAAATCATAACATAAGTGAGTGTTTGAGATATTAAGCTTACATAAAATATTAGAACGGATGAGAAGTTTCGGGAACTTTTTGATAAAGCTGGTTTGAAAATATTAAAGACGGAATTGGCAAAGGGGTTTCCAAAGGGCTTGTATCCTGTGAGGTTATATGCGTTGAAACCGGAATGAATTTTGTGTACAGGTAATCTTGGATTTTCGAGATAATGAAGCTCATTGTCTAAATATACTGTATTTTCAGTCCCAGCTATTTCATTTCACAGTACAACATTATTTAACCTAAAAGCGCCTCTCCTAGACTAGTGATCTGTTCAGGAAACAAATTCCAAAAGTCCCGACTCTAGATCTACTCTTCTAAGAGCTGGACTAAACCTAAGATCTTACACTTACAATACCATAGAAATACAAAAGTCATATTATTCTCAAATCAAACAAATACCATTAAAACCAACAAACTACTGATTGATATAAAGACTATCTTTCAAAACGTAACCGGAACTAACTCTATGAGATTTCAATCTCAATTTAAAAGATATAATAAATGCTCAATATTATATACTAATTCACAATCTCCATCCTATATCCTATATCTTTCTTAGAACATATAATACTGGCCAAATAAGACTTACAAAGCACCTATAACGTGGTTTATCAGCAGTCCGCCCATATCACTAGTCCGCACACTTTTTGACCATTTAACCACTTCAAATTCTAATTAATCAATCATAACTTATTCAATTGATTCAAACTATTAAGAATCTAATAATCTAGGATCTATTATACTATTTTGACAAATTCTTGAATTATGACCAATCTTTCCATATTTACTACAGCATCGATTTGTTACGAGGTTTGCCGTCCAGATCACGTGGAAGTGCTCTAGGCTCTCGAGGTGGTTTATAACTAGGCGTCAAGCAGGGACTTAAATAATGACAATGATGCAATTCGTAACTAATAGTAGAGTATACTAAATGATTGATCTTAAGCACGAAGCTCTATACAAAGGAAATCCATCACGATTATATAGACCTTCATGCTTCGTGGCTCGAAGGGAGCGAGGGGATCGAGCATCGATCCTTTCGCTCTCTTCGAGTCCTCGCATCACGTGTTATTACTAATCCCGTGACCTAATTGTTACCTGTCGTAACATTCAACTCTTTATAAAAAGAATTTTATTATATGTTATAAATAATTTAAATATATATTTAAAGGATTTTATATGTAATCTACCTAGTATATATCTAAAGTTCAATTAATTATATCCCTACAAATATAATTAAGGGCTTATCTATCAATTATATTATAATATCATTATATCATTTTCCACAGCCAAGTTACTTATTTATTACATATTTTCTATTATCCCTTCTCTTAAATACTAATAGTCATAATCATACCAAAATCATTTCATTCCAATCCATACCCCAAGTGTCACTATACCAAGTCTCACTATACCAAAGAACCAACTTCTCCATCAAATTAACTCCATCAGATAAATTCATCACTCAACCCCTTCCCTTTTCATAAATATTTCATGATATTCGTTATGTCATCAGTAACTAAGTATACTTTTAAAAACATCAAAATGCCACGCTTGCTTGCTTGCTTGCCTCTTAACTCGCCCCAGTGCTCGCTTACTCACAGCAAAGTAAAAGACTCCCTATTGAAAAGAGTATCATCATAAACATCATGCCTTAAACGCTTTACAGAATAGATAGAAGAACTTGAGATATTTGACTACTGACTACACTAGTAGACGAATAACAAGAGAGTGTATTTAAATCCCACTCAAATATATATATTTCAATCACCGTGAATCGTCCTGGTTTCCGTCATCACACTCTCCCCATCTCCATCCCCATCTCCGTGAGAATCCACTTCCCCACCCGGTTTCCTACCTACCAAAACCCTCACCATAGTTTTCAAACCCCTCGCTCTCTCCGCATTTAAACTAACCCTCTTCATATCCTCTCCACATATCACACACCTTCTCCTCACTTCCTCTTCATCCCACCCCAAAGCCTGCGTTAACAATCTCAACGTATAAGCTTCCAATGAACTCAAAGCCGACACCAACCATAATTTTCCTATCGTCCTTTGAATTTATCATCTGGCCAAGTTCCCATCGGAATCCCAAATTCCCTAACCTTAACATCTACAAACCCTAATTTTCGCAATTTTTCCTGTTCTAGATGCGCAATTCCACGTGGTCGTCCAGATATCCGAGCGGCTTCTTCCATATCACGTAAGAGAGCTGGAATGGGACTATCTTCATCGAAAAATGTAAGGAAAGCTTTATGGTCATCGAAATCCATGATTTCAATCCATCCACCGGGTTTTAAATGTATATATGCTTCGGAATATATATGATCCCAATCACCGAATGCACCTGCCATATTTCTCAAATGGATCAAATCAAATTCGTTAGGTGGCCATGTCCACCCACCTTCTTCTTCCGCGTCATCGATCTCGAAGAAGACATTTAGTGGGACTGCTGTGGGTTGAACTTTGGCAATATCTGTTCCGATTATTTCGGCCGAGGGCCATAGATCACCCATTCCCATAGCCCAATCACCAGCTCCTGTTCCAATATCCAGAATGCGAGTAGGTGATTCCAAAGGTACGGTAGTAAGTTCGTTATCGAAGATTTGGAGGTATATTTGGTGAATTATACGTAGACGATCGAGTTCTTCTTCATCGACTGGCATGTAGTAATCTCCTACATAAACTCGGCCATGCTGTTGTGTATATACAACATCGGAATCGTATAGTGAGCGAGTGGAATTTCTACGTTGAAATAAAGTATTAGCAGACTGGTAAAGTAGTAAAAAGGAGAAATGACAATTAAGGATCTCACACTGTATCTCGATCCGCCTGGCGATGATGAAAAACTGATTTGGTATAAGTAGTCGGTTTTCTATTTTCTTCATTTTCCCTCCGCACTATTTCTCTGGGGGCAAGCGCATCGATTTCGATTTCTGTTTCCTCCTCATTGTCGTCTGGTACAAGTGGTATATCATGATCCGAATGTCTCAATTCTTGAGGAGCATTTACACTCTCATCCGGTACACTTTCTTCTCCTTCATTGTCTTCCTCCTCTCCTTCCCTCGTGGATTTAAGATTGGTACAAAGAGCTCCCATTGACATAACCTTTCCTCAGACTGCTATTCATATCAACTACAGTCCTTCGTACCGTATCGTATCGACTGGTCTCGTCGTCAATATTCCCCAATTCAAAGATCAGGATTCATGTGTCGTCTCTGAACCCGCCATTAGAAGAGGCTTCTGTGTCCAATCGAGTGGGTATGTAGAGTATGTCAATACAAATTTAGATACAGAAGGATGCAGATGCAGATGCAGATACAGACACAGATACCAAAAGATGGTAATAAAAGTATAAACTCGTAGTCAATCCTCGTAACAAAGAACAAAACAACAAACTCTCCCTTTTCCTTTCCCCTCCAAGGTCGAATTTAAGGATTAGATACCAGAGAAGAAAAGGCAAGAAGATAAAGTAAAGAAAAAGACATGCACACTCTCCAATCAAGCTAACAAACCATCAGAGTCGTACTCCCACTACGCAAGCAGGCGAAATTACCAAAGATCGTACTGTGATCCGATCATCAAAAGCGGTGACCTATTTTAGGTAGTTCTTGCAGATTTTAAAAATCCCAGGTTCAAATTAGCTCTTCTTCGATTAGAATCATTAGCTGGTGAGCCTTTTCTTTTGAAATCTTTCAAGCTCGCAGCCAAAAGAAGCTAATCCCAAGTATCTTTGTCCACTACTTTTAGCACTAACCCAACTTTCTAGGCCATTTTTGACAGCGGGTAACCCCATATAATATATTTCCACCACTGGAAACCCAAACTTAACTTACACTACTGTACTAAGTTAACCCACAACTATTAACCTTAACCCACCCACCATCATATATCCCAATTCCCCCAACTACGGATCGTTCCATTTTACGCCGTCCCAAATTCATCATTTACACTTACTTCATGGATTATGGTAAATGATCCAATTGGTTCACAATGCAAGCCCGGAAACTCCACGTCCTTGGAGCTGGATTTATTTAGTGTTTTAGGTTCCGGTCTGTCCGGTTAAATGCAGGTACCTCCACCATTTATTTATTTATGCTCAACTCTTTATCAATTGGTAATGAGTTATAGTCGTATTGTAAGTGATATTCATCAACACAGTATGTTAATATTTTCTTTTTACAGCCGTTACTCTATACCGACCATCATCCGTTCACATTATCTCTTCGACAAATTAGCAAATTGTGTATGGAAAGCATACTAGATACAACATCACAAAATCCCCCACCAAAATTATACTACACGCCACCAAAAACACTTGGGATCACTTAAAAACCCAGCGAACGCAAGAGAGTTGTCCCAAGAGCGGTGTGTGCCATGCTGTACATGTCAGCACATGCATATTTGAAGTTAAACTCGGATGATATCGAATCAATGGACAGCTATTTCTCATTTCTAATATTGGGTTCTTTTTTCTGGGACAATGTTATCATCGATAACTGTTTAATGGGTTTATTCGTTTTGTCCCAATGGGAAGGATACGGCGGAGTTGTATATTCATTTTTCTCGGTATTTCTATTCCCATTATTCTCTATTTCGGATTTCTATCCCTACGAGAATTTCACCTCTATATACCTGTTTCTATTAATCATTCAAACCAGACCAAGTCCTCTATCTTACCACTCACCACTTACAACAATAAATGCATACACCCACCCAACCATCAATCATCAATCCAATCGCAACACCTCACCCAAGCAAATATCTAATCCAAATAACCACCTACCTATCTATCCAACTCCACAACCACCTACCTACCTATCCAACTCCACAACCAACCACCCACCCACCCAACCCACCAATCCGGTTCCAGCGTTGCAACCTTCCAACCTTCCAATCTCTATGCACCCGCGCATCCCAGTATCCCAGTATCCCAGCATTCCAGCATTCCAGCTCATCCGCCACATCCATTCCACCACCATTCATTCCACCATTCCACAAAATTCCCAACTGCCAACCGCCAACCGCCACCATGTCACTGTACCATAGTGCCGTAGTACCGTAGTAATCTGACCAAAAATACCACCCACCACCCCTCATTAATTACTTTAACTACTGACCTACCTAGGTATCCCATCCCATCTTATCCCACATTTTATTATACTGCTAACAATCCAGCGACCCCAACCTACGACTTCTGATCTACAAAATATATAAAACCAATCAATCATGCCGGCGCCAAACCATACTACACTCACTACCTACGGGTACTCTGTATAAAAATTACAAAAAAGGCCTAGAATTATTTTTTATTTATTTATTCATCTATTTATTTATCTATTCTTTACAAAACCCTAATACAGTATATATACCTAATACAAACTGAAATCTTACACATATAAATTTTTTTATTTTTTATTAAAAAAAATTGATATTTTTATTTTATAATCCTATCCTATCTTATTCAATCCAATCCAATCCAGTCCAACCCAATCCAGTCCAACCCAATCCAGTCCAACCCAATCCAATCCAGTCCCTATTAATCCATCCATCCAATTCATTTCATTCCAACCATAAACCCGAAACCCAAAAATATCCAGAAATCAATCTCCACATGAAACCATCGACATCAACATCAACATCAACGTCAATATCATCTACTCATGTACTACGTACTACCAACCAAACTATGTCTACCGATGGGGAATATAAATGAAAAAAAAAGCACGCTCTAATATAGTGTCCGATAACCAATCCACGAGAAAAAACAATAACCCAATCATCAATCACCAATCACCAATCAATCAACCCATTTTCCTTTTTCTACGCCACCAAAACATGAAGCTGAAATACAATGCAACGAATGCAATGCAGAGTCCAGACCAAGCCAGACATGTATAATCTAAACTTCCACAGCTTGAATCATCCCGCTCGAAACACCATTTAACTTTCTCTTCTTGCCCAAAACCATATTATCATTAGCATCAACCACCATTTCTTCTTTGACTTCTTCAACAGCATGGTCATCACCCACCACTTCCGATCCAGCAACTGTGGGGAATGGTGTAAGGACCTTGGTGATATCACCCCACCATCTTTCACCGAATCTCTTATACCAGTCAACAGTGATAGCCATTCCATTCTCGAAACTAGTCTTTTGATCCCAGCCTAATTGTCTAAGTTTGGTTCCGTCAACTGCATAACGGTGATCATTGAATGGTCGGTCTTGCGTATGCTTGACCCACTTGTGGAGCTCAGCCTGGGTGCTGTGGGGAATATTCAAGTACGTGAGTAATTTCGAGCATAATGTCAAATTGGATATCTCATCGTACGATCCAACATTGTAGATCTGTCCCATGGTACCTTTATGAAGAATGGTATCAAATGCATCGGCTGCATCACCAGCGAAAAGATATCTTCTGGTGGGGGTTCCATCTCCATGTAAAACGACCGGTTGCCCACGTTGGAGTAGGCAACTAAATTTGGGAATGATTTCTATTCAATTTTATCAGCCATGTGATTTCAAGATTTGATCAAAGTACTCACTCTCAGGATATTGATGTGGACCGTAAACATTGTTACTGCGTACGATAATCACAGGTAGCTTAAAGCTCTTCTGGTAAGAATGTACCAACATCTCTGCTGCTGCTTTACTTGCAGCATAAGGATTCGTAGGCGCCAAAATGCTGGTTTCCAAAAGGTCATCATCATCATCCTTAACCTCCCCATAAACTTCATCGGTAGAGATATGAATGAACTTTTTGATCCCAAACTTTTTGGCACTCTCAAGCAAAACGTGGGTACCGTACACGTTTGTGTGGGTAAAGGCATAAGAATTGCCAAAACTCAAATCGACATGAGATTGTGCTGCGAAGTGGAAGATTGTATCAATGTTATGTCGTTCAAGGCAGTCCACAACTTCGGATGGGTTGGTAATGTCACCATGGTAAAAGGAAAAATTGCGCTTGTCGTTGAGTGCTCGGGTATTATTCAATGACGAGCAGTAATCCAATTTGTCGAAAGACACAATGTTGTATGCATCGGGGTAGGTCAAAGTCAAATGTCGTACCAGCCAACATGCACTAATAAATGTCAGTCTTCCATTCCCTGCCGCACAAAGAACAGCGATCTTACATGAACCCGGCCCCTCCTGTAATCATGATATTCTTAACGTCTGGCAATGGCTCGAATTTTGTGCTTCCTGTAAGTATTGGAGCTTCCTTCCAAACACCGTAATCTTCGAAGAATCTGTTTTGCTCTCCCTTAGTGGAAGAGTGAGCTGTAAATAAGACGAATTAGTAGATGTTCCCAACTAAGTGGCCGAGAGACATTACTTGGAAGAACCCTACTTGTACCGTTTGAAGCCATTGTGTTTGAAAGACTATCTGCGCAGGTTCGAAAGTTCGAATGGAAAGAAAGTAGATGCTTGAAATGATGGTAGATTGGGAGAGATTGGATGTACGAAAGACAAGGAGATATTCGCCGGTGGTAAGAATGCGCAAGGAGGGAGGGTATCGAGGAGTTTTATTACAGGAGGCTGCAGAGAGAAAAGCCAAGGAATGTTTGAGAGACCAGACGCATTGGCTAGCGCAGGGAGACGTGAATATGATTTACTCTTTCAAAGGCAAGAGTGCGACAATATGCGGAAGGTAGATTCCGGGTCGAGTGGAAGCAGATCCAATCCTAAACAAGGCTATACTTTTGCGAGTGAGAGTGAGTTGAGATTGGTGAATGGCGGCGGCATCTGCAGGGAGAGATGAAATTGGCGTAAAGGGAGATGGATGATATGAGAGAGACAGTCTTTTTTGGATTATCCTCATTGCCATGGATGCGATTATATGAATGAAAACGGAAATGGAAACGAATTTAACAAGCCCATGTCTGATTTCCTTGCATTGGTGAGGTTAAAAAAAGGTTAGAGTGAACGTGGGTTGAATTGGTGTTTTGAACAATAGTGCATGGATCAGGATGTGTTCACTGATGTGGTGGTGCTCCGATGCTTTACTCCATAGGTAGCCATAGTGTTGAGTGTTATTCCGTTGATAAAGTGGAGTATATACGAAATATGACCTACGGAGTACTTTTGCATGTGGAATATGACCCATGGGGAAATTTAGCAAGAAAAGAGGGGAAATAGAATTAGAAAAATTGATGTTAAAATAGGTGTTGTTTGATGATATGTAAGTCTTATAACATCTATATAACATTTGACTTTGTGCTCCTCTACTATGTAACTGATTACACGGAACACTAGAGACGAATACACAAGATCTTTTAATTATTCAATCCGATAACTGCCAGCTTATGCGTTTCACGATATCAGATAATAATCTAATAAAAGCTTATCCACCAAGAAGTCGACTTACTAAGCTGAACTTAACTACTAGACAATTTTAGTGTGTCCGTTACGGGCTATAATGCTGTTCCAAGATATTCTAAGAAATTTCAGGGCTCCAGTCCAGATCTCTGAGAAGTGGTGATTCAAGATCTCAGCCACTATGCAAAGGAAGAAAGAAGATATTTATTACATGATCTATCAAACATTGGATACTTTATTATGTGATAGATATCTTGAGATGAGATGCTTCTCCGTTGCTTCTTCTTCATTAGATTCAATCCTAGGAAGACGCGTAAACCATTACTCTTCTGAACGCGTATATCTGCCTGTAGGATCAAGACTGTAGCGACAAGAAATAAATTAATTTTGATCAAAAAAGCTTGAAAAGGTATCTAATGTATCCCGAACATATAAGCTTTTGATCGTTACAAAAGTTCTATCGATTACGCGGTCTCACTCACCATACCCAGGGAGGGGCTCTTCTAAGGTTCTGCATGCCACACCCTCTCTAAAATAAAATCCTAAACATCCGGAAAAGGAAAGATCTAAAACCAAACTATAGTTTATAACATCTGTAAGGCACAAATTACTCTAGAATACCCCCGTCTGTATTCATGATGTGTGGCATGTTTTAGAATTTGGGTCTCCTCTGGAATTAGGGCCTCCCAACCTCTGCCGAGTCCCCAATGCTTGGTTGGGTTGTTTGCGGTGCAATGCATGCTAATTCCATTAATACTTTTTATTACAGGGTTGTTTTCAATATCAAATTCTTTGGATTGGAATAAGGAAAGCAGCTATATTCTCTGATTTTTCTTAGGAATTTATGTCACTTTCTGGATACCTTCCTCCTATATCCCAAGTAATCACTTCTTCTCTCTATCCAATCCAATTTGTACTCAAGCAACTCTCTACATATATTTTAACACAACACACAAAATACACGCCATGGCGGAAAGATCTACAGATCGTTCAGCATCTATCAGCTCTGCGTCGTCAGAAGCCGAGAGATTCGACGATAAAAATGAAAAGCATACTTTAATGGGTTCACAAGATGGAGACTACAAGTTACGGACACCAGAGGAATTGGAAGATATGGAAGAAGATATTGAACGAGCAGAATTACTTGCTCCACCACCAGAACAGAAACCAAAGGCTCCGGAAAGTTCTGTCAGATCATCAATTATTTGGATGGTGGTAAATACATTGGCGACAATTGGCATCGTGAGTTTTTCAAAACTTCATCCCATCCTACCTCCAATTTTCAACATGGTTCAATAGTCAGGACTGCCGTACGAAAATCACGGCTTTCAATTCTTGGGTGAAATTTGAGTAACGAATCGTTGGAAATACTGAATTCATCTTGAAGATTGATTTGGTTTACAATTTCTCTACAACATTCTAACAAATTCTCAGGTCTTTACCAACAAGGCAATCTTTTCAGATCCTTCTTTGAAACTTGCACAACTCACATTCGCCGCGTTTCATTTCACCGTGACATGGCTAACTCTCTATACACTATCGCGACCACGGTTTGCCATGTTCACACCAAAAAGAATTGCAGTGAAGGATATCTTTCCACTTGCTATTTCTATGGCATTAAATGTCATATTACCGAATTTATCACTTGCCTTTTCCACAGTTACTTTCTATCAAGTAGCTCGAATCCTACTTACACCAACCGTCGCACTTATGAACTTTGTTCTATACCGATCAACGTTGCCGAGAAATGCGATATATGCTTTGATACCCGCTTGCATTGGCGTAGGCATGGTTTCCTATTACGATTCGCTGCCAACGGCTGATGCGAATATCAAAACCACAAGTACGTTGGGAGTAATTTTCGCATTCACCGGAATCTTCGCCAGTTCTCTCTACACAGTATGGATCGCCAGTTACCACAAGAAGTTGCAGGTCAACAGCATGCAATTGTTGTTTAGCCAAGCACCATTAGCAGCCTTCATGCTGCTGTACGTTATCCCATTTGTAGATACCTTTCCCGTTTGGACCGAGGTGCCTGTCAACCGTTGGGTTATGATTTTCATGGTATGTTATCTCGTATTGGACTCGTATATGCATTTGTCACAACAGCTAATCTCTTTTTCCAGTCTGGACTATTCGCAAGCATAATAAACATGTCCCAATTTTTCATCATTGCTCAAACTGGCCCTGTTTCCAGCACTGTCGTTGGACATGTGAAAACATGTTCAATCGTTGCTCTCGGATGGATGACTTCTGGGCGCGCTGTGGGTGATAAATCAGTAATTGGAGTTTTTATTGCAATTGCTGGGATCGTTGCGTAAGCTTTTCCCCTTTTTTTTTTTGGTTTTCCCTCCAACCAACTCCATATCTACTATTTTGGGGCCCCCAGCCCGACAGCTTGGCAAAGCGACCAGCACCGTCTTCCAAGCATTCCTTGGTTTCGAACTATTTTAACGCCCATCCCCTGAAGGCCGTCCCCCCGAGCCCGTAACGAAGTTTCAATCACGGATTCTCTTCTGTTAGTTTTGTCAAACGTTGAATAGTTTTACTAACGGATTTTTTTGTATCAGGTATTCAATGGTAATGATCAAACACAAAACTCAACCCAGGAAATAGACGACTGTAATCAAAGGTCATCTACCTCATATATTATATTTTTATAAGAATTATCACAACTTGAGTATGCTTTGAAGACGGACTCGGAGCATAACTATGTCGTTCGGTGATTCATTCCGTAGACTTGGATATTTACGGAGCATCTCTTTTTATGTGGGATGTTGCATCACAAAGCATCCATCAAGCGGGCGGGGTAACATTCCTCCGTGCATAGTGCATTATCAGGAACCTCAACGGCAGATGATTGTTGAGTCCGTGCTTGTTGTTCACTTAATAAATTTCTAGATCACACATCCAGTTTGATAGATGTATTTCTTATTTTATTATATTATATTCCCATCCCATTTATTATAGCGTCATTCGTTCTTCCTATCCTATATTAATCAATCTTTGAATTTCACGAGGAACTGTAGAATAGGTTATATTTGCGCGAAGAGATACCAAAGATAGCAATAGCAATAGGTAGCAATAGATACCAAAATCAGTCATTTTTGTTTTTTTTGTTTCTTGTTTCCCGGGAAATCGGTTCGCTGTTTTGCGTTACATATGTTGCATTTTTTTCTTTTTCGTTGTAAGATTGTAAGATTGTAAGATTGTTAGATTGTAAGTAAGATTGTAAGTAAGATCTTAATATTGATCTCACTTGCTTCTGATGTCTGACGTCCGTCAACGCATAATGCATCCATGAATTCGGGAGGTTGAAGAATTGGATTAATGATATATCTCAAAGAAGTCCCTTGTTTATAGCCTCAGAGCAGATATTGGAATATATGAGGCGCTGTTGCAAGCAAGGGCTTAAATTTCAAAAAGCATCAACGACATCATTATTGGATTTTTCTGAAAAGGGATTATAGTTTACTGGGTAAATAGCTATCTTTCTTTCTTTCGCCCCTTTGCTAATTTACACTGATGATTTATATTTATGTTTTTGAATGTATGGAGGAAGCTATTTTGTTTATTTGGTTGTAGGGATGCAAGATTACTATGTTTGTGTGCAGATCATTCTAATGATTCTGGATTCTAGATTTGGGATGGAGGAATTTAGAATTAGGATATAAGGATATGACTTGGTTATAACTTATATAAATCTTCTCGAGCTCAATGGCAAATCTGTTAATTACTAGAGCATAGCATAGAGAGGGAGGAAGGAAAGTATGCATACTCCGTAGACATCTACCTACCTACCTACTTCAGATTCTGGAAGAAGCATAGTAGATAGATGAATGAATGGACAGAATTCTGCAAGAATCGCTATTGATCGTTATTGCTATTATTACTGTTAATTGTGCCGCAAAGTTTCCATTCACAAGAGAATCTAATTTCAGTCTTTATATGCTTCATCATCTAGCTCTGTTCATATGCGCATACTTATCCTAGGGATAATTACCATATCCTAATGGCAGCGAACTATCCCGTCCAATTGATGCTGAGTCGCGTATTGGAAGTAATAGGAGTGGTTCCTAGACTGTAAAATTAAGAAATAAAGTGTATTTATTAGATTTAGAACTCGGGAAGAAAGAATTTTTATTTTCGCGCTTCAGAACTCCGTATTGCCAATTTAGGATACATATCTTCACTCGATAAGTAGGTGATGGAATAATAGGGGTCAAAATTCTATGTAAGAGATACTCAACACACTGAGATGGGAGAACTATCAACGCACAATCAAGTCCCTCCCCTTCACCCCCAGAAACCGGAGGCTAGTTATATATCTATCTAACCGTAAATACGCCTCCAAAAAGCCTGCACCGCAACCATCTTCCAATATCTCAAAAAAGTCCTCACAAAAACCAACGTCGATACCCCAAAAACATAATACGCACCCCAAAGCTCACTCCGCACGGCCGTAAAATTCGCAAAAGCCAGAACCCTATCCTCCCACTCCGCAGCCGTAATTTCACCCTTCATCAATTGTTCCAGCAGCTGTGCATCCAGCGCCGCTTGATTAGTACTCGAAGCCACATGCGGACGAAATGTCGCCAGCGCATCACCTACAAAAAGCAATTTTCCGTTAAAGAGTGATGGTTTTGCTATTTCGCGGTCATGAATGGCGGAGATGAATGGTTTGGTGGTTTTTTGCACCATTTCTGCGAAAGGTGCGGGGAGGATTTGAAGAGCGAGTGCTTTTTGCTTTTCCCAGTTCTGGGGGGTGACTTTGCCGATGGGTAAGGTGGTGCGGTGTCGGTGTCCGTCGATGTCGGTCATTATGTCGCGATACTCCTGTGAGTTTTCCGGGTGTATATTGTACCACACCCAGTTGAGTTGTCGGTGCCCTGGGGAAAGATTTCCGTCTTCGCCTGGGATAGTATAACTATGTAGGACACGATTAGATTAGATCATAGCCAGATATAGAAATTTAGATGAGTCACGCACAGAACAATATAGCCACCCTTATACACGAAAAAAGTAGCCTTGCACGCAAAAACTGCCTTCGTTTCCTCGGAAATCTCACTCTCGGCCGCTACCCCCCTCCAAGCTACATAGCCCGCATACTTCTGCTGTAGAAGTGGCTGCAAATTTTGACGCAACCCAGAAGAAGCCCCATCGGCTGCAATCACTAGATCGGCATGAACAGTGGCATGTGAGTCGCTTCCCGTATCACGGTATTGAACCGTGACGAGCTCATCTTTGTATTCGACGCTAGTTACTTCTTTCTCGTGATCATAAGTGGCTGAGCCTTGCTGCTCCGTTGGCTGGGGTACTTGAACACATAGATCGCTTGCCAAACCATCGAAATTGGCTCGCATGACATAATATAGTATCTTCCAGCTCGTCGTCGCCATAGGGAACTTCCACGTGCTTTTGATTTTGACGGCTTGGTCAAGATATTGCACATCTGGACTCGTTACACAGTAAGGTGTCTTTGTCTCATCGTATTTTCTCATGAATGATTGAACATGTTCCATGGCGGCTATACCGGCCCCGAGACTCATTTGCTGGGACGGGTTGTTGCGTTCGAGGATTCGAACATGGTGTCCTAGCCGCCGGAGGACAATCCCGTGGAAGAGAGCAGTGAGGGAGCCACCTACCTTTTTGAATTATGATTGTTAGAATTTGGATAGTGGGTCGAGTATGTTTTCCTTACAATCACAACGTTTAGAGGCTTCTCGGTCATTTTTGCAGGGTCAAATTAGTATTTTTCGATTAGAGGAGTGTGCTGTGGTGATAAGATCAGAATGAATAATGTTTATCAAAAGTACAAAAATATTCCGACAGAAGAAAAGAAGAAAAGAGCAACGGATTCTACACTGATTCTTCTGAGCATCTTTAGGTAGTGAGGCACAGCACATGAATATCGATCTTCCCAACTTTCCGTAGTTTTGTTAACAAGAAGCGGCTAATCGCCCGAATTATTAACCTATGCCAGTTTACCCAATTGCTTACTGGCATTCTTCGTACGACTCCACTCTAAATTACCGGGATGAAATAACCCTTGACATGAGCTGTATTTTGAATCCCCCGGTGTGATAGATCTCCATCAAATGCGTTGCGAAGTCTCGACCAATCTTGCACCGTGACAAAATATACCACACCCACTCACCACGAAGCTGAGATGGAAAAATCCTTCGGAGAATGAGGTCCGGAATGAAGAAGTTAGTTATATCTCAAGTTTAAGGCATAAGGGAGATGATCATATTCTTAGTTTTTTTTAACAAGAAAAAAAGGGTAAATATCAGAAAGCTTTCAACTGAATAAAGGTATTTCTCGCTTGATTTGTCCGCCCGTTTCTCGTTCAAGAGGGACATCATGTTCTGGTACCCTCTTAAATTATTTGGCTGAGTAAGCTTTCGGTATCATTTTGCTCGAATCACCCGCCAATAGAAGTATTTAGCCTGTCAAGAAACTGGTTATCGCTCGATAGTCTTTCTTAATATGATTTAAGGGTGGTTTTTGAATCATTTCTGAATAGACGAATAGCTTCGTTTAAATTTAGTGAAGATTTTTCATCCTATTCACACCTATATTAAAGATTTCTTACATATAGATATAAAAAACAGAATTTCTTAATTATAAAATCCATTTTTTATAGAAATGAAACTAACTATCTCTAAAAAAGAACAAGCTCTTTTCAAAAAAGGTAAAATGATGATTATTCTAGTTATTTCTATAAAGACAGATCCTTTTATTCAATGCTAGAGATAACTAGCTCAACTAACAAGCTCAATACCTCTAGTATATCTATGCTTAATAAGGTTACCTAGGTTCTATACCTAGAGTGAGTTACATCGTCTTACCGAGTATCTTGCATTAGTTCACTCGCAACCCTACAACCGATTGAAAATGTAACTAACAATCACCAACCGGGTTCCAACTTCAAATCTCAATCTTCATGTTCCCAGTTATATGGATCAAAGAGGCTGTTTATGGAAAGAAAGATGTCAGCTGACAATCCCTGTAACGGTTACCGAGTGGTATGCTGAAATTTTATCCTTGGATTTTAATCGCCAGGATAAAAAATGGTAGTATCATGTGCGGCCCTAGATGTCTTCAATTTTTGGGGTCTTTCCTCGTATGCAGGAGGCAAGCTTCATTAAAAAGCTTAAAGTTACTTTCCCCCTCGACCTGCACGTCTGTCCATAGATTTAGCAGAACTCTTTTCTTTGCCCATACATACACACAGTGTCTGAAGCAGCAATCTCAAACAAAATGGCGATTTCAGCATCAGGAAGCCAGTTAGGCCTCCCAGTTTTGATCGTTGATGATGTTGTTTTCCTCGCTTTAGCAAGCATCGCTGTCTTTGCTAGAATTTGGGCGAGATATATTCCAAAAAGCAAATTGTGCTTCAATGACTACATCATAAGTTTAGCCTTGGTAAGTTCTTTCGACTTACTTTCTCCTAGAAACATAGATTACTCGGACTGAATTTTACGCGGTTGTTCGCAGGAGAGCGGGAAACAAGAGTCAGTATGGTAAGAGAAAACCTTTCTATGCTAAGGCGGAAGCCACGACGATGGTATATCCTGGCTTTCATTGACAGTGGTTGTGACTGGTGGAGCAGGACAACACATGGACAAGGTTCAACTGAGTCCGCTCGTTTCTGTGTTCAAAGTGAGTGCACAATCAATTCTGGTGGTTTTTGCAAATGAGCTTGAGATTTACCTCTCAAGTAGTATTATCAAACTTCTGATTGACATAAGCATTATACTTCTTCCTATGCCTATGCTTTGGAAGCTCCGGATGCCGTGGCTAAAGAAAATTTACTCTGACCTTCATTTTTGGTCTTGGCGCTTTGTGAGTTTCCTGTGTTGCGCTTGCAATTTCTCCGCTCACCAAACTCGCTAGCATTTGTATTGTCACCATTCCCCGTATTTGGACTCTCAAAAGGTTTGGTGAGCTAGATTCATGATCTTGCAAAACTTGCCATCTAGACAGATCTCGAACCGACCCTTGGGGTGTCTGCCCATCATTCGCCCTGTAACGCAGCGTTTGACTAGTACAACCATGTATCTCTGGACTGCTCTGAGCTCACAGAACAGGATCACAACTGAAGGCACACACCTAAAGTTAGTTATATTGTAACTTTCGGGAGGACTGGGGATGAAAAAGCCGGATGCAAATAGATTTGGTGGCTTTGGAAAACTTGATGGTGCCTATGCCCTCATGGGAGTTACGGACGTGATAACTGTGGTAAGTCAAGCCGAGGGACCAGATAGGCCAAAGAGTCAACCAGAATCGGAATCTCGTGATCTTGAGGCTCAGGACAACCACGGTAAGTCTTCGAGTGCGCGCAGAATTGATGTCAGAAAGGATTGGGCAGTTCACAGTGTCCACTCACAAAAGTAGAGTAGCGTTTTGATGCCGAGAACTATCTCAGTCGCTTCTCCAGGCTGCCGTGTAGAAAAGATAAGCTACGATATGTTAGGACTTGGAGGTATGCTACTATACTTGACTCTGCCTCTAAAATGAACGAGCTCTATAGAAATTCCCGCCAGTAGCTTGTAACAAATGAATCAAAGAGTTGGCTTTGTTAGTGCCCTGCATACATCTCCGTACCATAGACACCAACACAGTGAAGCAATATTTTACAGCCCCTTAAGCGTGAGCTAACAACATGCAGAAATCCGATCCTTCTGATAACAAAGCCCGAGAATCTTGCAGCTATATCATGAGCTATTCCTGTAATTCTCTTCTTCCGACGCTAAGAAAAGGGTTGCGTGTCACCTGCTGATCCTTTGCCTGGCGCAACACTTTTCAAGACGAATCTACTAACTAAAATGTGGTTAAAGAAATCACTCTTTTAAGGAATAATGTTGCGGACCGCCGGGCTGATGATATGGTCAGAAATAGTGCGTCTGCGGCACAGTAGCTTTCTTTACACAGCAGAACGAACTAACTATGCCTCGTGAAGGCAGGTGGTAAAGAGTCAACTTTGAACGCCATGCCTATTGCAAGCTAAGGCGGGCGGGTAAGAGTCAACTTTGACCGTCATGCCCCTTGCAAGCTCGCAACTTTCCTTTCCCTTCTCCCTCCTTTCATTTATATCTAAACTTGCCACCTCAACACACTTCGAATCCCAACATTGCTCTGCAGCTTTCCTTTGCACGGTACCTTTTATAGAGAGTTGACCTGGATACCTTCTCCATTTACAAGATCTCACATAAAAACTGTTTGACATAATGACCTTCACAAGCATCTTTAACCAAGCCACGACGGGTGCGCGCCGTGTCACAACAGGACGTATGCTGAAATCCAGGCTTCACGATGCGCAAGTTAAGGGGAAGTGTACAGCGGAAGCTCGAACCTGATGCCTAACTCATCTCTACACCATTTGGCTTTTTACATTCAGCGACCTCAAAACGATCGTGGGACCAGAATCTGCGTTTGGAATCCTCAGTGCCCTTTCCGGACCTATCCTTACTAGCAATTAGTTTCCAAACACAGTAGAAATCGTCTCCCGTCTTCCAAGCTTTGTTTTCTGGGTCTGGATTAACCTTTTGCCCCTCGTCATCGACAACCAGAGACGCCCAATTTCCATAGAGGGGGATCGGCTTAACAAGCCTTGGCGTCCCATGCCCACAGGTAGAATTAGTGCCATTGTTGCAAAATTTTGAATGCAAGCATTTTACTGTGTGGCAATCATCTACAGCTACTATATGGGGACCATAGCACAATTTACGGGGTTGATGATTCTTGCAGTCCTATAGAATGAGGTCGGCGGCGCAGACAAGAGCTGCGTGGTACGAAATTTGTTAAACGCACTTGGATTCTTGTGCTACGGTTCAGGGGCCACTCTCATTGCTTCCAATACCCCACTCAGCATCAACGGGGTGAAATGGTTTGTTGTCATTGGGAGCGTGGTGTTCACCACGGTGCATCTCCAGGACATGTATGACCAGGTTGGGGATAAAGCACGTGGAAGGAAATCAGTTCCTCTTCTGATTGGAGACTGGCTGGCACTATAGACGATAACGGTTTGTGTGAGAGTCTGGTCATTTCTCTGTCCTGCTTCTTGGCATTTGAGTATCTATGGATACCTTTGCTCCTATCATGCTAGATGGATGTGCTGATTATCAGATGTATTTCGGGACGAGATCGGTTGATGGATGACAAAGTGACTTATCTGCGTATCTGGCATATCTGGGATTGTCATGCTGTATTTGTTACCATTATGCAAGAGGCTTGGATTCTAAAACTATCAGTGAAATCAGTGATGCAATTAGCAGAGGAAGGTACCGACGGTCCTTGTTGCTTTTCGTAGAGCTCATGTTCAGAAATCAATAAAGACACATTGCAAGATTTGAAACATCATTCAACGCCTCTATATTCCTGGAAAACCCCTAGGTGAAAAGACCTAACGCCACATATCCTACATGCTATTCATACATATTGTTTCCAGTGTTTCTCTTATAACTCCGAAACAAGAAAAGAAAAAAGTAGAAGAAAAGGAAAAGAATATAGACCAGCTTCAAAAGAAACAGCTGATAATATGTTGCGCGCAGTAAAATGGTAAAGATATGGAAATGGTAAGTATCTAAGTTACCACGGTACTAAACCAGCAGGTAATAAAGGATATTCGACCCCATCAATGACTTCCACATTCTCATCCACTCGATCAACACCCTCTTGACCCATATCCCATCGTTTCCAATTCGATTTACAATCTCCTGGGACGTATTTTGCTGCATCCATTTTAAGCGTCATCTTGACTTCAGGACAATAATCCCAAATATGCTTCCTCTTTTCAGGCGTTCCCCAAATTCCAGAATGTAGTGTTACTCCACTCCCACCAGTATGATAGCCCATAGGTTCATAAAACCCATCCCTCCAATCATCAACCCCCTTAATCAAACCCCCAGCTTTCGTTCCGTCTTTTCCTTTTCCCTTCTTTTTCTCGGCGGCAACTTGCTCGCCTTTTCCACTATGCATCTCTCCCGAAAATGTAAGTGAGGTTGTCCCATTTGCAAGTTTGGCCCCAGGTCGATGTCCCAGCCGGTCAGTAAGCCATACATCTTCTGCCTCTGAACCATCTACTCGTACTTGGTGGCGGAGGACATCGATAATGGCGCTTACGCGTCTTAAACTCAAACCTCCATTTCCCCCAAATCTCCCATTAGGATTCCATGGTGCTCCCACCCAATCGTAATCCAACCAGTTGTTAAGACTTTGCCTACTATTCGCACAAAGCATGCTATCCGTCTGAAAAACCAGTAACCATTCGGCAGGTTGTAGAACTGTTTCGTAAATCCATAGATTCGTCAGAAATCTGCTAATTTCTTCCTGTGACCCTGTGGTCATGTTAGCGGGAATGTATGTTAGGTCGAGTTTTCCTGATGCAACATGCTGACGAATGGCGCGGCTTGTATTCACATGTGCGACAGATTCGAGACTGCCCATGAAACGGAAACGCCAGTCGGGTGGTACGACGGACATGAAGTGTAGGATGAGGGGTGAGAGAATTGGATTGACGCGGTTTTCGATCAGAAGCGCTACTTTGGAGGCATTAAATTGAGAGGGAGTTGGGGCGCCATAGTCGAGGCTGACCTTTGGGATTTTGGGCAGTGATGGGCGTTCTGGAATTGAGGGTCTGAAAAGTAGAATGGAGAGAATGCTGGAGCAAAAATATTATCTTAGTACTTATGGACGATTGGATTATGAGATGAATATTTACTTACAAAAATAGAAACACACCACCAACAACTCGCATCCGTCTCGTAGTTTTTGACCATGCCGCCACCACAGTCGATGATGTAGTAGCCCATATATCCTCAATAGTCATTCCACCATTTGGCGACGACATGACTGCGATTGGTGGTTGAATTTGCCGCAATGGGCTCAAAGGGTTTGTGGTTTCAATTAAATACCAATTTGGAGGACCGAAAACTGTGCAATTCGATAATACATAGGTCGGTGGCTAGCTGCTGAACCTTCAGAATTAGATGCGATTTCCCCAAAATGTCGTGAGCTTATCACAGCGATAAGGAATTCACTATCAACATGACGCGGTCTAAGTTTTTGAATTGTGGCTGCGGTGTTTAGACCGGACGCACAATGAATGAATGAGAAACTTTTTGACAAGAGCGGAAACCAAAGCAAGCGTTTTTGCTTAGTTGTGTGGGAGGAAAGGGAGCTTACCTAGCTTTTCCGTATACCAAATCCGGCGAACCTCCAAAATCTAGTGTCGGTACTTGAGTAGGACGAGTGAAGTGTGGGATGGAAAAGTAGTGAGTGTCCTAGCTTCCGAGCAAGCATAGACCTAGAAAAGCTGATAAGTGGGCGATCGTCCGGGTATATTATGTGCATATTACCACCAGGTCGGTAAAAAATGCCTGTGGAAAGGTTACAAACACTAGGTACTAGGTATATATTCCAACTTCAACGTTTTCGACCTTTGACTTTCTTCTATCAAACGATGGAGTTGCTCCCAAATTCAAGGTATTGTTATTTTCATGATCTCACACTACTGGAACCTAGCACGTAGCACGCAAGCTGGAAAATCACGAGCAAGGCTCCTCTTCTTTCCTATCGAACCGATCACATCTATCGTATATCCTTTCGAAACTACATTTGTGATAGAGGCTGCCTGTCTCCTGTCTCCCTTCTTCGTGGCTTATTAGCCCCGTCGTGAAAGCAGCTTAGATGTGCAGAGATTAGTCTCTCTGGCACGCAAGGGTAATTTCATCGGGGCATACAAAATTCCGAAACACGGCTGATTTTGAATGCCCCAATTCTCTGCTTGCGGAAAATGTCTGTTTTCGGATACTCTTAACTCCAGCCTCCAATTCCACCATGTCTTATGATATTCCTGGCTTTTCAGTGCAAGGCCAAAGCTAGTTGCCGATATATATCTAATTTAGAAAAAGGACGGTGCAAATGTTAGAGATTTTAATGCGTTAACCCCCTTCCAGAGCATTTCAATATCACTTCGCCTGCATTTGATTGAGAATGCTCATCTAAAATTAAGAGAAAAGTAATTATCTAATGATTTGTAGCGGTCGATTTCATATATATTTTCTTATCTTGCCGAAAGCATCTGAGACCTTATTAACCATTTTCTGATATGCTCTGTCTCATGGCCAAGCCCTTTCTTGCAGGTGCAGCATGTTGGCGTCGATCAATTGAACTTACACTATTTGGTCAGGATTTTGTTCTAGTGGACATATCGTACGCTCAATGCTTCGGTGTACTTCAACAATTCTTTGTATGGAGACATTCCTTGGATCCTGAGCAGATCTTTCGAATACGACGGTAGGATCAGAGGCCATGGCTATTGATGTCCAGCAACGTCAAGCTCGAAACATTGGATTTGGAGCTATTCTTTTTCTCATTATTATCTGGACAGTAAAGCTCTCTAATCCAAACCATAATGCCCTTGAAATCTATTCGAATCACACAAACTTTTTTAACTCGTCACGTCCAACATTTTCCTTTCCGAATCTATTCCTTGGAGAGAAGTTAAATGCGACAGTTGAAACCAAGCCTGTAACGGATGAGTTTGGGGATTACTTCAATGGAACTATTTTCAACAAAGTGGCGGTGATAATTGAGGACAGCTATCGTCCTGAAGTGATACCTCTAGTGCTTCACTTTGGCAGCGTCCTCGGCCCTACTTGGCCAATTCTAATTTATACTTCAATCGAAGAAGTTGGCCGGTTTTCGACATCTGCGGCACTCTCCCGATATCTCACACAAGGCCTCATTCAAATACGTAATCTGCCACAATCAGTTCTATTTACCGACCTCAAAGCCAGAAATAAATTCATGACAGATACATGGCTGTGGGAGAATCTCGCACCAGCAGAGCATATTTTACTCTTCAATAGCGATAGCATGTTGTGTTCCAATGCAGCAACGAGTGTCGATGACTTTTTCGCTTATGACTTGATTGGGACACCGCTTAAGGATAAGGGACATAGAGGGGGCTTGAGTTTACGGAAAAGGAGTAGTATGTTAAGGGTTTTGGATGTTTGGGACTTTGCTGAGGAGGTCAAGAAGCAGGAGGACGAGAAGAAGAAGAAAGAGGAGATTCGGAAGAAAAAAGAGGAAGGACAGAAGAAGAAAGAGGAAGAACAGAGGAAAAAGGAGGAGAAAGCGAAGAAGAAGAAATTGGAGGACGAAAAGAAGAAGCTGGAAAATGAAAGAAAGAAGATGAAGGGAAAGGGTCAAAATGATAGCAAGAAGGTGGGAAGGGGCAAGCAAGATGGCAAGAAGAAGCAAGAGAAGGAAAATGGAAAGAAGAGTGAGAATAGGGAACGGAAAGAGGAGGAACCAGAGGAAGAAATGGCAGAAGATCAGTGGTTTCAAGAAAAGTACGTCCAGGTTTTTTACTTCATGGAAACACACTGACATTATAATTCAGGTTACGCAAGCTACAAGATGACGAAGAGAACCTTGGTATCGATCCAGAAGAGGATGGTGCAATTAATTTACCTGCCGAAGAAGTTGTTCGTACATTCAGTGTTGAATCCATCGATTATCCACACCCATTGGGATTACATCGCGTGCACAAATGGAAGGAAGATCAGATGGATAAATTACTTGATTGGTGTCCCGAATATAGATTGTGTTCTGTACCGCACCATGGAAGGGAATTTCCTACATTTGAAAATGGAGGAGTGGGATGGTAATATGGCATGGCAAGGCACGATTAGTAAATAATGATAATTAGGGGTTCGGTTACTTCATGTGAAAAGGATCTTTATTGTAGATGGCATGGAGTTACCGGTGATTAGATAGATCGACTAGTTATAATTCTTTGTGATTTTCTTCTCAGTTTTGCACTGTTCTATGAATATCGTGATGGCATCCCCTTCTCACCATACTACAGTATCAAGGATTCCAAGAATTCTTCTCGTTGGCGGGAAGCGAAAAGTGTGTAATTAAAGGAGCGTTCACATTCCTCACAATAGCCATCATGTCTTACAACTTTCTTTCCCTCAATTCATGAACCCCCCACAGGAATCTTCCGGAAATGATATCTTTTCCCTTACACATGTTCAAATTAGTATTTTGAAGCATATCTGCTATTATTACCCATTTGGAAAATGGTGGCGCCCTATGTGGACTTATCTATTTGGTTATATATTTTTATCTTGAAAAAGAATAATAAATCTCAAGTGTAGATATAATTAAGTCTTACTTTATATCATAATAATAAAGTTTTGGTAGTAAGAAACTCGAAATATTCACAGAAAAAGATGTACGCAGGGATTTTTGAACGCGGGGGAACAAAACAAGGCTGGTGGGCTTGCAAGGGTAAGGAATTGACACTTGGGCCATACAAGAATCGGATAATAACACGCCTAATAATATTAAATACCCAAAACACGTCCGTCTTAAATCCCCTGGCTCAAAATAATAATAATTCAGCGTCCTATATTCCCCCTCGCACCACATCATATTTCCCCCTCTATCGAATCCCCTTCTCTTGCACATTCCATTCACCTCCTGTGTTAGATTGCAGAGCTGTCATCATGCACATCCATGTAAGGTCGTAGACCGAATTAATTTCATCATTCTAGCCCAATTACAGATTTTCGTTTTTTTGTTGCGTTACGATTCCGGCATTCGAATTGCATTGTACCTCTACATTCATCTATTTTACTCTTTTCGCAGGAATCATCTTTTACATGTTATTCTTCCTGTGAGAAAATCATGTCGTCTTCGAATGCTCACTCTGCTCATCTGGGTAATGGTGTATTGGTCATAAATAAAACTAGAATTCTGTTGTTGATAGCTCTAATAGCAACGTAAGTATTGCGCCCAATCTAGCCTTACCTAGACTCCAGCGACATACTTCAAAATCCCATGAATAAAGTCTAATCACTCAGTATTATTTAGGTGGTGGATAGTGCATTTTTTCCCGCGATATAGACCGGTTGTTGAAGAACACATCAAAGACCGAATATCTTCTGCCGTCGACAAGATTCCCGCTATCAAAGTAGACTGGTATACAAATCAAGACCCACGCGAACAGTTCAATGCCTCCAAAGTTGCACTTCTCATCGAAGGCAGACCTCTTCCTCACTTGGTCCCACAAATTCTGCATATGATTTCTGTTGTGCCGCCGGATTGGCGCTTTGTGTTTATCGGCACAAATAAGAGCGTCACAGCTGTTTCTCGCAGTTTCGCTACACAATATCATAAGGCTAATGGCAAGTTGGATTTGATGGTTCTTCCGAAACCCTGGAAGGTGGATAGTAAGGAGGATGTATTCAGGGTTCTTACGGATATTCGATTCTATGAGGAATTCTTGCCCGAGGTCGAATGGTTGCTTAAATTTGAGTCGGATAGTATTATGTGTGGGAATTCGGAAGAAAGTTTGAATGATTGGTTAGATTATGATTGGGCTGGTGCTCCTAGGTAAGAGATACTTTTGGGCTCAAACGTACTGTTATTCAAGACACAAACTAACATATACTCATATAGAATTGCGAATGATCATTTTGCAGGAAATGGCGGTCTTTCATTCCGAAGGATTTCAACAGTGAGAAAAATACTTGGGTTTCAATCCAGGATTAATGATACGGCCCCCGAAGATGAGTGGTTCGGGAAACGAATCACGTTATTACCAGGAGCACGAGTTGCTAGTGGTGAAAAAGAAGATCATTTTTCGGTCGAAGATAGATATCATGATCGTCCTATGGGATATCATGTACGAGATGGAGGAGAGGTACTTCCGGAAGATGTGTGGAAGGATCCAGATCATAGGAAGAAGATTTTTGAATATTGTCCTGAATTGTCGATGATAATGCCAATGAAGTTGGAGAGGGAAAGGTGTGAAGGGGATAATAAGAAGGGAGAAATTATTAAAAACAAGAAAGAAGGCGAATGAAACTGAACGGCAAAAGGTGAAAATCTAGGGTTACAGTGTATTGGGATATTAGATTTGTATGTTATATTAGCGGGGGTGTATCATGGGTATATGAATGGCAGGAAAACATGGATGGTATTATATCTCCAGGGAAGTATGTGGATCGGCGTCTGGAAATATTGGATTGGGTTATTTTAAAGGGCGTACTCGTGAATTGTATATCATAGATACCTTCTCGCTTGCTCAATCAAATCAGTTTATTCAAAGGCTCCAGAGCTACCCGGTTCACATGCATCTCCATGAAATGATTCATGATAGATAGTATTTTGATATATCGTTGCTCCAAGTGGAAGATTTTGCAAAATGTACATGATACTTGGAAAGTAGCCCATTATATTATCGAACATTCATTCCCTAGATTTTGGCTTCGGTTCCTAATCTGCAGTAGGTAGGTAGCTGGGTAAGTAGAATTCATCAATCTTGTCATTTAAGGTTCTAGCGAAATGGATATCGGAACCTGGATCATCGTCCTGTTTTGGATATCAAGGTTAAAGTATCTAGGTATGCGTTGGTATGATATGATTTGGTAAAATTTTCCAAGTCAGTTTCTTTGTATACATATTTGGAGTATCTACTCAGAAAGTATCTGGAAAATTTTGCTTTTTTTCTTCCTGATTTTCGAGAGCATGAAGGTATCTATCTATAAGTCGCGAAGAAATACTCAGGAACCTCAAGACAAGATTCAATAGCGATCAACACTATCTCAACTCAAACATTGGATCGTAGTATTCTAGATCATGTTCTTGGTTTTCTAATTTGTAAGGTTATTTGTGGTTATGTGGTTATGTGTTTATGAATGAATCCTGAAGGCTGGACGAGAGAGAGTTTTTGATAGTTCTTATTATTTCGTGTTTGTTTTGGATTTGTTAATGTAGGTATTTTAAGTCTATTAGGGGTTTCAAATGAAAGCTTATGGGAGTTAGGAGGGGCTTTCTGGTAAATGGTTTTTTTGTGTAGGGTGGGGGGGATGATGAGATGATAATGCGACTTTGTAGTTTGATGCTGGGATTTTTCTGGTAAGGTCTTATCTGGATATTTTGTCGAAAATTCGAATCATAAGTGATCCGGTGCAGATATGTTACGGGGAGTTGAGAGTTTTGAGGATTTTATTTAGTAATTAGTATTATCTTGGACTCTTGATGAAATGTCAGATTTAGAGAAGTAGAGAGGAGAGAAGAGAAAAGAAAAGAAAAAGGGGGAGATAAGTTATGAAGTCATTTGTAAGGTTATGTAAAATCTATATGAGATTACTAGAGTACGAAGTAAGTTGACTCGAATATAAATCTTTCTTGCAGCAGTATAGTTGTGTGTTTAAATTTCCTGGTGGGGGTGTATATATAACCTGGTGTATGAATGTTGATGGGATGTGTGGTTTTTTATTGTCTAATTTTTCTCTATGGTAAATTTAAGAGTCGATAATTATCACTTTAGATAGTTATTGGGAAGTTGGGATACTGTTATGTAGAACTGCTGCATAATTTCATGTCCTTCCTTTTCCATTAGAAGGAAGTCATCGAGTTAGTTGAGCAGAAGAAGAAAAGAAAATTGATCAAACATGAAGAGAAAGATTTTCAAAATTAAACTAGTGATTTGTATATAGTTTTCTGGGAGTAGTTGGAAATAGTGAGTTATAGCTGATCTCTCTAGATGGCTAGAAGTTGTGTAAGTCTTTGAAAAAGACATTAGTCAACAGATTATATAACTTCGGGGCATATTTGACGATAATAAAACCGATAGTTTATTTCCTCTAAACGTGACTTGCGATTACCCTCTAATATATATCCACCATCTCTAAGACAAACTAATATCACTCTACACATATCTTCTCTTCTTCTTCTATAATCTCTTCTCATTCTTCTCCTCTATCTATATATCTATCCATCCATATCAAAAATCCAACCTCTCACAATCAGCCCAAAAATAACTACTCACCCAACCTTTCTTCCCCTCAAGTGCTCTCATAACCCCCTCACTCCCACTATTCCCCTCCTTAACATCCGCATGCACCCACCCACTCTCCCCAGTAAACCCCAGATCTCGAAATTCTCCACATCCAAGCCGATACACTAGTAAGCGCGCAATATAGCTTGCGAGCCCTTGGCCTCGGTATGGGGGCTGTACATAGAGAGTTGCGACTTTGGGGTGTTAGTCTTTTGCTTAAAAATACGAATGGGTGGAGATAGAGAGAGATGGGAAGGGGGAAGGAATTTGATTGGGGAGTATGGGGGATAGAGGATGTACTCACATGTACCATCAATACCTATAAAAGCCCACGCAATCATTTCTCCCTCAGTAGTCAAGAGACAAAGCGAAGGCTGCGCAAGTAGTGTGCTAGGTTCTCGGGGGATGGAGGAGGTAGAGACCACGAGGTGGATGTGTTTGGGTGGAACACGGGATATGGTGAAAGGGAGTTGTAAATCGTGGGATGAAGGGATAGAGGACAGGGTTGTAGGAATTAGATAGAGATTCCAGCGGGTATGGTGGACGATGATTGAGGAAGATGTTGATTGCGATTGGCATTGAGATTGAAGGAGAGTGCCTAAAGTATCCGTGATAATTTCGTGTAAACACGCGAATTTAAGAATAGGATGGAAAGGATGTCCAGGAGCTTCTGGGATAATAGTTTCCTTTAGGAATTTTAAAAGCCCTTTGAGATGGATAGTTAAGAGAGAAGTATATTCTTGAGAAAGAGGCTGCGGAGAAGACAGCGTAATCAGCGGATTAAAAACCCAAATCTGAGATTCCGTCTTGCGAGATCGATCAGAAAATACAATAGTGTATATTTCAGGAACTTGACCATAGGGAGGAAATGTAGCAGCGAAGAGACAATATTGAGAAGGTGTATTCTGGGGAGCGAGCATTCGGCTGTAGATGGGATTGCTATATGGTAGATGTCGCTGCAGAATTGGGATTAAAGTTTCGGAAATAGTTTTTTGGGGATGGATGTAGAATTGGATCTCATCGGTTCGTGAACAGGATGTCGGTGACTCGAGTGTGATGTCCATATTTTCGTTATGCTCGATGCTGCTAAGGGGAGAGTTATGAGATTTCTCTGCTTTGTCTCCCTTCTTGTCCGAGGCGATGATCAGTTCTCAATATCTAAAGCTTTGAGACTCAATATTTATCTACTGAAAATCAGCCTCCAAAATTCATGAAAAAGTAAAAGCTTATGATGTATTACCACTATCATATAGGGCACGAGGTGATAGACAATTCAGAGCAAAGTAAGGATGATTGAGCGCAACACCCACCAACCATGAGACAAAAATTGTGACAACTGGAAGAACCTAACTTATAAAAATGAAATATAATCCAGCTCACAACACATTCGTGAGTCATCAAATTTGAAATCTAGTTCTGTATTGAGTCATCGTTAGTGATTCACCTTCCAACAAGAACGCGGGGTTGATACTAGAACCGCCTATTTATCAAATGGAAATCCGGAACCATATTTCATCTACAACAACTGTATCACAAATTACTGGACAATGTAAATGATTTCATAGATTTTAGGTGTAATTCAGAATATAGATTTCTAGCTCTTCGCTAAACTCAGATAGATTGTGGATATATGCAAGACATTCAAATACTCTGCATCATCAGAATCATTAACGTCTCATAGATCATGCATGTCATGAAATGTCATGACCTTTCCCTATTCACCCTTAACTAATTCCTGAATGCTCAACATATCCTCAAATAAAATCACGCTGCCACCTCCCGATTAATTAACAGCACCTGCGTCTTCCAAGACCCTCACATAAGGCGCGGGAAACAATCCCTTTGCGCCCATATAGCATCCCCAAAACCAATCTCCATTAACATCCTTACACTCCCTTACTTCGGCCCCTTTTGGAAACATTAATTCATCACTCGCCCCGTCCGCAGGCCACCAACTCCAAATCGCCAAACTCGACATCCCGATTCCACCGTCAGGCGGGAATGATTGCTCAATTGTTAAACCTGGGACTGATGTTGGTGCAGTTTTAGATGGATCGGTCGTGACGAGTTTAAAAAAAGTATCATTATCTTGTCCCCAACTCCATTTCTGTAGTTCGGGCGCCGTAAAATCAGTTGAGGGGTAAAGCATGGGATCAGTGTCAAGGCTATGACCACCAACGAGATCTTGGACCATAACTCTACGCTGACCACCACGATCATCTTCGAATCCTACGATTACCATACGGTGACCCTGTAAGCAACGTCGCCACCCATTATGGCCATTTTCGATGCTGATTCGACGAGATGTGACTAGCTTTGGGTAGCAGGTCGAGCATATATCATAGTCGCCAGGCTGAGTGCCTGGAACGGCACTGGTGCAATAGTAGCAATGGTAACGTGTGGAAGAAGGTTGAATCGGATAGCGGCAAATATCGCAATTGGTAGAGAAAGTGAGAGGTTTGAAATTGCCCACATCACTGACACCAGGTCCTTTTAGAATAGTTGCTGATTGTGGAAGCTGTTGTCCGTGCATCGGAGACAAGGGAGGTGTGTATGACTCCGATGGTTTGTATGTCAAAGGTAGAAGGGAATGCGTACATGACCTTCCTTGGTTGACGCACAGATTGCAAAATCCCCAATCACCATGATTGCAAATATCGCAGCGCCAATAACATTCATTTGTCCAAGCCTGGCAACTTGCACAGAATGCACCACTTTGAAGACGCTTTTGAGGATCTTCTGTAGTGAGGGTTTTGCGACCATCCGCTCCACCAGCCGTCATCTTGGGTGCTAGATAACGATTTGCTGTGAGCATGTGTGGCCTTTCTGCACCTTGTGGTATCTTCCCGGCTTGCATTTGATTTTCCCAGTTTGCCCACGCAGAGTAGCCAAATCCAAACCAGTGTAGACACCCCGCTCCGGAACGGTAGCATGATAGACAGATATTATAATTGCCACGCAAGCAAGCTGAGCAGTTATAGTGCAGCTCATATTCTATGTGAGTTTTCTGACATCTTCTACATGCTATTGATGGTTCAGGGTAGAGCGCTGTTCGTGGCTTAGATCCAACAGAATGAGAAGAGCTTGGCCTGCTACCACTTGACAAAGCAGCGGCTTTATCGAAAAGTGGTAGATGAGTGGGGGTATGTGGTGAAAGCGGTGCAGGGACTAATGACTCATCCATGTATGGAACGAATGCAGGAACAGCAGAGGCTACGAAGATGTCTGCTGGGGCATGAACACGGGTGCTTAATGGAGCAGGCATCTCAGCCATGTCGTCCAAATGAGATCTTTCTGCCAAACTGTTGCCTGATGTTCTTGGTGTTGAATTTGAGGAAGATGCAACAAAGTTACTGTTAGATGGTCGTGTGGTGGAACCTGTTTGTGGTTGCTGTTCTCTAACTGTAGATGATTCACTCATTCGTCGTACATTGGAGTCAGTGCTTCTCCTCGCATGGGCCCTGAAAGGTTGGTTTGTTTGCATGGAAGAGGTCCGAGGCAAAACGCTCAAATCGGCCTGAGAAAGAGCGGCAGTTCTCGTTTCGGGTGCAAATACGGGTACAGGTGTTGTTGAACTTCGTGGCGCGCTTAAAGTCCTCTGTCTTCTACGTCCTCCAGATATTGGGCCGACCTCTAGGAGATTTGCATGTACTGCGCTTATGGATGGCGGTGGTCTGCTTTGTTCATTACTAAAACTACCTGCCCTTGGTGAAGAGGAATGGTTTCTACGTCGACTTGTAGTTATGGGAGCATCGTCACCAGACGTTTCTCTTCCAGAATCCGTGGGTGATATTAGAGGGGATCGTCTTTGTCTGTCCGTTGTATCACTCTCGCTCCTTCTAGATGATTCAATCCTAGATCTCTCTTGTTGCCGCCGTCTAAATGCTTCCGCTATTCTCTCGCTAATCTGATCCTCCTGGTTAACATCGATATTCTCAAGGTCAATACCATCCAGTAAACCTTCCTCTCTAATTTGTCGTAGAATCTCTTCTTCCATTTCCCTAGAATCAATATCAGAAGAACTGATAAGTGACCGTAAAGATGATTGATGTTCTATCTGTCGCGCTGCAGACCGGCTTGTTTCTTCATGCCTTCTTATTGATTCAGCCTCGCTGTACCCCCTTCTTCGGCCTTCGGAGTCGCTGTGGTCGGGTTCCGCCCTCATTACAGAGGTTCCTTGTCTGGCTCTTCTCCTTTCATAATGCTCGTCTCTTCGCCTTCGTCGATCCGTATCATCTGTATTCCTGTTATCCCTACTATTTTCACGACTTGAATGGCGTCTCGAACCATGCGACCTTTCGGCATCTCGCTCCCGCCGCCTTCTTTCCCTCCTTGCCTCGGAACTTTCCACTCCCACTCCCACTCCCACTTCTCTCAAACTCAAATCTCTTACTTCCTCCATCAGTCTTCTATCCTCGTCCTCTAATCTTCTTTCTCTTGAGCTCTTTTCCTTTTGCTCCCATTTTGGTAACACTTCATCCCCAACCTTGTACTTCGTAGCAATTTCCTCCTTCTCTTCCGCCGTCCTGGCCTTCTCTGGACTCCGCGCCAAGAACATCTCCAGCAAAGTCGCTATAGTAGAGCTGTGCTTCGTATCTCGAACTGGTGCGCGACATGATGGGCATGTATATGGTGTACCGCCGGGCGGAATAGGCGTTTGGGCATTTTGTACGGAGACAAGCTGCCATGAAAACCATTCCTTAAGACAAGAGCCGCAAAAAGTATGCAGACAATCCAGTAGCGTTAATGGTTGATATAAAACCTCTGTGCAAATCTGTGACCAAGTTAGAATTACTACCTATTCCTCATGATGCGGCTGCGGATTCAAGCCCAGCCCTATACAGTTTGCGGGGTAAGACTTTCTAGTTTTAGGATGCGGAAACATTAATTCTCAACTTACTGAACAAGTCAACTCTTTCTCAAGGTCAAGACCTCGATTCTCGGAAGCAGACTCCATGATTCTTCGAAAGGAGATATAAAGATTCCGAATGTAAGTGGACTTGCAAAGAATGGGTCATGATTGCGCTGGGCAATGAAGAAATAATAGATTGCTCTGTGGCGCGATACGATACGATGTTTGGGTTGACAGCACGGGATCTGCACGGCTGACAGGCAAAAAAGTTGAATTGTCTTAAATGTACGAGTAATATTTAAACTCCTTTTTACTTCCATGATTTTTTTAGGGAAGCATGATTTCCACAAGAAATATGCGCTTTTTTACAGCTTGATAGGAGTGTTGTTTGATTTTGGTCTTCCGGTGCTGTTTGTCATAGGTTAAACCTTACGCATTTACAAACGGCATGTTTTCAGTTCTGGTCCCTTCAAACCAACACCAAACTGACCGTGAATATCATTTGCACCACCAGTTTCACCTATTGGGCATCTATGACAGCTCGTTATGTTGGGTTAGAATGAGATAGGAATATAAGACGCTTACACTTTGCACAATAACCTTATCAAGCTTCGAAACTTGAATGATCTCTCCTTGGACGAACTATCGATGATGGTCTTGTCGCATTCATACTTGGTCAGAATAATAAGATAATCTGGGTTTTTCTTTTGGAACGATGTGGTTCTTATTCGGAGAGCAAATGAAGATCTCTTCGAGTAATAGTTCCCATCTGTCATGTGCAACTCGATTTGCCAAAAAGATATCCTGCTGCAGCAAGGCTGTGTACGACTGGAAGCTCAGCTGTCCTGTGTGACGGACGTGTAGATATCGGGAGTCTTCCCCTCAAGTTTTGGAAGACTACTGTATTCTTCTAGTCACTTTCTCTCTGACAAAAAAGGTAGAGCACAATGTTGCCAACTGTATCGCTCCAAGCCCTTCCAACCCAGCAAAGCAATACTAGTAGTTCATCAATTGCATCAAGGTCTCAGGCAGTTCCCCAAACACCACCCTCACATTTGAGTGGCCAAGCCCAGGTTCAATTGCAAGTTGCGGTAGGACATCAAAACCCACAAAGCCAGCAACATGCTGCATTTAGCAATCAAATCAATCAAGCTGGCCATTTTACTAGCAACAACAACAGCACACTTTTTTCCCAATCGTCGAGTATAAGTCTCCTGAAACGATTCGTCAAGAATTTCACAACCTGGGATAAAGGAACAATCATTGCTGGAGTCGCGATTGTAGTCAGTACTATTATATCATACTTCGCTTTAAAGTTAGCAATTTGGACGGCAACTAAAGATTATATCGAATATTGTCAAGGAGAAGAGGTACGTTTTTTCGGGCCCGTGAATAAGTTTTACTGCTGCTTTCGATCACTGACTTGAGTTAAATTGAAAGCCAATTCAGGAAACGAGCGTTCAATGTCGAAAAGCAGCCGCCCAAAGTCTGCCCCCGCCTCCTTTCTATCAATATACCGGTACTGTCCTCCGTCGGACATGGACCGGGAGAATAATTGGAGCTACCGAGTCAAAAACGCAAAATGATTATTATATTTGGGGATATGCTCTCATAGCATATACAATGTTTAATTTTGCATGGACTTTCTGGTCTTCAAGACGCTTGGAATCCTCAAGAGCTTCGGGGTTGCCTAGTGAAGATGACATGGAACAACAGCTCCAACAGTTCCAACAGCTTGATGGATATATCACAGATCCTGATGTTGCTTGCACTATCGAATTTTCAAACCCTTTGAGACCCTCATCCATAGAAGATTCGGATTTCCTGGTACCAATTGACATGGTACAACAGCCGCAACAGCTCGGTAGTCTCAGTACCGATCCATGGCCTATGAACTTAGCTGGAGAAGATAGATTCGCTGTTGCTTCTGAAGGGAGTCTAAGCTTTGGATCAGGCACGGCTAGTGGCATGAATCAAGACAATGCCCGGCCGGGCAAGCTGCGTCAAAGGATGGGAAAGAAAGCGATTGAAAAATTGAGAAGTGGCGTAACAGAAGGCTAATGCTTGAGCAGCAAGAGCGGGATGCTTAAACAAGGCAGTTGAAAACTGAAAACTTGGCAACCCCTGGAAATGAACAGTAGTAGAATGGTAGTTTTCCTTTCCATCATAAGGTCTGTATTTTGGGGTCGGCGTATATGGATTTTGTATAGCAGCAGAATGACAAGGATAATGACGCTTAAGACGATTCTGGACTATTCAATGATAACCAAGAGCCCTGGGGACGCATAGCTTTTTCATTGTATAGCTGGTGCATTGTATTTATGACAATGCCAAGGTATGATCAATGACTGCATTCCAATCCTAATGACTTTGTATCTAAATGTAGCAAATGCAGCTAGTTTAATGCAAGTCAAACTTGGCTATCAAACTGAGCTCGGTGAAATCGATTGGCACTATTGAGTTATTACTTGGCATCACAATGTGCCTAGGCAATCATTTATACTCGGACAAAACATACAAACTATTCATTCTTTGGGCCCAACTGGGGTTACAATAAATTTCGTGACTCATTGCATTTTCTATATGGATGAATAAATTTCCAACCTACATCAACTCTCGAGCTGCGTCTTCTCAGTCTTCTGAAGAAGTCGACAAGAAGCAAAGAATAGAGATTAATAAAGTACGAGCGGTCACTAAGTAGAATGATTGTGAATCCCTTCCATGAAATAAAATTCACTTGGCGTGTTGTTTTCGTCTTTTCATTGCAATAATACTTCCATATTCACAGAGACTCAAAAGACCGTTCTATGACTCAGCGCCAATTTTATTCATCTCAAAGTATTATTTGATGGTTCACGAAATATTTATGAATCTCCCGATGAGTCGACAACGACGAACTTTGAATTTCTCAGATTTTACATCGTGAATACCAGTAAAACCAATGGTTTTACCGGCGTCAAAGAGCATTCACACTCAAGTCACCCGCCCAGACCCTCCCTCCCTCTTCTCGTGAATCATGTATACACAACATAACCCAGCTATATAAACCTCCATATCTCAGCCAGTTTGTTTATTTTTCCAGCATTGAACAATATCAACAATACATACCATACTGAAAGAAAAACTTTAAGAAACATCACAATGACCACCTACGAAGCCGTACCCAATACAGATGGCCAAATACTGATCCCCGTCGGCAAGAAGCTAGCTGTTGCTCCTCAACATAAATTCCCACGTACTTTACCACCACCACGACGACCACCAGCTAGTGGCGTACCTGCCTCGAAATACAGGGTTCAAGCACGACCACAATCACCACCGACTCATAGTCCTGTCAGAAGATCTGCTATTAGATCTGCTAGTCAACAAGAAGCTTCACGACCTCAGCAGAGCCAAGCCTCAAAAAATAACTTGAGAAAGAGACTCGAACTCCGACAGGCAGCTTCTTCACAATGGACAGCAGTTAATTCTTCAACCGGCGATGCACAGGCTACAAACTCTGACCCCTTGAACCATAGATTTAAAGGTAGCATACCAGAGCCTGTGATTACAAAGGATGAAATCCCGATAAAGACAAACGACCAAGTGAATGCTGATAGAATGAATCTTTCATATATCATGAAAAACCAACTCGATGTCCATACCCTTCGGCCTATTCGAGGAGGAAAAGAGAAGAATGTCATAGACGTAATTGTGTCCCTGGAGAGCGATGAGGATAACTATGAGGACGAAGATAAGGATGAAGAAATGCCACTGGTACACAGGAATGATGTACATACTCGATATCCTTCTTTTCCTACCCATAATCGTCTAAATACTCAAAGTTATCCCAATGCCAAGTATCTTCTAAATAATCCAGACATCACTGCTTCTCTACAGGAATCTGTGCTCAATAGCCCCATGGAATTTGAGGATATTGAACGAGGTAGAAACCTTGAATTTGATGAGAGCGCAGGGGTGGCAAAAATCGCACCGTCTAGGGCCGACTGCAGACTCCCGCACATTTCGACCATTGGCGCAACTCATTCCCAAAGTCACCTCAATATGAAAGCTCCCTCACCATCCACATCACCCCATATCAATCAAAGTAGTACAAACACATCCAAGCTAAACACCCTCGGACATGCGGCTATAACTACACTCGCCTGTCTTAAAAGCACTTTGGATTCGGACAATTTGAACTCCAGCACTACTTATAGCTCAAGTTTATCTCCAAATAAATCATGGCCAAGTAAAGAAAACCTTCAAACTTCCAACCTGAAACGACCATCAACCTTTATTTCCACGCCTATACGAAAGTCCAACCAACTTCCAGAATCCATATCACGAGCCTCACTGCCGTCGACCGGACTTGAACCAGCGACTAAAAGATTACGAATAAGCTCTCTTTTAAATCCCGCATCTTCTCATGTTAGCCCTGCTTCGGCGACTCCCCAGAACCAAATAACCAACATCATTCATACCAAAACCCCTATTCATCGTCCGAATAAGCTTGCCAACGATTCCGGCAACGACAAGTTAATAACCCCTCCATCTTCCTCCACCTATCCATCTCCGCCTATATCACCTTCATATGTTCTACCACAACCACCACTATCCTCAACTCCATCCATAAACCCACAATCCCAATTTCACCTCCTCTTCTTCAACAACGAAGCTTACTCACCTCTTCCCCCAGCATCCCCACTATCCCTATCTCTCCCCCGTTCATCCTCCGCACCACTTATACCCACATCCACATCCACATCCCAATCCTATTCTCCATCCCCACCACCACCCTCACCCACTCATCGGCACTCCACCACTCACAAAAACCTCACCTACCGCGCATGGAAACTGCGGCCCTCAAGCTCTCACTCAACACTTACCAACCCCTCTCCATCACACACCCCACAATATCTAATCCTGATCCGGCAGGACGACCACTCAAAAACCCCACACACTCATAATTCCAATTCCTCAAATACTGATACAGCTGAGAATATGGGAAAATGGTGGACTATACTCAATGGAAGAGAGGAGATGGAGGAAATCAGGAAGATATTCGAATGAAGAGGTAATGAGCTATGCGGTTCGTGTATAGCGGGCTTGAATATGATGAAGAGATCATTAGCATTAGAGTACCAATGGAATTTGGGGCTTGAACTCGGAGATCGGTGGGTTTATCTGCATATATTAGGGAATGAGTGGAGTTGCTTGCTGCGTGTAGTAATGCGACCGCATGGATTCACCGCGTATTGCATGGAATTAGTTTAGTATAACTGGACATAATACTAATATTAATTTTCTCATTTATTAATGCAGTATCTCGTACCCTTAGCACATAAAGTGGGTGAAGAGCAATGATACTCAAGTGACCAGCACCAGTTCTAGCCATAACCACAGGTATAAAAGTTATAAGTTTTAATAAAACAGGCATTGATGCTGTATCCCGCTCCATCCACCCAAAGATGAACTGTAAGTGAAAATAGCTAGGCATCAAAACCATACCAATTGTTAACTTCAACCACGACCAAAGCCCCAATAATAGGTATAGAGCTATCATGTGAATCAAAAACTATCCGATCATCCTGGGCTCAAACTTTCCAGAGCCATACAACTACTTCCTTACTCATGCCATCCCGCTATTTCGATACTCTCATCACCGTTGTAATCATACCCCAGTCCTATTTTTCGACCCTGTAGCTTTACAACAACGGATAGCACAGGTATCACCACAAGAAACCCCAAGTGGAAATCCGTTATGGCAAGTTCTTAAGATCTTGGTGAGAAACAGATTAGCAAGCAATAACCAAACAACAAATAGATAGTACAGTGCAAGCTTCAGTCTTACCAAACATCCCTACGTTGTTGAAACTGTTTTCCTTCGAGCGCCCATTTGGCGCATAGTTTTAGCCTCCCTCTGATGCTTGTTTCTTTCAACATCTTACATTTCTCGGCGTCTGAGATATCAAGCGCAGTCGTAAGCCACCAAGGAAACTTCACTGGGTCCCATAAATATTTTGAATCCCGCGGAATAGGCCCATACCGCACCCGATTTCTCTTCAGATCTTCCTCTGTCGAATCCCTCTCCATCGCTAAGTAAAAATTTATAGATACTTTGAAGATGTTCGCGGTAGACATCGTATCAAGATCTTGGACGGTCAAATTATCTGGGATCTGGTTGTCGAGAAAGTCATCTTCGTTCAGATGCGTGGTAATAATCGCCGGAGGGGGAACAGTTTCACGAATTTCAAGGGCTTCCTCTGCGGCAACACCAATATCATACAGCCATTCAACCTTGCCAATTGGATAAAGTTGGTACATTTCATGCTGCACAACCCTAAAACGAGAAACTCCTTCGACGATAATATCGTAACTACCATCATTCCTGGGCATCATAAGGATCAAGTGCACAAGTGTTCCATATTCACGAAACGGAACAGAGCTCAGATTCCCTTGAGGAATTCCACCTGTGTTGGGGAAGACCATGCCAAATAGTTGCTTTTCGCGTTGGAAGGGTAGGAGATTCTCGAGCATTAGCTTATAGCCGGGCTGCCATATGTGAAGTTTCCTCACCTGTGTCGGAAAACAGACAGTACCAATGAAAAACGAGAGATCCGTCCCTTTCGTACCGATTCTGGTCTTATCTTCCGCCTCTTCGCGTCTAATAGCCAATTCTTCCGGGAAGAACCTGTTCAGTAGCTTGTCTAATAATTTGTTCGTCGGTGCCACGTCAGGTGTGCAAGCTGGAGGAACATATAAGATTTGGCGGCATGACGGACAACCTTTCTTTTTGTCTACAACACTTGTGCCATGTATTACATTTTCAAGGTCTAGGAGTTCTTGAAGACATGTGCGGCATGTGCTATGACCGCAGCCTGCTGTGACTGGGTCCAAGAACCAATCTTGGCAAAGTTGACAATTACTAAATGCCGGTTTTATCGACCTTTTCAGGCGAGCCAGTAGATCTGCATCTAGTGATCTACATGTCTCCATCGAATATGAGTATGGCTTGTAAAATGCATCAGAATTGTATGGCAGCTTCCCCATCTTTGCCATGAGATAGGTCGCAGTGATTTTTCCCCCTAAACATGTGCTTCTATTCTCCCTCTGTAAAGACGTCAGAACTTGATTCGCCAGGGGATCAAATTCGTTTAACTTTAATAGCATCCAAGCCAGTTTTGGCACATTCGTATGTCTTGTAGTTTCGGTGTCGAACGCATTGATAACGATTTTCAGATCGGGGTTTGGCGAGGTGTCCCCTCCCGTATGTTCTTCTCTGCAGGTCGGCAAAGGACAGGTGAATCTCCAATCGCGACTTGAATTCACGAACGATAACCTTAAAGTCGTCGATAGTCTCCATAATGATTCTCTTGGTATGCATGTCTTGCATATAGTATTTCCACATGGTAAAGTTACTGGTTCGAGCAATATTTTAGAGCATAGCGGGCACTGCACCAACCTCACGATTTCTCTCCCATCCCAGCCAGTGAATGGATGTAGAGGAGCAATGTGAGGAGATACCTCTTTATGACCGTTGCTTAAGTTTGAGGTTTCTAAAGAGGTTTCTGAAGGGATGTAGTTGAGTAATGTGAGGAGACATCTCGTCATGACCACTGATTTTATTTGTTGCTTTTCAGAAGGTTGTAGAACAGGTTTGTGTCAGGGTATGCTGTGAGAACAAAAGCTGAATGTTTGAAGCTGCAATTGAGATGAGATGAGATGAGATGAACGAACTAAAATGGAATAAGTCGTATGTACTCTGCATGAAACAAACCTCGAGCCTCCCGATTAAATATGTCGAAACTTAAAAATCGAGGAAAGAGTACATATCTAACTCCTCTATATTAAATAAGGAAAGCTCATGGAACTTTGAATATAAATTCACGTTGTCGCCGGTCTTTCCGGGTATAGAGTTCTTGCAAATTCATCGACAAGAAAGCAGTCACGCCAATGTCGCTTCCTTACTTTGGAAGAACGATTTAACGTGAGAAGTGCAAGCTATTGGCCAAATTTCCAGAAAGAATAGTAGTAAGGTAAAGATCTAGTCGCTTGCTATATATTGCAAGGAGTGACGATACTGACAACCTCCAAAAAAAACTTCCTATATGAATTCCAATGATAATTAAACCAAGGAACGCACATCAATGTAAGATTACAAATACTGTGCCACCAAAAAGTCATAATATCTCCAAATATATATTTTACTGAACCCACTCAGGCCCGTTGCATATCTGACTTCCCCTCAACCAATATCTAGCGGGTGGGTCTTCTATGCTTGGAAGTGCTCTCTTATAATCTCTCAAACATCTTTTAGATGCAATCGTGGGATTCAGTACTATAACAAGGCAAGAGTAGAAACACCGTGCTCCATTTACCACCTCTTCATCCCACCCGTTTACCTCCCTTCAGGTCTTTTGTTGCATATCTCATGTAACATTTTGAAAAGCAAGGTGAGAAGTCTTGGACATTCAGTACCTACTTATCATCACAAAGTAACGGTACACGCACAAACCTCATTTTATCTCGTTGACTTCCCACTCAAAACTTTCCGAAGGACTTTTTCTCCGATAATTTCACTCTTGGACTACCATCTTATGTGTGGCATTCCGAAGCATCACTCACGATTTTCTCTTCGGTATGATAATATAGACCATCCCGTCTCTGTTTGGATTCATGGTACTCAATAGCCATGCTTTACCATGCTCTGCTATGGTATATGGTATATCTTCGCGAGATATGAAAGGGGTATTATACAGTACAAATACAAGTACAGTTTCCAATGACGTTAATTCCGCCACATCTATTTCCTGGAGATGGTGCATGACCATTTAATCTCATACCACCCACGCATGCTGATGTCAGGTGTAAATGACCCACGTGGTTCCTTTTCACAATGTCATGTTTCCACTTCCGCCACGGGAACGGCGGGAATACTCGATTGCTCATCTTTTTTCTCATGTTCCATATCCGCATCCTCATTTCCCAGGGGTAGTACTTTTGCGTTCTCGTTTCCTTCGCCAACTTTCGGATCTCCATTCTCTAGAGCATCCTCATCACAAGGGGTAATAAGATCATCCGGTTTAACATCATCCTTGAAAACTTCGTCGATGCTATCCGATTTCTCGATTTTGTCAAAAGTAGCAAGTTTGCTAGCACTAGCGATTCGTAGTGCTCTCCAACATTTACTCGCTTTTGCTTCTATAGCCACGTTTTTTGATTCCTCATCCCGAGCCATATCGATATCCATATCATCCAGGTCGATTTTATTTCTGAAACTCTTGATAGAGGGAACTTGATACCTTTCTGATTTCTTCAGCCTCTCTAAGCCACTTTGTACGTCGGTTTCCGCGAGGAATTTGAGGTCCAGCGACCCCAAAGGATTGGGGCGTAATCGTTTATTAGTTGTAGCTTTGCGAGCTGATGCTTTAGCATCAATATAATCCTGGGGCGAAACGGCTGGCCTAGCAATAGAAGGGCAGTTTTCAACCTTCCAACGAACCCAATTCTTGTCTCTCGAAAGAACCGTCTCTACCATGCGATAGAAGAATGCGCCATCTGCACCTTTCTTCAAATATTCTGCAATGATCTTTTTAGTCTCTAACGACCATTTTGTCTATGAAATGTCAGCTGGTACTCAGAGGAATAGTTTATTTGGGCAAAAAGGTCACTTACATCTTCCTCACTAAGTGTCTGGTCGGCATATGTGACCGATCTGTTAATATTCTCTGGCAAAGCTTTTGAAAGCTTCTCTTTCGCTTTGGTGCTTAATGAAAGAAGGAAATCCATGATTATTAAGATTTGTACTAGTATATGCCTTCTAAATGATAAGTCGCTAATCTAAAGATTCAGGTTAATTTTAGAATATTCTCGTAAGGGTTGGGAGATGGTATACCTCTAATTCAAACAAGTCCCTGCTTGTGAGATACTTCGGGTTGAAAGAGTTTGCTAGGTCATCGTCTCCTTGACTGCGCTTTCTTTTCGTCCCTCTCTTATTATCCTCTGCCGCTCTCGCTGCCGGGCGCCCTACAGTTTCATGCTGGACAGACTTGAATGTAGCTATTGTAGCTTCCAGACCTTTCTTAAACTCAGCAAAATTCTCGGCATTAAACAATCTCTTCGGCTGGCTAAAGCTCTGCTGTAATGACCAAAAGATTGGGTATAACTCATCAGGTTTCATCGGCGGTTCATGTTTTGATGTTGCTACATCCTTGCCGGAACCATTGCTGTCTTCAGACCCTCTCGCCGTGCTCGTTCGTCCATTTGGAGTTGCTTTGGTGTCTGGCGGAGTTGTTTTCAGGTTGCTATCCGAATCCACTTCCATATTTTCTGTGTCTACTGGATTGCGCGGTAGGGCATCGAAGGATGTGACATTTTCAACATGAAATTCGCCGCGCAAATTCACAGAACTCTTGTCACCAAGTGGAAAGCTCTGAAACATGAAAATAAAAACTCGACCACAAAATGCAGTGTCCTCAGCCCTGGAAAGTCGCCGCAGAAGCTCGTTGCAGCTTCTCAAAATTACTAGATTCTTTTGGTTGAAATGTTTTGCCGTGATCTTTTCACGTCGTGACTCGAGGTAGTCAAATATCTTCCGGCATCCAGCAATTGTCTGACTGTCCAGCAATTCTTCAACAAGCCAAAATAAAAGGGCGGGTTCGCATTGCTCGTCGTCAGATAGGATGGAGATGATGTCGAGGAGGTTCCATAATCGTGAAGAGGAAGAATTTTCAATAGATATGGAGGCCTGTAGGTAGTCAGAGTTTGTCTACCGGTCGTACTGGTGCAAGGCTTACCAGTAAATTGTTGAAAGTATCTCGAACAGCGGTTTCGATGATGGCATACTGACTGCGCTTTTTAGATTCTATAGATGCCGCTTCGTTGAATATTCGATCGATTCGCTCGTATGTATTTGCAAGTTCGGTCTTGGTCAATGGCGACTCTATCGTAAGAGCTTCTTTGACCAATTCAGCCTGCTGTAGCATTTCCAATAATAATTGCGCAAAAGCGTCCACCATTGGCAGACCGTGGCCTTCCATGTCGGCAGACATCCCGTACTGAAATTTCGAACTGATAATTCCTCCCGTACTGGCGCAGGTGAATATCCTAATTTGTGGAAATTTCGGTGCTAAAATTAGTTGTCACGAGAAATGAGAAATGGATGAAGGTTATCGCGACGTCAATGTAGATACGGCGGAATTCTGCTTAGTCATCACGTGTGAAAGCACCAAAGCTTCCAAAAATTATATCTGTGATAAGATGTTTACACGCGACTGACGCGCGCAATACAAATTGCCAGTCACCACCACGAGTAAGAACAATGGCTCCGAGGACGAAAGGAAGAGGTCAGGGGAAGGCTGTAGAAGAGGATACGGGAGTATTGCCCTCGGAGGTACCACAGAACGAAAGCTCATTTGCGCAACTTGCCGCAAAGCATTGGTTGAAGCCTTCAAAAAAGTCCGCGAAGGTAAAGGTCAAACCGGACGTGATCAAGGCAGAAATATGGGATGTTTTGGAGCAGGAGAATTTCTCATTCAGGTCTCTTTTGACGCTTGAAAGTCTTCATATCCTTGAGAAGTACATCCATCCATCCAGACTTTGTGGCAGGGGTACATTACTGACCACAATGCTAGTTATCTTTGGCCGGGTTATTCTGAAGATGCTTCAAACTTTCACATCCTTCTGATGGTTCTTATTGTAAATGTAAGGACTAGAGAACATCTACCGACCTGGGGTAAGTGCTATTAAAGAAAGCTGCAATGCGTTATGCTGACTATCATAGACATCTTTGCGGACAATACATCCGATTTCTCAGCCTTATTTCGACGAATCCTGTCTATGACATTGGATACTACTCTTTCTGCCACGATTCGAACTCATCTCCTATCATTTATCATCAGCGCATTTCAGTCCTTAGACAATGGGATAGTTCGGAAAGAGTGCGCACCTTTGGTTTCCATATCTATCTGGCACAACATTTCAAGCGAGAAGAAAAGGGAGAAGATACTTGATCACACTGTACAATTGAAGAAAGCTTGGAGGGCGGCAGCGAAACGATATGACGCCTCTGACGAACCTACGAAAGCCCGACTTCGATTTGAGCGATCTTGGCTCTTGACTCTAATTCTTGATTTTTTCAATCAACTCTATGGAGAGAAAATTAAAACCGGTATGCTGAAACCCTGCTGTCACTATTTTTTTTCCGCACTGACACAATAATTAGAGAATGTGCAGTATTGTGAGAGATTTATAGAGTTTTTATCAGATCTTCAAAGTCAATTACCAACCAGGAGATATGTGAACACACTTTTACAAGATTTGCACGTTTTGCCAACTATCAGACTTTCTCCAGCATTCAATGATGAGGAGAATGGGCTTCTACGAGATTTGTACGCGCTTTTTAAGCATTACACATACTTTGCAATAAATGACCATACAGGTGTTCAGCATAGCCGTACGGAAGCATATGAACGTCATTGCGCAACACTGGCGTCCCTGCAAAGGACTGCACTCAAGCACTTTAAGGAGAAGTTGACTATTCTTGCCTTGTCCAATTATTCGTCCATTGATAAGCGGGTGGAGCTCGAGAGTCATCTAGAATCTCTTACAGATGCTGAGATGACAGAGCTCTGCAACCTTCTTGACTTACGGACTTCTTATCCACCATCTACCAACGTCATAGTAGATCGTAGATTTCTTCTGGAGATTCTTCTATCGACACATGAAAAGCGCAAGACATTCCAAGAGACTGCCCGTGACTTGAGTATTCTTCCAACAGAAAGTACTCTCTTTGAAAGAACCTTGCTTAGGAATGATGGATTTGACGGGTCACAGCCCCTTGCCATTCCAAAGCTGAACCTACAGTATTTGACCGTTGGAGACTTCTTATGGCGGTCATTTATCTTGCATCGATGTGAATCGTTTTATGAGATTAGACGAGATGTCGAGGACACAATAAAGCGTCTCCGACCAGTAGCTAGTAGAACAGGCCACACAAGTTTTGAAGGATTCTCCAGGATGGCACTGCCAGTAACGAAACCTTCGTAAGTGTAGCCTTGTGTTCTCATTTCGACCTCGTTAACCAGTTTGTAGTATACTTGAAGTTGTACCTCCCCTTGTTGGAGATGACAAACCAGCTGTCATCCGAGCCGAGATCACGATTGATGTCAGCCGCATGGCCGAAAACATTCGCCGAGAATGGGATTCGTTACGACCCGACGACGTGATCTTCTTGCTCTCTGTCAAAGCTACGGACGAGTCTTCTATGATCGCGGATGGCGGGGCAACCACTTCGGACGCTCAAAAGTTAGGTTTGAGATATCTCCGAGCTGCCGAAGTCATCCAAGTTCAGGATGACCGAGGGCGCTCATTGATGAATTACAACGGTCAAGTCAACGGCAATGCTCGCGCTGGCTCGCGAAGACTCCAACTGAAACTTGACGCAGCTATGTATAAAGAGGACAAAGATCGTGTGGACAGAGGCAAGCCTGACATCTATGAAACTATCAACGTTGCCGTTCGCAGGAGAGGACGTGAAAATAATTTCAAACCTATTCTCGAATCAATTAGGAGTCTGACTTTATCTGATGTCCCACTGGCTCCTTGGCTTCACGAGGTCTTTCTAGGCTATGGTGATCCTACGGGTGCCAATTATACTAGACTATCAAATCAACTCAAAAAGGTTGACTATCGGGACACATTTCTTGACTGGCAACATCTTATTGAAAGCTTGCCAGGTAGGACTATCCAGCCAAATGACGATGTTACAGGTAGCTTTGGACCACCCTACGTGTTGCAGACGGTGGCGAAAGCCGCCGAGCCACCAGCAAGACCAACGAAAAAGAGACGCAGGGAAGCAGAACCCACGCCAAACGAAGAGCCGCAAGCCATTCAAGTCTCTTCTTATAAACCTCCAAGTACGGGACCATATCCTATGGATGCTCCTAAGTTGAACCAAGTTCGTTTTACCCCTGCTCAAGTTGAAGCCATCATCTCCGGCACGCAACCCGGACTTACCGTTATTGTTGGTCCTCCAGGAACTGGAAAGACGGACGTCGCAACTCAGATCATTAACAACCTATATCACAACTTCCCAAACCAGCGCACTCTTCTTATTGCCCATAGTAATCAAGCTCTTAATCAATTGTTCCAGAAAATTGTTGCTCTTGATATTGATGAACGACATCTTTTACGACTAGGGCATGGCGAGGAGGAACTAGACACCGAAACGAACTTCAGCAAGCATGGGCGTGTCGAGTCTTTTCTTGAAAACAGAGATGGATATCTCAGAGAGGTCGATCGCCTTGCTGCCAATTTCGGTGCTCCCGGAGCACATGGAAGCTCGGCTGAGACTGCCGGTTACTTCAACTCGGTCTACGTTGAGCCGGCATGGACAAGATTCCAGGAAGTCATGAAAGACCCGGAGTCAACGACAGAGTCGATCATTTCTGCATTCCCCTTTCACTACTACTTTTCGAATGCCCCTCAACCTCTTTTCCCTCCTGGTGCTGATAAAGATGCCGCGATTGATGTAGCTACGGGGTGTTATCACCATATTACTAAGATATTCACTGAGCTTGAAGATGTTCGACCTTTTGAGATACTGCGACGTGATCGAGACAAGGCAAACTATCTTCTCACCAACGAGGCTCGAATCATTGCAATGACCTCTACGCATGCAGCCATGAGACGACGTGAAATATCGTCACTTGGCTTCCACTATGACAATGTTGTTATGGAGGAAGCGGCTCAGATTACTGAAATTGAAAACTTCATCCCAATGGCGTTGCAAAAGCCGAAGAGTGGTGGGACGCCTCTTCAACGTGTAGTTTTGTGTGGTGACCATTTCCAGAACTCTCCAGTCATTCAAAATCTTGCGTTCCGTCATTACGCAAATCTCGAACAATCCCTTTTCTCACGCCTAGTTCGCTTAGGTGTCCCAACTATTAATCTCGATCAACAGGGTCGTGCTCGTCCGTCCATTGCATCCCTCTACTCTTGGCGATATCAAAATCTTGGTAATTTGCCAACTGTATCAACCACATCCGAATATCAAACCGCAAACGCTGGTTTCAAATATGATTACCAGTTTATTCAAGTGCCTGACTACAAAGGTAAGGGTGAAATGGAGCCAACTCCTCATTTCATCCAGAATTTAGGAGAAGCAGAATATGCAGTTGCTATCTACCAATATATGCGCCTACTCGGATATCCCGCTTCTAAAATCAGCATATTATCCACATATGCTGGTCAACGTGCATTAATTAAAGATGTCCTGTCCCATCGATGTGCCAAGAATCCTCTATTTGGTCTCCCAAAAATAGTCACAACAGTTGATAAATATCAAGGAGAACAAAATGATTGTAAGTTTTGTCAGGGTTATTTCTTTACCAATAGATCACTAACAAAACTTTAGACGTTGTTCTTTCTCTCACTCGTACATCACGCGTCGGCTATCTTCGTGACGTCAGACGTCTTACTGTGGCACTATCTCGCGCTCGTCTCGGCCTCTACATTTTAGGGCGACGGGAGGTCTTCGAATCGTGTTTCGAGCTCAAACAAGCCTTTGATATCTTATTATCGAGGCCTGATAAGTTGATGCTGAGTACTGGGGAAATGTGGCCAAGTCAGAGGATATTGGCGGATGAGGAGAGTTTAGATTCAGTGCCCGGCGAAGCTGTCATGGAGGGTGTGGAACATTTGGGTCAATATGTTTTCGAAATGACTAATTCTAAGATAAGACAATTGAGAGAGGAGAGAGGTTTGCCGGAAGTTGGAGCAGAGATTTTAGCTATCGAGGAGAGAAAGGTGGTTGGAGATGCTGATGAGGATGTAGACCAGTTCGAGGGTTTAGAGGAAGATGATGAGATTCTTGAAGGCGAGGAAGAACTGGATGTGGTGGATTGATAACACACAGAAATGGAATTTGGAAGATGGAGTAATCACCGACAGATGCATGGATAGAGCTGAGTTATGATGATTCATGAACAATATCTGCGGAATTGTATTGTATGTACCCGAATACGGGGGAATAGCGTACAGATAATGAACAAACAAAAGAATGATACCAAACATATAAACATAATTTTTTTTCTTTACCATCTGAGCCTAAAGTGCATGTTCTCGCTGATGTTGAATTGTCTATCTCCTTTCATGCTCGGTTACGGTGCGTGTTGTAGCACCATATCTCACATTGATATCGAAACAGCTATATTCTTCAATGTCTATTGATCCAAAAAAAAAAAAAAAAAAAAAAACCTGCTGCTGCTGCATACTTTTCTACTTCACTTGTTTGTAACGGACTGATGCCTGTGATGTAGGTGATTCCTCTATAACTACTGCAGGATTAAGAATGAGATGAGGTTGTTTAGTACGCTAACTTTGGTCAAATGGTGCGGAATTTCTGAAATAATCTCCGGGAGCTTGTGGTGGTGGTGGCGGTTTGAACTTTGAGTTGAAGTGAGTTATTGCTTGGCTTGCTGGGTTTTGTAAGGTCTTGTGGTTTGTGGTTGTGATTGTGATTGTGATTGTGATTATGTTTTGATGTTTAGACTGAGTTGAGATGGATCACCAGATATTGTGAAGTATAATTATTAAATACTTGGAATCAACGCGGGAGAAAGTTACAATGATGGACTCCGGTGAGAATATATTTCTACTTGAAGTTTTGATTTATTTCAATTTGTCATTGATATTTTCGCTTTGGGGATAGATATACTCGGTAACTAGATACTTGGATACTTTTCATGTAGGATGCTGTCAGATTACTTCATAACAATGGCAAGGTTGTGTTTATGTTTAGTATTATTTCCTATTCCCTATAGTTTTTATGATGAGAATGCTAAATACATTTCAAATCATACGCACAAAAGACATCAGAGGTATCTATTCTTCATGGTTGAAAAGTGGATAGCTTGGAAGGTCTTCGACATCCTTCCCGTATGTTGGTTTGTTAGAGATTTCTATTAAAATTGTATATCGCAGAGGTAGGGAAGAGATGTGATAATAAGGACATAAATAATAGATCCGTGATAGAAAATAAAACAAAAGTGTTGTGTTTTGGCAGCCGGAGGCAGTGGATAGGATATGCATGATATGCAGTGATCTCGGTAAGGCATAGTATGTTGGAGGAGGGTGAGAAGGGATGAGATGGGATGGGATCAGGATCAGGATTTCTATGCGGATTTCAGGTGATGTGATTTAAGGCAGATTTTAAGGTCATGATTCAGATAGAGAGATCGTTGAATTTGAAGAAGGGTATATTTATCAGGAGTTCAGGGGCTTTATTGTGTAGATTTATAATGCATATATAATCTCAAAATTCTTTTCATGAGAGTACCATGCTGTCTCAAGCGGAATGTCTTGAAAGAAATTGATTGATGAGACGACGATGGCATTTTGTATCCAGTAAACTTTCATGACCTAGTTATCTTCTCACTGCTACTATCTTGCAACAAACCAATATTTTAATATTCTGGATTCCGTAGCTTGCGATTCAACAAATTAGCAGATATATATCCAAACCACCATATTTTCAATCCGCATGTACAAGTCACGTTCTCATCTTCCTACTCGGCCCTACTAACCCATTTGCTCAGCACATACATTCATCATCCACCATCTGAGATCTAGAGCAGCCGAAATCGACTGCTCTCGATCAGTCACTACATTAACTAAAAATCCCACAGTAGCATATCATGACTCGTGTTTGAGTTCGAAAAGTTCAATTACCGACGGATAAGCGGTCATTAGATACCGCCAGAGCCTACGTCTGTATTAGCTTCGATCTACAACTTAAGCTTAAGTTCGAACCCCATCATCGGACTAACATCACATACTCCCCGCAGTAATGCCTATACATTTAATTGTAGAGCACGGCTAATCTCGTGTGTTCTACCTAGAGCACCATCAATGATATCTCCAGGTATGCGGAGTCGTATTGTCGACACCATGATATCACTAGGTCTTTTTTCTCCACTGACCCGTGCACGAGACAATGAAGAGGTTTACAAAGGCGCATATCTCATTTCTAGAAGACGATACAATGGTGATAAATGTGGAGATGCTAGAGCCGCGATGTCACGATGTTTTGTGGAAGGCCTGTCAATAACGACTGCGCTAAGCGCTAATTCACTATTGACCTAGCTTATTCGTTCCTGAATGACAAGTAACGAACGGGCCGGTTGCGAGTTTTTTTTCGGACCGTGATCCTGTCTTTTGTACTAAAGGATGGGGTTTTTGTGATGGTGATCCTATATGTTAATCTTGAAACTATATCAAGCACGTAATTGACCGAGATTCTAGGAAAGTAAAATGGATTGGTCGTTCGCGTGATTGCAAACCGGGTAGAAGGATGTTTTAGATGCACATAGAATTTGTACCCATCTGTTGGGGACGGCTGTTGGTGTTTGCTACTAAGTAAAAAAATGCAATTTATTATGTATGTTCATCAATAAATACTATGGAGACACTGCCTTCTAAATTGACGTTGTTGAAGTGGGGAAAATGACATTCAAAGGATAAATAGCCACATCAGACATGAAATTCTTTTCTAATTCTGGGTAATGGATAGAAACATCATGATGAAACTAGACATCTTTCGAAATCTCCATGTTATTTGTTCTTACATCTCAGCTACTTGTCGCGTGGTTGTGCGTATTTTGTTGAATGTAGATAATCCCGTGACACACGACGCTGTAGCTAGGGGGCGGGAGGCGAGACTAGACACTCCCGGTTCAACGATATGCCATAGCTCTTCTGGTCTTCCAAGTGTACACGAGTACTTGATCTCATGACAAATGGCTGGTACCGAACTCATGCACCCCAGTTTTACAAAAAATAGTATCGTATGCAAAGTGATGAGGCTCACATCTCAATCTGGCAGAATGTTCACTGAACAAGTGGATCTTGAGATCAAAAAATGCTTCGGCTGAATTCAAGCTCGGCTACATGGGGAATTCTTTTGGTTCCCTCTCATGGGATGAATATAACCGGTAATCCCGAAGGAAGAATCATTCCGAGCCATATGGTTCATAAAATGAGGTAAATCCCAACAGACCAGTAGTTTAATGATAGCAACCTGTGAGGCTAATCCGTATTGAAATCCTCAAACTGATGATCATAAGGGTCTACGACAACTTTCTTGATGGAGATATTCCCAAGATAACCAGAATTCTGGAATGGGTCTAAAACCAGGTACATATGTGCTTGTAATGTTGGAAATAAATTGCAATGTAATAAACTGTGTCATGCATGATTTGCATGTAATATAAAATATATGACATATTAATCGCCGACAACTGCCGGTATTCCCTTGATATGGAATTTTGAAGTCCATGTATCGAATTCTGAAGTAGAAAGTATATAGTACCTACTATCGGAAAGTCCATTAACCACACACAAGGTATATTGTGAAAATCCGGGGACACAGCCACTTCCCGTCTTGCTTGCACATATATGCGGTGGGATGGTAGAAATGGTGATACCTCCTTGGTGTATGCGATGAGTGGGAAAACTCGGGATATTTCTTCTCGTGCTGGTTCTCGTGGAGAGCTGCAGGTTGAAGTGTGTGAAGATAATGATGTGAATGGTCGCCGTTCTGTGAAGATGCGGTCTTCCTACGGGAGAACACTGCATGGTAGCTATCAGCAAGACGAGAGGTAAATCCGTCCAGTAATGGTTGTCGAAGGTTCAGAACTTGAGAGAATCCAGCGTGGTACTTCGTTGTGGCGCCCGTGCTGATCGACACAGCAAGCCTTGGTACAGGGATTTTTATGACCCCCATCACCTTAAGATGAGCACATGCAGGGGGCATGGATTGTTGGACGTGATATGGTTGGGGCCTGCACCCCTCAATCTCTCGGATAAACTGGCGGATAATGAGGGAAGCTCGTCAGCAGCCTGAAATTGTGAAGTGTTCACAACAAAAACACCATAACATGAAAGCTATTTGGAACGTATGACGACTATCTAACCTAGCCAACGTCCCACAAGTCCGGAGTAGACGCATCGTGATGAGTCCACGACCACGTACAACACGATGTGACAATGTTTTTTTGCAAGCATTCGTGTGGTGATGTTTGGTTCACAACATAATCAACATTCTTCTGCGGGTATTTATTTCTGGGCATTGTTTGAGGATGTGAAAAGTGGTGGTGATGACTCGTCATGTTTTCCATGTAGAAACTGTAGAAAATTCGAGGTTTCTGATACCTATTGAACCAGTCAAAGGCATATTGAGTGGAGAATGTATCGGAGAATATTTTAATCTGAAGCATAAGCGCCATCTAGCTTAGTAGACTTATAAAACCAGATGTATCCTTGATGGCAGGCGTATTCTTGTGCCGCTGTGTTTCCTCAACGTTCCTGGTGTTAGACCCCGGAGTGAGGAATTCGCTCGGTAATTCTCAAGAAAAAGATTCTACGACTGTAAGCGATGTGGTTCTAGCTTTCTCGGTCTCGGTCCCGGTCTCTTGCGAAATTACGTATCCGAACTCTTGATGAGAAGATTGAAAGATCCATGGAAGGACTTTTCTTAGTCTTAGACGCCTTACTGAAGCTTGGTAGTATGCGGACACGGCGCCGAGAGCTTGATTTGGGTAAGAGAAATCGTGATGATTACAAAACATATAAAATTAGACAACAATGGGGACAATGAATTTTGAAATGGGAATGACAATCGGCGAGTAGTGACAGGCGTACCAAACACAATCACTTGCGTAAGGGTTGGCCCGCCGCCTCGAAAAAAAATGCAAGACCGTGCTCGGAAGGAGACCTTGGAGACTTGGATCACGGTTGAGATTTGGGGGCGATTGAAGTAAGCTATGTGGTCCATGGTGGCTGGAACCTTGGAGAACATCATGGCTGGATATTTGTACCTAGTTCAAGTTCAGCTGAGGTCTATGTACAACATTGAGATGATAGGTACTCGAGTAGACAAGATACCCTACAGAACGTAACACCTTTGTTATTATCATTAGTGATCTCTTAGTTTTAACATCTCGTCGGCAGTGTTATTCAGGGCTCCGCATTTCATAGAGCCTCTCTCGTAGCTGTAGCTCATTAAACATATAGCATAGCCAGGTGATACACCCAGTAACTTACTAAGGTTCCTGTTACCTTTCCTGTGTATGGTGCGGAGATGATAGATGTGATTTGAAGTTTCTTTTCCACGTCAAACTGTGCGGCATCTCGCACTCGTACATTTTTGAAAGTCCACCACCCCACTCATTATTGCTCGGCGTTCGCTGTGAGTTATTCTGAAATGACCAGAATAGGAATCAAATGAGTGGATCATATTCGAAGAGTGTTTCATCATTTTTTTACACCCTTTTTTTTTTCTTCATGATGTTTAATTCTTGTTTGACCTAGTCAGCGGTCGTACCTGCATTTACTCCACCAATCGTTTTGCCTATTTTGGCTCGCAACGGTCTAAATACGGATGTGTCCATAATTCTTTTCTTCTAGCTAAAAAAACCCTAGAAAGCTTAGAAACTTCACTACGGCAGGTACCTGGTGAGAAAAACTAATCCTTCCCCAAATCTCATCTCCCTTCTTTATCAATCACCCCATCTCCTTTTCAGAATCGTGCGGGCGTAAAAGTTAATTCATCCCCATTATCCCCTCGAATCTTAACCCCCCGAAAACCCCCTCGAATCTCTCCTCTCGTAAGCCTTATCCCACGCCCTTGTCGAAAGAACCTCGGATGTCTTTTTTGCTTACCGCATTTTGCAAAGTACGTATTCATTATTGCAGCCAAGCCTTTTAACTTGATCCTGACTCTCTATGAATGACTCCGCTACCACACAATTTTGTACTACCCCTTACCGTGACATTACCAAAAGCCTAAAGGTACCGTACAGTCGGAGTTTTCCCCTCTCACACCCTGCTTGTGGCATAATCTCTCTTTTCTTACACGGCGCGCCTGCAACACCAACACGCTTCGAATTTACACAACCTAAGTAGTCGAAGCTTTTCCGTTTGGTCATCCAATCACCACATGATTTTGATAGCCAAATTGGGCCGGAAGCATTATATTAACCAAAATCTGCTACAACGCAAGGTAGAATGCGTAACGCAAGAATCAAAAAAGGCTACCTCTGGTATCGTCATGTACTGTACATCCTCAGCCCGGTCACAAATCACAACATTTTCGAGATCCCGCCCGCGCTCCGGCAAGATCTAGGTTTTAGGCTTTTAGCTGCCAATGGAGGTTTTTGGGAAGCCCGAAGTACGGCTACCCACAGATACCCCTTCATTCTCTCGCCTCAACAATTGAAATCTCAAGTCAATTGCATCCCTCACAACGAGTAAGAAAAGACCTCATATAAAAAACTTCTACGTTTTTGAACTTTTGGGTGTCGTATCCATGATCAGCTTACGAATCTGCAAGCTTTTAGCGTTGCTCCTAAGGCGTCGTCGTAAATCAAAACATCTCCAACAGCTGTTGTTTTATGATTTGTATCAACCTGAAAAACACAATTTATGCCTTTTAGAACTGACGGCTTAATAATAATACTCATCTTACAAGTTGGCGTAATCGGTGGGGCATCATTTCTAAAAGTAGTACAATAGTCGGCATTTCAAGACACCGCTGAAGAAAATGAACAATAAAAGTTCTAGCTTAGATTTTTCGCATCATGCATTAAGGATAGAAAACAACCTTTCTCAACAACCTTCTTCACTCTTGGTGCTTCGATGATAGGCTCTTGACAGAAGCAGAAGCATCCTGGTATCAGATCGTTGAAAGAGACGGCACAGGGTATTTTAAAATATCCCGGGTGGTTTCCTGCAACAAAATACATATCAACAAAACAACGTGTTGGCAGGTGAAGGCCTAGTTGATTGTGGATACCTTCTGACTGATGGGGACCATCCATGTTTTATACTCCGTAATTCTCTCATTATTGAGTTTTCCATGAATTTGTTTAGTCAACGTGACAATAGTCAGCGAAACATGTCGTGTTCTCGAGATTGTGATATTTTCCCAGAAATGTTCTTGTACCTAACCTACCCGACGTAACACACCGCAGTTCAGGCCTTGACGGGAATGTGCTTCAACAAGTGACCGGACCGTAGGGACGGTACCCGTAAGCAAAAAGGCACGAATAAGTCGCTACGAGAAAATCCTTGAAACGTCTTTGGGGTGTTTATTTTGCTTCTACTATCACATCACATCACATCACTGCCTGCGTTACCTGCGCTTTACTAGCCATACAGAGGAGTACAAACCCCGGAAACAAAAGTAAAAGCACGCTCATCAAGAATCATGCACATCATTACATCTTGTCGATGATGTCCTCGGAATTCCTAGCGAGATTGATAGACCGCGGGATGTGCAGTTGATGCACAGACTTTCGCCAGATGAATCCGGATTTTCTAGGAGGTGCTTTTCCAGCTGCCGAGGTGGATGAGCCCAGAGTAGTTGAGATGCCTGAACAAAAGAACTGTGATGTGAGTCTATAAAATCCACATCGGTGATTGTGATGGATGATGCGATAGATGTGGTGACTTGATACTACTCTGTGGGAGATCTAATCTGATGTTAGTTAGTTGCTTGGTGACCGTCTCAACTCTCATATCTACTCCGTACCTTTCCTCTCTGGGCAATACCGGTAATCTATTTTTGAGGCTATTTCTATTCACATGTCCAAGGCCTTCCTTTCAAACTACCGTGAATTATACGAGTACTGACTATTAAGGTCACCTCCCTCCACTTCCGTAGTGCTCTAGACCTATCAATAGAGGGTGATGCTCCCATGAATAAACTTTAGGAAGTATTTCCTCAACTTGCGAGCTCCTGCATGGTAATACCTTGATAGGGACAAAACTAAAGTGTTTCTCGAATAATAATAGAAGATGTCAAAATGAATGTTCCTAGATGCAACCTTGTTTAATTGTCCAGATTGACGAAAAATGTTAATATATGTCCACCTTAGTCTTGTATTTTCCTTATCCACATTGTTCGAAAGGAAGCGGATGCAGGCTTCCAACAGGTACTATTGATAGTGTTTGCAAGCATCGACCTCGACTACTCTCCGTACCTGAACTAAACTTGGTACCTCGCACGACTCGATACTAAAACATCATTTCCTTCGGGACCTTGAAAATTAATAATGACCGGCATAGCATGAAATACATAATTGAATCCCAGTCATCTTGAAACTCTCTCTTTTTATCTCGCTGAACAAGCTTAACAGAACCCCTAAAGTCTAGTCATCCCGTACAACCTTACCCGCATACCCGCCAATTTTGGAAAATTGGAATGATTCTGACGGACCTCTAGCCTTTCCAGCCCGCCGTTCTACGATTGACCTACTCCGCAGGTTCATAAATGCTAGTTGTACCAGTCAGTAGGTCCTGCACTTCCATGATTAGCAGCTTTTTAGTGGCTTCATTAGCAGGTTTCTTATCATCTAGCTTCCTCCTAGCACAATGGCTATGCTCAATTTTCGCGTCGTCGTCCACCAAAACTCAACGGTAGGCCTAGTTCATGAAATGAACAATGCATTGTTTTATAATTATGCGATTACACATCAAACTTTACACAACACCATACATTCGCTCCCGTCCGGAACTTTCCTACCAAACACAATGGACACACGTCAAAACAAACCTTCGCCTGACTAAACCATCTATGAATTTGTAGCAGATTTCAATCAGTCTTCCTTGTGCCCATAGGAAAGTACGCATAACAATTCAAGGTTTGACGATGATCTCAAAATTACCGAGAACAGTCCCTATTCATCCATCCATCCCATCCTCTTACAGTATCACGTTCTTGTCAACTACATTAGTCTGGATGGTACGGAGGTTAAAACAACCTAGACTTGTACTTTTGGAACTGAAAACATGCGAATTATGCGTTACCTAGATATTTCCTGTTTTGTATTTGACTTTTTTTAACCCTCTTGGTTCTGCGTTAATTTTCATAAGCGGCAGGGTCATCACGTTGTCATGTCACAACTCGCATAACGAGTCCGGGAACCCCCATGTCTTCATAGATCTTCATTGGGTGGCATCTATTAGCGACAACGGTTGTGAGTTGACCCACAGATTCAATGATCCCTCCAACTCTTTCATGCAAAATGGAGACCAATGATCCGCGCAAAAGAGACCCAGCCTCGATCTCTCCGCTCATCCCTTGTCATATCCGTTGTTCTCTCAAGCTCTCCTGTATCAGGCTTAGTTGAGATCGATACAACTCACCACTGTTGCGGAGCCCTGTCTTTATTTTAACCTGTTCCTGTTGGTCCATTTTAATGCTTCATCTCAGTATCGGATGATTGCGCCGGCACCAAATCCCTACACCCCAGTCACACATTCATCCTATCCAACGTTCTGCACAGTCTCGATAGAGTGCTATCCAGTATTTCGCTGCAGCTTCATTTCCATTTGTCAATCCTCTTGAGAGCCACAGGGGCTTCACACACCAAATATTTTCATTGAATCGCTTCACTTTATGTTGTTATCATTTATTTTTTGTCTATCTGTCTGTGGCTGACCTTAAATGTCCTCGTGCATTAAAAAACATCCCCCTCCAACCTGCCTTCTTCACCCACTTTAGCTTGTGCAACTGCCCTTTAAAAATCTCATCCCAAGTCCGGTTCTCCCAAGCAAAATCCTAGACGCAACCGTGCAAGCCCTGTATCAAGTCGAGGTGGGTATTTTTGACACTACTCCGCTCCGCCTGCATACTAGACTCTTGTCATCGGTACAATTTACTTCAGCGGCATTCTGCTGCAACGGCAGGGACTTCCTGTGAATTGAGAGAGCCAGGGGTGATAGGGCGCTTCTCGGGTCCAGTGTCCTCCTTGCTGTGGTGATCATAATCAGGGAGTTTATATATCAAAGGCCTTCAATCTTGGAGTACATTACCCGACGCTTGTCGATCGAACGTGAAAAGAAAGACAACCGACCCCCTTCAACTTCATTCCCGTTAACTTCTTAATACGGACTTAGCACGTCATTAAAACAAGAAGCAATTTATATTTCATTTGGACGACGCAGGACACTCGCCACATCCGTTCGTTGAGACCAACTTATCCTGGACCCAGGACGCTGCATCTTCTCTTCTCCACGACAGCGCTGTTGAATACCGACTCGTCAAATTTAAAAAATCTTCTGGAAGGTATACGCGTTCGGCTTGTCCAGAACATTCAAATCCTTTCATTTCTATCTCCAGGACTGGTCCATTACACCAATGAACCTTATTTAGCAGATCTTGATCAAGACCCCGAGAATTAATTTATTCATCGATCAATAGCTACAGGATCAAGCTTTACAAATTCTTCCGATTTCCCCAACATCGTCATTGAGCAAGCAGGACTAGGATTCACACTAGACTCAACAACTACTCTGTCTTCGATAGACCTTATGTTCTTTTCTGGTCAGTGATCAGCCATTGTCTATAGCGGCCCTCACACTCGTTCATTTCACGGCTACTTTTTTACTGCGACAACACGATACACATATTCCTTTCTCGAATCAAGGGCTCTTGAAGAACCCTCAAAGCAACTTCTGGACCAAATTAACGGTCACGTAAAAGATACTTTCAATGCTTGTTACACGGCAATGCGATACGGGACGGAACACTTGGTCCTCTAGTAAACTTGGGTCTGCTAACTTCGCGTCTCCACGAATGGCGAACTTTGAAACTTTACCACCGCAGCCGGACTGGCGAGAACAGTACTCTTCGTACCAAATCTCCGGAGAGAATGGCGTGGTCAACCAAACTTACGAGCACTCTGCGAGCTCAAACGCCACCAACGGTCAACAGCAAGCCATCGCCAGACCGACGCTAGAGCACCGACACACACTTGGTCCACTAAGACCAGAAGGTCCGCCAACCCCTATCATAGAACGGCCAGACTCAGCACCTGGGGATTGTGGTCAACCTGCCGCCAATAGAGCTCGAAATGGATCTATGGTTTCTACAGAATCGGCGCCACTTTCAATCGTATCGATAGCAACAAATCCACTATCTGCATCGAGTGCGGCACAACAACAACAGCAAGGAGTAGGAGCACTTGTGAATGAAGACGCAGGAGCTCTTTTGAGTCCCAAGGAAGAAGATGATGACGATGTTGATGACGACGATGATATGTTAGATACTGAAGATGGAAGTTCTTCTACGCCACAGACCGCCGCAGAGCGAAGAGCGGAACGTAGGAAAATGAAAAGATTTCGGTATGCTGACCTTGCCATTCACTATGTGTTGTGACATCGAAACTAATTATTATTCAGTCTTACCCACCAGCAGACCCGATTCCTTATGAGCGAATTTGCGAAGCAAGCGCACCCAGATGCTGCTCATCGTGAGCGATTGTCACGAGAAATTCCAGGCCTCAGTCCCAGACAAGTCCAGGTATGGTTTCAGAACCGGTATGTGAACGCAATTCGGGTTGAATGAGGACATGAATTAATGGAAGCAGACGCGCAAAGATTAAGAGGCTCACTGCGGACGATCGGGAACGAATGATGAAGATGAGAGCAGTTCCGGACGATTTCGACAATGTGCAAGCTCTCCATTCTCCCTACGGAGCTGTACACGGCATTGGAACACCAATGCAGTCGCCTGTCGATTATGTGCCAAATTACCCGGATCATATGATACGACCTTTAATGGTAGACACGATGCGCAGACATGAACATGATGAGCATATGTCGCCTGCGGGCATGAGCCCTGCATATGGACACGTCGGATTTACTCCAGGGAGCTCAATTGGCACACCCGATGTTCTCTCACCATTATCAATTACGTCCTCTGATCGATATTTCTCCAGTCATCTGTCGAGTCCAATGAGCTCAGGGCCAAGGAGCTCAAACCCGTTTGATCGACAACCAGGTGGTTATCAAGCAGTTTCGCATTCCCAGCCAAGGCACCACAGCGGTCGACCATTACAACCATTGCAGCTTCGAGAGACAATGTCAAGGTCTCGATCCGAATCACTTCAGTCGCCATTGAGATCAAGCATGTCTTGGAAAGGCGAGACTCTAGATTATGCCAATTACCAGACGGGACAACCAAGTCCGCAATCGACTGGACGGCAACAATCTCTGTACCAGCCCGAGCAGAATAATGCGGTCAATGCGCACCAATTTGAGTCCAACTCTTACCCAAGTTAGTTCCATCCTTGCCGATGAAAAGAAATTGTAGACTAACGGTTTTGATAGGTTCTAACATTCAGCATTCACCGCAACACATGAACTACTCACCGTCGCATCCCCCCTCTTCGCTGCAACAGTCCGCACCAGCTGCTATGTCACGCCTGCGAGCATCTACCGGTGGTGCTTTCCCCCAAGGTCTTGATCTCCGCAACCAATACCGATCTCTCCCCCAACAAGGCGCATCACATTTGCCTCCCACTTCCCGCCCCTTTGCCTCCCCATATTCAACAGGCTTTGCCAGCGCACCTCTAACAGCGCCAATGGAGTTTTCACTTCCTCGAACTCCAAGCGACGCAAACCATCCACAACTAAGTGCGCCAATGGCTCCTCCGCAAGATTTCTCAAACGCCTACAACACATCAAGAGCTCCTCAAAGCGAGCGAGAGTTCAGCTCGCAAGGTCAAGAGCAGCAGCATGCTCAGAGCCATGCACAATCAGGAGATAACCAACCGCAAAGAAACAACAGCGATGGCTCATCGTATCTTCGACCCCATGAATTCGAAGGGAAAGACAACCGAAAAAGAAGTTTCACCATGCCGGGAACTTATGCACCTTCTCATATGTCTTCCTAAAGAGATTGCTTCGCACTCGCTTTCACTTTTCGATATCTGTGCGCACACAAAAGTTTTTGTTTAAAGATATGTGTTTAACAGCATTGCAATTTGAAGAAAGACCAGAGCATAGAATTCATCCTTCCATCCTAACCAGACAAGAAGCTCCTCATCACAACTTACGAACCGACCTCATCCTCAGAGAATTTCACTTCCAACCCCGAATCTCCAAATCCATCACAGCTTCTTACTATATACGTATGAATCGACATACTCAGACATATATATATTTATACAGACATACTTTCTATACATACATACTTCTTACAACCTCTGATCTCGCAGCGTTAAGACGAGAATGCAACATAACACCCCTTTCTACCATTCCACTTTTCGACATTCGAAGAACCTTCAACACTTTATCTTTAGCCCTTCTCTGTATTTTCTTGGAGATACTATCCGGACTTGTTTTTATATCTAGGGCTCTTCTTACTTTTTATCTATCTATCTATCAATCCATTCATCCACCCATTCATATTCTCGGAGTGTTTTCATAGTTTTCACATCAATTCGAATTTTTTTCCTTCTCTCCTCCCAGAAGGAAGAAAAACAGGGTGCAGGTTTTGGGAAATTTAGGGACAGGATTCGCGGGAACATAGCGCAGATTTTTGATTTTTATTTTCTTTTCCTCCTCTTCTTCGAGGTTCGGAGGTTCCGAAGTTCTTCGTTTCTTCTCTGTGTATAATTTGATTTATGATTTTTTTTTGTTCCGGGATTCTTTAGGGGTACCTAGCTGGGTTTTTGGTTTCTTCGGATTTTTTGATTGACTTCTTGTGTTTATGTTTTTCTTCTTCTTCAACTACCTCTTCTTCTTTTTGCTTCTTCTTCTTCTTCTGGCCCTTTGCTTTCTTTGCTACGGGGGTTTTGAGTATGAGTTTGGGGTTCTTTTTGATAACGGGTTTACTGGAGAGAAAGAGCTGAGCATTGATTGATCGATTGGTTGGTTTTTGGGATTTGGTGGGGGATATGAGGAGATGAGATGGGAGCAGGATTCATGGGGATTGATGTTTAGGCGGAAGCTGGAATTCTGAGGAAATGCAGGAATGGAATGGAGGAGAATGGGAGGAGAAAATCACTTGTAGATATTTGGGTCGTGGGATGGCAATATCATTGTGTGGAAGTTGAATGCCTTGTGTCTTATGTTGCCTTTATTGTGATATGTGCGTGATATGTATGTGATGTGATGTAAATTATGTGACTAGGATCCCAGAACTTGCACGACTGTTAAAATTATAGAGATATGCATGCTGATGTGAGATCAGCTATCTTCATTAGTAAGCCTACGTACAGTACAGTGCTAGATATTAATTCCAGGGAGCAATTTACAGGCTCTGGTCCCTATATCAGATATGCAACAAAATGTTCAAGGAACTTGTTGCCGTGAGCGGATTGGCTAGAAGGTTTAGTCATTGGGGTGAATGTGGTAATCGCAGGGTGAAAGTGATTATATGGGAAAGGTTTAGGGGGCAGGGATTTAAGTTTCATTGGGACGGGTATGTATTTATTATTATACAATTTGCATCTACACTTTTAGGGTTCTCATTCAAACGATCCACCCGATGCCTGCGTTCAATCGTATTCTACCAAACATGAAAGAAAACCAGGCCCATTTTTAGTTCCATATTTCTCATACATTTATTTATCATGGCACGACCCAAAAATAGGAGAGGGGGTGCGAAACGAAAGAGTAATGTCAGTGAGGCCTACGTCATGGGACATGAGAACGAACGAGGTGCAAAATATGGTTTTGAAGTGACTGGAAGAATTTGTACATTCCATAGAACAGACTTCTCATGTCTGAGATCCCGGAAATTTGATTCATTCTCTTCTATCATCAAATCGTTCAATCACAATAGAGCTCAATTTGGCACGAACATGACCTGCTAAGTAGACCCTTGAAGTCGGCGGGGTCATGCATCAGTCTGACTCCGAGGTCCGAATTGATAATGTATTAATTCATAAATATCTTTTCCTTTACCATTTAATAGTCATAAAAGCTGTCATTATAATGTCAGTGAATCCATTTATCAAGTGAAAGAATGAGAGAAGAAACTCACCCCTTTCCACTCTTTTTACCTAACCACCCCGCATCTACCATTTTTCCTAGTAGTACACTAGGTCTATATTTGCTATCTCCTGTCTCCTCATATAAGACCTTCATAATTGCTAAGCAGGTATCAATACCAATAAAGTCCGCCAATTGCAACGGCCCCATGGGTACATTAGTTCCGTTCTTCATTATCGCATCGATGTCATCTCTTTTCCCGACACCAGTTTCTAAGCATATTATAGCTTCATTGATATAAGGCATGAGGATTCGGTTCGCCAAAAAGCCCGGTGAATCCGCTGATGTAGATGGGATTTTACCCATTCGTTTGCAGAACTCAATAGCCGCATCCACTGTATCTTGACTCGTCTGTAATCCTGTAATGATTTCCACACCCTTTTGAATAGGCACTGGATTCATGAAATGTGTTGAGATTACACGAGAAGAAGCGCTGGTATCTTTGGGATCCTTGGTTGTGGACGCGGCAATTCGGGTTATGGATATGGAGGAGGTATTTGTGGCCAGGATGGCGTGTGGAGGACATATTTGGGCGAGGGAACTGAAGATGGAGAATTTTAAGGATGGAATTTCGGGAACAGCTTCAATTACGAAGTCTGCGGAGGAAAGATCGTCCATCTTTGTGGTTGGGGTGAGAAGGGAGCGGATGCTGTCGGATTGTTCTTGGGTTATGCGTTCTTTGGCAACATCTTTGGCCAAGAGCTTATCTGAAGTGAGGAACGTACTTGTTAGAGTAATATTTTAAGTGAATATTGACAAAGGAATACGCGAAAGGGGAAAGGCAAGATAGTATGAATGCATACCGGCAAACTTGAGGCCTTTATCAAGGGAGGCTTGATTTGTGTCTACGAGAGTGACTGGTACACCAGCTTTTTGTGCCGCTACTAGTGCTATCCCCAAGCCCTAAATTTTATGAGCAATTGAATGTCAAGAAAGATAGTGAAGATAGGTTTACCATTTGCCCAGCTCCAACAACACCCAAGCTTTTGACCTCTTGCGCCGAGAGGATTCGGCTGGAACTAAATGATCTTGCATGTCTAGAACTCTGCAAAAGTCCCTTTCTTACAATAGGAGAAAGCATCTTGGGCGACAATATTAGCAAGAAGAATGAATCAGAATTCTGGTGTTGTGTTAAGAAACAGGATGAGGTTCGAAAGTAGAAAAGGTTAACATCGGTTCATTGTCTCCCCAGGATTTAAGGTTATAATTTACCGAGGGGTAAAGTTGCGTTCGGGCCGGCAGCTTTCCGTCATTACATGTGGCTTTGACAGGGGTACGCGTCGCGATCGCGAATTTTGGGCTAGAGCGTGTACAGTGGTTTTATTGATATCGATTGATATTGATAAATTATTATGCTTGCTTAGATCCATCCACGAGTGCAACCTACCACACAACACAATATGGAATTCTCGGGTGGTAAAAGAGATGTCGTAGATCCTGAAGTTAGAGCTTATGTGAATAGTTTGGTTACAGCAGTAAGTTATCTCAATTCTATCATCTGAAAAAGTCCAAGAATTAGAACTAACTAAACCATTGATAGTTGGGAGGGAGCGGAGCAGATGAAGATGGACGATACGTACTAGGAGATGATGCATTGGCATGTTTACGAGATCTCAAGAAATGGTTGAAGCTCTATGATGAAAAAGCAAATCGATTAGACGTCGCAAGATGTCTCGCAGAATCCAATTTAGTGGGAGGAGATCTTCTACAAATCCTCGCAGCATGGCCCGAGAATGCCACGGACGATCGATTGAAATCGAAGATTGCTTTGGCATGCCTGGAAGTCTTGGTACCATTAACTTGGCCGTTAGAAAAGAATAAGGAAATGACGGTTAATCATCATCGACATATACCATATTTAGAGATTGCGCAAGTAGGATATAAGAGGTCGATTCTTGGGTTTGATGGAGCGAGAATATTACACACTGCGGTTAGATGCGCGCTGCCGGCAATGGCGGAGGATATTGGGGACCGAAGTACAAGAGATCAGGGCATTATTAAATTGCTTCTATACTTTCTGCGGAACATTGCCATGATTTCACCTCCACCAAATGGTCAATATGAAGGTGATGAAGCGGAAATATCGAGGTCCGCAACAATCGATGCTTTCGACTATCAAGATATATTCCATCTTCTTTTAACGTTATCTTCGACCATGGGGGAGGATTTCAATACCCAAGATGTTGTGGTCATGGACGTTATCTTCCATTTGATTAAGGGAGTGGATGTCGAGAAATTATTCTTCAGCGAAAAGGCAATGGATAATAGTAAGACGGATGAACTAATCAGACTACGAAAGAAGGAACAAGCAATGCTCCGAAGTTATCAAACAAATGCTCCCACGAGGCATAATCGATTCGGAACAATGGCTTGGATGCAAAGAGATGACGCGAAAATGACAACGATTTCTGGCCAGGCTGCTTTAAGAACCGGTAGAGGAGGACTGGACAAGATGGATAGCACTAAAAAGTTTAAGCCACCTAGAAGAGCGGTCAAAGGAGAAAGTGGACCGCTGGCCTTTGATAATCCAGTCCCTCTCAATGCATCAGCAACCAAAAATTTACGAGCATTTGTCGAAGAGTTCCTCGATTCCGGTTTTAATCCACTCTTCACACATATCAGAAAGGCAATTGATAGAGAAGCTGAAAGAGTTCTTGATTATCATCACCGACAGTTTTTCTATCTCATATCGTGGTTTCTTGAGGCCGAAAGAGTAAGGAGGAAGAATAAAAAACCTTCTAAAGCTAAAGTGCCAGAAGAGGTGGATAGTTTTGCCCTCGTTGCTAGTGTTCTCAACCAAGAGATGTTCATTACGCTCAACAGGGCGATGGATTTCAATTATGAGAACAAGAATTGGTATGATTTAAGTGCTGGTATGAAATGTTTCACGCAAATCCTCCTCACGGTCCATGAAATGGCAGACTCGCGTCTTGAAGATGATCAGGAGATTGCAGAAAATATTCTTGCTCGCATATTTTATGAAGACACAACTCACGATCGAGTGGCGATGATTACTCGGACATATAAAGACCAAGGATTTGGTTATCTAGATTCTTGTACAGAGCTCACGCACAATTATATGCGTATCCTGGAACAATACTCTAAACAGAATGTGGATATGCAAGTAAGATCTCGAAGACGCACGAGGACAAAGAAGAAGGCTGCGATAGATGCAGGTGAGGACCAAGGTGATGACAATATAGTTGACGAGTCTGAGGGCGATGATGAAGCACGAGCACAGAAAGAATCTTCCGAGCGAAAGTTTGATTACAAACGCTTTGCAGCTAAATTTCTTTCACAAGGATGTATTGATACCTTTGTATCATTCACGAAGTTCTATCTTGATCTCAAACCAGCGCAATTAAAACGAGCTCATCGATTTTTCTATCGGGTGGCTTTCAAACAGGATATGAGTGTTATGTTGTTCAGAGTGGATATCATCCATTTGTTCTATATGATGATCAAAGGTCCTGGGGGACTAGATCCTCAATCTCCCTGTTACAAAGAATGGGACGAAATGGTAAAGCAACTTTTGAAGAAATGCACCAGGAAAATTCAAGAGCGACCAGAACTCGTAGTGGAAATGCTGTTTTCTAAAACCAATAGCACTGCGCATTTCATCGAGTACGGCTATGTAAAGCAGACAATAGCGGCCAATCCCAGAGCTGCTGCGGAACTAGAAGTCAAGGGCGGATTGGAATGGGAAGATCAGATCGGTGTTGCTGTTGGAGCCTTGCTTGATAGGAATGAGGCAGATCATATTGAATGGGTCAAGTCACAATTATCCTCTGCGGAGAGTGAGAGGAGGAGCTGGGAGGCGGCGAATCAAGCTTTGCAATCCGTGGAGAAAGATCCTTTTGCGGAGGATGAAGAGACCCCTGCAGCGGAGGTGGAACCACCAAAGGCTCCCACCATACGTACGTATAACTGATTGTCTATCCTTATTGGTGTGTTTCTAACATAAATGCAGTTCTCAACCCAGATAACGACGATCGGAAAAAAGCCATGTTTAAAAATGGTTATTTGCGCCTGTTAATGAAGCTTGTCGGACTCACACATTTTGGAGCTGCTGATGATCCAGATACCTCCTGGATTGTCCCGTCCTCAAAGTCCGCAGATCAAATCAAAGAAGCCCTTGATTTAGTTAAAAAATTTGAGTTCGCCCCACCAACGTTTGACGATGATAAAGGGGCACTTGATCAAATCAGAAGAGTATCTGCTGGCATGAATAGGAAACGCGCGGTATTTGATGATGAATCAGATGATGGCATTGACGACGATGAAGAGGAACTACTCTTCGAACCTGGCGGGCCAACAGCAGTGAAGAAATCTGATGCACTAAAGGCTCTAAAGAAAAATCGAAGAAGACGCAGAAATGAAGGAAGCAAAGAACCCGAAAGTCGCGGACTAACGAATGAACAAATAGAAGCACGTGCAGCAGCTAGGAGAGCAAGGGAGTTAGAGAAGAATCGTAAGATTAAGAGTGAATTATATGTCCGTGACAGTGATGAGGATGACGAGGAAAATGATCGAATTTTCTTCGAAGCGGAGGAGAGATTGAGACAAAAGAATAAAATTAATATTATGAAGGAGTTGTTAGGGGTTGGTCAGCAGAAGGAAAATGGGAAGAAGAGAATGGCGGGTGCGT